GCTTCCAGTTCATCTCCTCCAGCGCCGTGATCGCAAACTACCCCCTATGGGCAGGAACACCACTCGTCCCCGAGAAACCTGGTACAGTCGAATCTGTCCCTTTGACAGGGTACGCCGAAGCCAAACTCGCAACGGAGCGCATTCTGGCCGAGACATTGTATCGCTTCCCAGACCGGTTCCATGCGATGACGGTGCGCATCGCCCAGATTACCGGCTCGACTAGCAATGGCTACTGGAACCCCTCCGAGTACATGCCGTTCCTGATCAAGTCGTCGCAGGTGCTCAAGGTTCTTCCCGATCTCGATGGTACCCTCTCCTGGTACCCTGTTAACGATGTAGCTGCCACCCTAGGCGAACTACTCCTGTCTCAATCTGCGACGGATCTTATTTATCATATTGATAATCCGTCTCGGCAGACGTGGCGGGAGATGATTGCGATCTTGGCTCGCGCGTTGGATCTTGGACAGAAGAGTATTGTTCCGTTTGCTCAGTGGGTAGATCGGGTGCGGCGTTTCCGGGGGAGTATTACCGATAATCCTGCGTTGCAGCTGATTGATTTCTTTGATCATTACTTCGTTCCGATGTCTTGTGGTGGTTTGGTTCTAGATACCACCAAGTCTCTGCAACATTCCAAGACGCTGCAGAGCCAGGGTCCTATTGACGAGGATCTTATGAAGAAGTATATTGCCAGGTGGAAACAATCGGGATTTCTGAGCCCATAGATGGATTCTTATGTGGCGTCGAGGGGCATTGGCTTGTTTGATTAGAGTTCTCTCGCTTGCTTTTTATTTTTTGCTGGGTCCAGCTTCTCAATTAAGATTTTCTCTTATATCTGATTTCCAGTGTTTGTGCCATGACTGAAAATAGATGTCGATCTGAGGGGTGGCAGGTTAGCTACCATTAATGACAGGATGATTCAGCGTCTACCCAATCCTCCATATGTGGTAGTATTGTAAAAGAACAAACCATCTTGCCGATTCCGTCGGCCTTCTTAGGCAGATCGGGCTTCCGAAATTTCTAGGAGACTCTACACCGTTGAAGGAGGACTCAATGCTCTTTCATACTAGAATAATACAGTTACGAGACCAGGCGCCGTATTTTAATGAAAGTAAATCATGGTATCGAGACTGGTAGAGGAATATTGATATTCCGGGCCTATTCCTAATATGTTCTAGTGTCTCTTGGCGGTGGGGCCAGAGAATCTCTCGAAGAGCATAGTAAGATGCACCGGTTTCGAGACGCACTGTACGAAAGATTCGGTGCATCATGAATCCTGTCATAAACCTCGGAAATTTCAACCAGACCTGCCGATCACATTATGCCTCCTTGTTACATAAGTGCCCTGCCCAGTAGTGCCATCGTCCAGAGTAGGAGTACAAAACAATCTCCCCATCTTGGCCAAAGTGCAACCCAAGGCCAAACATACTTCTAATCATACTACTGTAATCAATCCCTCCTCTTCCTCCCCGCCCCTCAAATAACCCCCAAACTGCCAGCCTCCACGGCCATGAAGACCCGACGAACCCGATCACCTTCCTCTGATTAGCCGGTCGTCCCGGGAGTTCGCCCACATCGTCATTTTCCTCTTCGTTTCACGACTGTTTTGGTCGACTTGGGTCTGCCTCCCTTGCAATAGACGGTCTACCCCCAAGCAGTCCCAACGAGCTTTGGTCGACACTAACCTGCAGACTTCTCTCTTCGTAACCCCCACTTTACTGTATCAATTGCCTGACAAGTTCTTGGCCTGCTCTCTTCTTGGGTCTACTCGGCCGATCTGCCGACATGAGATTCGGTACTGACTCGTCATAATCTCCCTAATATTGACGGTGTCATGGGGCCTGGGGTGAGATCTCTCTAGGGGAGTTAACACGATTCATGTCCTTGGTAGATCGTACTTCTCGCTTTCGTGCAAAATAATCCGCCCGGCTAGAGCTGGAACGGCGATCCTGAATTTCGGTTTAATTCCTCTGATTCTACGAGTCGAGCTTCACATTCTCCATTGACATGTCCTTCAAATAGGATTATGTGCTTGTTGTTTATGTCAATAACGACACGAGTTCATCAAGAGTCTACTGTATAAGACGCCCATGTAAATGCTGTAGCAAGTAAAGGCACGGGACGGGGAGCCCCACGTCACCAAAAGGGGAAATTTTTCTTGGCTCGAATTCCTCCACAGTATACGAGTTCTTCACGATAACCCAAAAAGAAACAAGGCAACGCCCTGATCAACCAGTAGCAATTAATCTTAAACGGGATCGACACTCTCGCTACGCTCCCGCTGCAGACTCCTGTCCAGAAAACCTGGAGAAAACGCCCCCACCATCGCATCAGCCACAGGTGACCAGTCAAAGGCACGACCCGCAGTTCACGAAGCTCTTCCTTGAACTTTGAAGCACTACGACTGTACATCGAAGCAAGGAGCTAAAGCGACCGCAACCGCAGTAGCCGCGGTCCATCGCGCGATCAACTTTCGCCAAGATGCATACATTGAAAGCAACCGCCGCGTCGTCGCTGGCGTTGCCGGCGGAGAACTACATCTACACGATTGCGGCGTCAGCTCCTGGAAGCTTTGCGGCTATCAGCTCGGATGACTCGCTGCGTGTCTTTGACGCTGCTACTCTCGATCGTGTCTCGGTGATCTCCCAGAAGACCCATGACGCTGGGGTTACTTCGCTTCGGAGCTATGCTGCGGGAGAGTCGCCGCTCTTGGCGACTGGTGGTCGGGAGGGGAAGGTGAAGCTGTGGGATGTGCGGGCTGGGAATGCGGTTGTGGAGATGGAAACTGGTGAGTCGGGCTGAATCATCTTATCTGTGTTTTTTTTTTTTTTTTTTCGCTCCGATTGTCCTTCTGGCCTCAGATGTGGCTTTTGGGAGGTATCTGGTACATCCTGGGATGTGCGGGTACCAGCTGCGATTATGGAGGTGATGCATCTCGGAATGGCTTGAATGGCGTGGGAGAATTTCTACCGCGTGGCGGAGGGACTAGAGTTTCTTTATCTGCTAGACACGGATTGGCTGATCATTCTGTATGTTTCTAGCGAGACACGCCCCAGTGCTTTCGGTGGCTTGCGCCCCAGAGACCAACACGATCGTCGCGGGAACAGAGCTTCTTTCTTCGCAGGCAGTGGTTGCATTCTGGTAAGTGGTATGCCTGGAGTTGCAGCAGGGATATCGATTTCCCGTCGTGTTGATTGAACATCTCCCCGCTGAAACTTATACTTCCCACTGCTAACGACCCCATACAGGGATATCAGATCTCCACAGGCACCTAGGCTGCAATACGTGGAAAGCCACAACGACGATATCACCGAGGTAAACATTATTCCATCACCTTTCCTGTGGAATATTGGAAATATCACATCCCAATCAAAATACCCGTGTCACGACCCTATCGCTAGAAATCCCAACTAATCTGAAATGTCCGGTAACACAGCTTCAATACCACCCGACTCGCAGCAACATCTTACTATCCGGCAGCACGGACGGCCTTGTCAACGTCTACGATACCACCATCACAGACGAAGACGATGCTCTCGTTCAAGTCATCAACCACGGCTCCGTCCACCATGCTGGCTTCCTCTCGGAACGCACCATCTACGCACTAAGCCACGACGAGCAATTCTCCGTGCACCCGGCCACCGACCCCGATGATCCAGCACAGGAACCCGAGCCCGTGCATTTTGAAGACGTGCGCGAGCGCCTGGGTTGCGAGTACGTCGTGCAGTTATGTCTCGGCGCGCAGGGGCCGTACATTGCGGCTGGGAATAAGATGTATGTGTACAGCCAACCCAATAACGCCTGGCCCTTATGTAGCCGAAATACTAATGATGTGAATTTCCTTTGGGCATGCAGTGACAAACGGTTGGATCTGATCCCGCTCGTGTCAACCCCGACATGGCGGTTTGACCAGGAAAATCTCTGGCGTCTACCCGGCGCCCACGGCGACGAGGTCGTACGATCGGTCTACTTGGATGAACAGGTATGTCTCAGCTGAACATTGGAGCCTGGCGTTAAGTCAGGCATCAGGTGTTTATTCGTGACTAATGCTGAATGTAATACAGAGTCAATCCGTTTTCACTTGTGGCGAGGACGGCTTTGTGCGGGCATGGAAACCGGTTGATGGCGACGATGAGGTTCAGAACCCGGCTGGATCTGGAAAGATTTCTCGGCCGAAGGAAAAGAAGCAGAAGGACCGGTTCAAACCGTATTAGTCTGCTACATGCTGTGGGTAATCGCAGCTTGTCTTGTGTAGCATTGGGAGTTAGGGTGGTAGGAAAAATAGGTAGCAGTGCAGCTCGTCTCTTTTTATTGGGTCCTTCTTAGCACGCACATGAGCATGACTGGTGTACTTGGAGCCTACGTTTAAAGCAGTGGCTCCACTACTTTCTTGCAGCCAAGATATACAAGGTACATGATCCAGGCGACTATTATTATGAGTACCGCGTCAGGTTAGACTGGAAAAGTAAGTGAGCGACTCCTCACGTGACAATCTAGTGATTGATGTGTGTTTGATTTGGGGGCCAAATCAAACGTCTTGTCAAAGTCAAGCTTTTGAACAGACCACCCGGAAACAGAGGCGATGAATTGATTCTGTTTGAGTCCGAAATATCCTTATATTTCTTAGTTTCAGAGGAGCATCTAGCTCCGAAGTGAGGAGCAACCGAGAAATGGGAGGCAGTGCACCATTCAGTAGTAAAGGCTGCGCAACATGTAGAAAACGCAAAGTCAAAGTAAGTAGCAGCAGTCATAGTACTGATTCACTGTCAGATATTTGCTGACGTATCCCATGACTATAGTGTGACCTCCAGAAGCCGGAGTGTGGAGGATGTATCAAGCGTCGGATGGTCTGTCCAGGGTATACACAAGGTCATCACTTTTTTGCCCATTACAGCGCGACACATACCCCGGGGAAGTCGAAGAATGGTTCAAGCCCCCAGGAACAGATAGTCAATCGGGCTCAATTGCTACCGCAAAGAATTGAAACACAGCCTCAGAGACGCATGCAGCTCCACGCATCTTTTATGAGCTCATATTATCCCATGAGCTTGGACATGAGGGCTATCAAGGAAGTCGATTTCTTCTTCCAGCTTATGTCGAGTTTCATTGATCTCCCAGCAAAGCCGGTCATTCTAGAAACTGCAATTTCGGCTCTCTCTTGTCTCTACTTTGGCGCAGCCAATCATGACCAGTGTCTTCTTCGCCAAGGTACACAGCTTTATAATGATACGATCCGCCTCGTGGCGAGTCGAATAGGCAGGTGGCCTGTTACAGATGACATTGTATACACCAGCGTTATATTCAAAGCCATCGAGGTAAGAAATTAGAGAGCCCCTCTATTAGAATTGCGAATTGCTGACACTGGTCTCAGACATTCAATTGTCCGGGCGGGACCAAGTCCATGGGGGCTCACATGGATGGCCATAATTCGTTCCTGAGACGTCTCAACCATCCAACCTGTGATCCTCGCATGAAGCATGTTTTCAAACTCCAGAAGCAAGGACTGGTAGGAACCATCTGCATCGTTTACCGATATTTAGCCTCTTCGGCATTCAACTGATCACTATGTCACGCCAATAGATGTATGCACCGATGTTATTCAAAAGTTCCGGTAGTGACTTTGATTATCTGAGGCAATACAAGGACGACGTACCTTTCGACGAACTTTTCGAAATCTATGTTGAAATTACATCCCTCGCTGCTGCTGCAAAGTCCATCGAACTATGTCGCAATCCAAAATTTGACTGCGAAACTCTGCTCTGGTCATGCCGAGCACACCGGAAAAGGGCACTTGGTTGGTACTCTCGTAATCTAGAGAGTATTGGTGGCCGACCAACCCTGTGCTCCATCAACAAGCTGAAACGCATCAAGGTCCCACTCCCGCCGGCCAAGAATCTGTTTGGTTCGTTTTATAGATTTTGCTCACTCCGACAGGCAGAGTTGCATGTGTTCTTCTGGAAAGCGATGATAATCATGCAGCTGTTGATCTACCGAGCCCAGGTCTTGGTTCTGTACCGTGCCAGGTCAAATACTCAATGCACCTCCACCGAGGGCATTCCAATAGATCCCAGAAGCTACAGTGAATGTTTGCTTGCCGGCGACTACGCAGATGAGATATGTCGAGCTATCCCACACTTTTTACAGGAAGGCATGGGGTCATATGGCATGTTGAAGATCACAGTCAATCTTCCTTATATTCTCAAGTCATATACGCACCTGAGATGCAAGGAGAAGTTTCTCTGGGTTCAAAAGATCTGTCAGTCAGTCGCCAGTGACGGCAATGACTTGGCTTTGTGTCACAGCCAGGTTTGGTGGAAATACTGGTTCTTATGTGAGGAACCAACAACAAACTGGATCCGCAGCTTGGCGTTCAATGAAGATTATAGGGAAAGGTGCCACGTTTTTATTGAAGGTGACTTGGTGACTGTGATCAAGATGACCAAGGATGGAGAAACTTGCGCGGAATCAGAACTTCCAAACGTGACAAAAGTGAGAGAGGCAATGAATGCTCCGGACACAAGAGCGCTGCCTGAGCCACAGCGTATTCTCTGACAATGAATTTTGGCACTCGGTATACAAGGCGACGGTCATTGCATTTCAGGGGCATGGTTCTTTGAAAATGGACATATTCCATGCCTGGAATAAAGCTGAGTAATCAATCAAGTCATATTCAAAAGCAGAGGCGTAGTAAAAGACATTTCCTGATCGCCAGCGTCAAGGCTTTGGGAATATTCGTTGAGGCACCATCAGCAATACAGATATCACGTGACATCATTGACTTCAAACCTGAAAGATCTGGCGAGCAATCTCTTATCGCCCAGGAACCAATTTTTTTCAATGTTATCCGCCCGACCAGTTCCCTCTCTTCTCAAAAGGGAACACTTTCCTTTGACACACCTCTCGATAGCCTCACCCTGGAGTCCCTGATGAGATAGTAGTCGAGCAATCAGACTATCCGCTCTTTCGCAGTCCTTCCATCTGCTCCCTCTCATACGCCAGAGCGTCCTCACCACCTACCTACCTTCCTCTACCCGCCAAACACCTCTCTCAAGACGGCTCTCGTTCCTCCTGCAACACAATGGACGCACAAGCCTATCTCATCCGACACGGATGGTCTGGTCCCGGCAATCCCCTCAACCCGAACCAGCGCCCAGGCCCACACGGCGGTCTCGGTCTCACAAAGCCCATTCTCGTCGCGCGCAAACAGAACAACCACGGCGTCGGCAAGAAGACAACGAAAGACCCCACGAATCAGTGGTGGTTGCGCGGATTTGAAGATGCCCTCAAGGGCATCGGTGAGGACAAACCGACCTCGACGAGTTCAAATAATGCGTTGACGAGCGAACTGTACCGTCACTTTGTGCGCGGTGAATATCTTGCCGGAACCATTGAACAGAAGACAGTGGAGGAGCCTAAAGAAAAGTCCAAGTCCAAATCAAAGAGGAAGCGCGATTCCGAAGACGAGGATGAGCGTCGAGCTAAGAAGGAGGAAAAGGCTGCGCGGAAAGAGGAGAAGCGCAAGCGTCGGAAGCTCAAGGAAGATTTGGAAACCGCCGAGTCTGCGACTGTGTCTTCAAGTGAGACGTCTGGTTCGGAGAAGCGCAAGGAGAGCAAAGAAGAGCGTCGATTGAGGAAGAAGGAAAAGAAGGAGCGGAAGGAGCGCAAATCAGAGGAAAAGAAGTTGAAGAAGTCAAAGCGTTCTGCGAGCGATGAGGATTATCCTACACCGAGGTCGACCGATGAGGATCGGGATGATGGACAAATGGATATCGCGGAATCAGATGAAGCCCCTGCCACGACCAAAGAGAAGAAGGCAAAGAAGGAAAGCAGGAAGTCCAAGTCCAATTCCAAGGATAAGGATAGCGAAGGGGAACGGAAATCTGATTCGAAGAAGCCCAAGAAAGAGAAGAAGGCGAAGAAAGAAAATTTCGCTTGAGCTATCAGTCCGCTTTTGAACGTATAAGCGGTGCGCTAGACAGTCTTTTGCATTGCCACGGGATTGGATACATAGATTTTGCATTGATTCTCGCGATCAAGATACCCCTTTTATTTGGCGAGGATAATGAATTTCAAAAGTCATTTTTCATTCTATTTCGTATATTTCATGGTGCCATCTCTTTTCTCATTGCTCGTATCAGCTCTGTACCGGCAACTTCCCAGGTTTGCCGGATATAATCCACGGACGTCTCTCCCAGAAATCATCCTTGATGATATCGATGTGATCAACTATGACTTGTGCTTTTCGGCGGAGCTTCTTGAGTTTGTCCTGCTGTGAGCGCGACTGTTTCGCCTCGGGGGGCGAGACCTCATCTTGAGCTGCTGGTTTCTGCTTGGGCTCCTCGAGCTCATACTACAAGTGCCATGTCAGAGGTCCGAATCGAAGGCCAATGAGAAGGGTTTCATCCTTACTTGGCGGTAGAGCACACTTCCTTTCTTATAGATTTCCTCTTCATTGTTGTAGTTGATGCCAAAGCGCTTGAATAGAATCTCGTTTTTGTCGGCGGACACAGTTCCCTAGTTCAGGTTAAAAAACCATACTCTTTCTTGCTCGATCGCCACATTTCTGTAGGAAGATTGTACCTTTAATTCTTGCTCTGCGTCTGTGTTGCTCAGACCACCTTGTTGGACCATCGTCCAAAAGGTTGTGTTGTAGAGATTGTTAATGTGACCTACAACGCGAAGATGAGCAAGCCTAAGTATTACCAACTTTCCGTGAGATCAAGGCAGACTTACAATCAACTTGTCGCCAGCTCATATAATCCCGCAGAAGTCGCGTCGAAGGATAGATGACCGCCCGGCCATCAAAGGAAGGCAGATATGGTGGCTGGAGAGGCTTTGATGGGAAGTATGTCGACCAAAGATAGATGTAGTGTGCAGTGAAAGTTGACACAATGGTCGTGACCAGTTTCCTGAATCCTCAAAATCTCAATCGGCGGGCCATGAAGATGACAAGCAAGGGAATAAAGCAAAAAAAGGTACGGCCAACTTACGCGCTTCGTCTCTCGAATAGCTGGCAGCTTGGGTGGAAGACAAAGCTAAATTATCAACGTTAAAAATGTGACTTTCCTGGGAGTTTGTTGGCAAAGACGCATGAGACGAACCTGTACTCGTCACTGACGCCATATGCAATACATAGATCCGGAAGCTCTTTCATGACCTCAACCGCCGCAGCATTCATGAGGTCGAGTGCGCGCCGGTCATTTGGCTTGACAAATGCATAGTGGTCCGACAGCCTGTGAGAGATGACATAAATACGAAGAAAGATGAGTGGTAGGGCACCAGGTAGGCCTAGCTAGCCCTCTGTGCAGCTGTAAGTGGCCCACTAGTCCGCTGGTAAACCCCAGAGAGTACTTATATGCTCGAGCCGACTGTGCGCAAGCCGTACACTGGGCGTGGAACGTGAGAGCTTACTTGTGAAATCCTCTTCCATCGATGCGGACCACGATCCATGTATTGGGAAGCAAGACGTCAGGTTGCTCAAAGTCCTTGACGTATTCGAATCTTTGCATAGTCAAAAAATAAACCTGGATCTGGAGGACTGTTTCAATACTTACCTCGAGTTAGCCATAGCTCCTCTCCACTCTCCCTCGCGGTGCTTGTGGGTGTGTCGAGTGCCGAGTGGGTGGATTCGTTGCGGTAGCGAAGACGAGTCATGATTTTGTGCGGCGATTTGGTGCCCGCCCAACTCCAAACTGCTGCGGAAAGCCCAAACTCAGCTTCTGCGAACACAGCTACTGTACAGCTTTTGACTTACGTTCAAGTTCTTCCTCTAGTATCAAGTGGAGTACCTCTATGTGTCTTAATTATTTTACCAGATTTATACAATGTAAACGATTGTGGAAGATGCATGTATCATATTGCCTAGGAAATAATAGTCGCTGTCTAACACAGACCGAACAAAGCCGTCAAGGCATGGGTTCTCCAGAATCCAGAAAGATAGGAAATAACTAGAAATAACGAAGGATCCGAACCACAGAAATATCACGAATGGGTGATCTCAGGGATTGAAATATCCTCATCACCGACTTCACTAGCTCGCTCACTCGTCTCGCTCGCCTTGTCAGACTTGCGAGACTTGCGCGAGAAGAATCCTAGGCTACTCCGCGTCGAACGATCTGCGGAGGGCGCACTGGAGACGGTGCTGTCGATACTCTTTCCCAGTTGGGCCTCGCTGGCTGCGTCCTCTTCAATGTCACCTTGAGACGACTCGCCCTTCTTGGAGAACAGCCCAGACCGGTCTTTCCAGGAGCTGAACTTGCTAGAGCTGCCCTTACGAGTAATCTTGCGGATGAAAGATTCCTTAGATGCATTATCCGCAGATGCTTCGGATGGCATGCGCTCCAAAGATTCATACGACTCGCCGGTGAGAAGGGAGAGTGAACGCGAATCTCGCGATGTGCGTGGCTCCGAGGGGGATCCGTCATCCACATGAAGATCGAAGGAAGCCGCAGAATCTTTGTCCTTATCCTGGTTTGACTTCTTGCCGCTGAAGATCGCCGTGAACGTTGGTGCAGCCGGGTTGAGCTTTGGGGTAATCGGACGGTGGGATGACGACGGCCGAGTACCAATTGGAGCTTGAAGCGGTCGCAGCTGGCGCTCATACGACTCCTCAACAAAATCAGGTTCCCCCGTCAATCCCAGAGGGAGGTGCCCGGAGGATCCATATGAAAGGGAAGGTCGACGAGATGGTGCTCGGGACCACGTTGATGGTGAGGCCCAATCCAGACCGAGAGGGCTATTGCGGTGACCCGTCTGTTCGGCGGACGGCCACCCGAAATGGCGATTGTCTGTGGAAGGATGAGGAAGCTGGTTTTGATTGTCAAAAGAAAAGGTCGAAGAAGGACGAGGGGAGAGAGAGCCACGACGAACGTTTCCAAGGAGCGACGAGGGATCAATGGGATCATGCCGTGGGCTGAACTGATTGTAGCCAGCGCTCAAGTCGGAGTTTCCACGACTGCCAGTGCCGCCGAACCCAAATTTACTGGACGAGAAGATACTCGAGAACGCAGCGCGTCTAGATGGCGGGTGATCCGACGAACTGTCCGCAGTGACTCCAGTAGTGTTGCTCCGTGGGAATAAAGACATAGGGTTCGCCCAATTTCCTGTGTAACTCAGTCTCCGGCGTCGCGAACCGATGGGGTCCATCTCATCAACATTACGTGGGAAGGATTGGCTCTGCCCTGGCTTCAACGTCCCCAACATAGGTGGTTCATCAGCCAGCGTCTTTCCTCGAGGCCGATGAAATCCAAAGAGCCCAGAAAGCCGCCGAGACGCGCTCTTGGGCCGGTCTCCATCAGTGGACAACCCCACTGGCTGAGAATCAGAGTCCCGTCGGTTAAGAGTTTCAAGCGGACTGGCAAAGATACTACCCGGTCTGCTCCCTGAAGATGCAGGCGAAGCGGGCCCGATGCCAAAGCTATCTAGAGGATTACTCGGTGTTTCCATGGTTGAGAAGCGCGGTCGGGTCAGTGGGCGTGGGAACTCAGGTGATTCCTCATCACCAAGAAGGTCGGACGGCAACAAAGCATCAGCCCGAGGGCTCATTTGAGGGTTATTGAATGAAGCCTCCACATCCGAGCGCATAATTTCAGGCGGGTCAGAAAGACCAGGAATGGTCATTCCATTATTGATATTGAAGAATGCAGAGCTGGGCGGGAAGGTAGGCGAGTTCGTTGAAGGAGGATTGTAGCTGAGACCGCCAGTGAAAGCTGTTTCGACTCCTGGGAAGTTCACAGGAGAAGAGACATTGCTGGTCAGCGAGCTGCGATGACGACGCGGTCGGATGGTTGCGGTATTCGACAGATCCAGCTCTAATGATGGCAGGGAGAATGGACCCGAGCTGCTGGGCCGCTGATTAGTTAGCCACTTCAGCCGTTCCTGAGCTTCTTGATATTGCTGCTGAGCCTGTGCATGAAGGCTGACCAGAGTCGCATATCGCGCATGCAAGCTATTCAGCTTCAATTCCCATTGGCGAGCCCGCTCGTTGTCAATCCGATCCAGCTCCTTCCCATCCTCACTCTCACCATCTTGAAGCCCTTTCCTCTCATCCTCGAGCTTCTTGATTCGTCCACCCTTCTCTTGAATCTCGTCGTCAATGATTTTCATATCGGCTTGCTCCTTCACAATCTTCTTGCGGATCTCATCTCCACGTTCCTTGCCATCTTCCTCCAATCGCAACTTGTCTTCCTTCACCTGGGCAGCATCGGAATTCATGCGAGAAATCTTCTCCTGCCATCGTAGAATGTCATTTTTTCGCTTGTCACGTTCTGCTTCCTTCTGCTGAAGAAGTCTCATGCGCTTCGTCTTCTCACTTTGGACGGTTCGGTTGACGCTCTCCAGTTTTGAAACGTGCTTTTTCAAATCTCCACTGACTTCGTCCTTCTCCTTCACACGCTTCTTCAGTTCATCACGCTGCTTCTCGAGATCCTTGAGCACGCCCATGTGTTCGTCGTCTTCTTCCGTCGCTTGCTTTTCCACGTTGTCGTTTTCTTGTTGCAAAGCTTTAAGGCGATCCGCTAATTGCTCCAAACTCTCGTCGCGATTGCTCCGGTGGCCATTCCGGCGAGAATCATCGAACTGACCGTGAGAATAGTCAGCAGCTCCTGTAGCAGGCGATGACTTGCGACCTGTAGAGGGTCGCTTTCCCGGCATTTGACCCGCACTGTGCTCGCGAGACATGACCGGGGCCGACGGAATGGGCAAGCCGGCGGTAGACCTGGGAATTGACGCTCTGATTGTTGGACCACCAGAGGTGGCATCTTGCTGGGCTTGGGATAGCGGAAGGGATTTCGTTCGGACGTGAAGGATAGCACTGGGGGTTTGAAAATTCGCGGCGCTGACGGAAAGAACACAAATATGATATATGCTCCCCGGAATGAGGTTTAGAATTTCGACCGCGGTTTCCGCCCGCTTCGACTCGCCAACTGCAGATCTTTGTTAGGCATACGCTTGATTTTTTTTCGCCGAAGATTCTGACCGCGGCGGAGGTAAAACGTACCCTTGACATTGTTCACTTGAATGATGTGCTTATGTATAGAATTGTGAAAGTCCGGCTGTTTCCAAGCCACACGAATCTCACGCGCTGTAATCTCTTCGAGGGTCACCTCTGGGGGCGGCGGAATGTCGAGGCCCAGCTTCTCCACCAGAACGTCATTTGGGGTCTGGCAGACCTGCCATGCTCGGTATAGGAGCCTGAAAGTTTTGAGTCGCAGCGACGGTCAGTCCGGCATTCTACAACTCCAAACAACCGTAGGAAACTCACCAGATCAGGGCCCATAGGATCGAGACGGCCAGAAACAGAGCCATGAGGCCTCGCACCTTCACTCGCGGGACGACAGTTGGGTAGACATCGAAGGCGAGATAGAATGGCTCATACATCCCAACGTCAGTCACCCATTGACGCGGGCAGCGGGGACGAGGTGGAGGTGGTGGGAAGGAGAGAGAGCAATGCAGACTTGATCGGCCTCTCCAACTTGGGTGGGACATGAATGTCACCTGACCCACGTTTAGTCAGGACCGCCCTTATTGGGACTAGCGTGATCATGGCTCTGGGATCGGCCGCTAGTCTACTTCCAGACTAGCGGATCCAAGATTAGAGACCTCGGCATGCTGGCCGGGCTTACCTAATAAACGTTGGGTGTTGAATATGTTGATGAAGGACCAACAGATCCGGGGCCGCCGGCTATGGAGGTGGGCCTATTGAAATTGGGCCATATCTGCTATTTCTATTTGTCGTCTTAGCCCTGTCTACCATTTCTGTTCATACGGGGATCTGTGGCGGTGGTGATGCAGTCGCGGCTACTTGTCAGCCGAGTGTCACATGGGCCGTTTGGTAGCGGCGATTCCGATTCCCTCCCAACGAACCTGTTTCCAGTGTCCACCCCTCTCTTCCGCCCGATCAAGTTCTCTTGACGACGTAAATACATTCACTTGAAGTTTCTGTTGCGCATTTTATCATCTTCTTACAGAGCCGTCGCCAAGGGTGCTTGACCCTGATCTGGCGAGATGCAGTACGTACGCAGCATCAGCGGCTCTGTCTCCAAGACATGGAACTCGATCAACCCAGCCACGCTGAGCGGTGCGATCGATGTGATTGTTATCGAACAGGAAGATGGTATGTTACAATTTAAAACGAATCCAATCCTTCGCAATCTACTCTTCCTGTCTCTATTGCGAGCTAGGCTGATATCTGTGTTTCTCCGCTCATTAGGCACCCTCGCTTGCTCACCCTTCCATGTACGCTTCGGCAAGTTTTCGCTCCTGCGTCCATATGAAAAGAAGGTGGAATTTAAAGTCAATGGGATAAAACAAGACTATGCGATGAAGCTTGGAGAAGGAGGCGAGGCATTTTTCGTCTTTGAAACCACTGATGAGATCCCCGCATCCCTACAGACCTCACCACTGGTGTCTCCCGCGGCAAGCCCCAAAGTCCCTGGTGAAGATCTTGCATCTTCCCTATCAGAACCAGAATACCTGGACCTTGAAAAATCACACGGAGACGCTTTATCAGAAGGTGCAACGACTCCAATGATGACTCTCCCGCGGCAGGCGCGGGTAACTACGGATCTAGGTATGGCGATCCTGAAGACTCAATTGATATAGTTGCCTCCTGCTAATTCATACTCGTAGGGGTGATGACTCCCTTGTCTCGTTCCCCCGCCGAATCGGAGCTGAGCCCTGCCCATGGCGACTCGTTCAAGTCTAACCCCCCTTCGATCACTCGGTATCGGACAACATACTTTCCACCAGTCTTCCTCGATCCGAGGACGGGAAGCGGACCTCCGTGAGTGGCTCTGGGTCAGCTCATGGGGATGATGCCGAGTGGAGAGATCGTTCTCGTAGCCCTCCTCCGCTGTCACCAGAGGAGGCTATGTCTCGTGCGGTCTCTCTATCTAAGAAGCTTTCCGGCTCAAACATTCCGTCTCACGTTACCGACACCGGTGACCTTATGTTGGATATGACGGGCTATAAAAGCAATGAAGAGGATGCTATTCGGGCCGAGGTCCTCGCTCGCAAGATCCTTGCCGAGGAATTGGAAGGCAGCTATGACATAGGTGCGCTCATCGGTGCAGACGAACATGGGAACCTGTGGATCTACAGCAGTGAAGAAGCCAAAGAGGCAGCCTATCGAACAGCGACCCTCAATTCCATGCGGCCTACTACGGCCCTGAGCGAAGATGCGGTCTCCGACCCTGGGTACCACAGCGAGGGTGACCATCCAACCCTAGAGTCTGCGATGAGCGCGCGCCACCATCGCACCAAGTCGGATGTTCAGCCAGGCTTTCCCACCCCTCCTCAATCCCCATTGCAGGACTCGTTCCCCGTTGAGACTCGCAATTATGCCAAGACCCTGCGGTTGACCAGCGATCAGCTCAAGGCATTGCAGCTGAAGCCGGGACCAAATCTCATGTCCTTCAGTGTGAACAAGGCAACCTGTACGGCAAACATGTATCTGTGGAACGGGAACGTGCCAATTGTGATCTCTGACATTGATGGGACAATCACAAAGTCCGATGCTTTGGGTCATGTTTTGAACATGATCGGACGTGACTGGACCCACACTGGCGTCGCCAAATTGTACACGGATATTGTCAACAATGGCTATAACATCATGTACCTCACCAGTCGATCGGTTGGGCAGTCAGACACCACGCGGGCGTACTTACATGGAGTATGTCAAGACGGATACCGCCTGCCCAAGGGACCGGTTATCTGCAGTCCCGATCGAACCATGGCGGCACTGAGACGAGAAATCTACTTGAGGAAGCCGGAGGTCTTCAAAATGGCCTGTCTGCGCGACATTCTTGGATTGTTCGCAGGGAAAGAAAACCCATTCTATGCCGGTTTTGGAAATCGATTGACCGATGCCTTGAGCTACCGATCGGTCAACATTCCTTCGACACGGATCTTCACCATCAACTCGAATGCCGAGGTGTCTCTTGATTTGCTGAGCTTGAACAAGTACAAGAGCAGCTACGTGACTATGCAGGAGCTGCTTGATCACTTTTTCCCTCCCGTCAGTCTCCTGGTTCAGTCCGGAGGCGAAGAATATACGGATTTCACATACTGGCGGGATACCCCTCAGGAACTTGATGATTTCTCTGCCACTGACAGTGAAGAGGAAGAGGAGCCTGCGGATGATGAAATGCTTGAGGATGATGAGGATGCGGATGAAGAAGAAGATTACGATGATGAACTAAGCGAAGGAGAAGGTAGTGAATACCTTGACGAGGGAGCTGCAGACGAAGAAGGAACCGATCTGGGTGCAAGTTACATATCGCAGGCTTCCGAAGCTCTCTCCAACCCCGCAGGGTCTATCGTGGAGTCTATCGAGGGCGATCAGGACCTCGAAGACGTTGAGGGACTTGATGGAGAAGAAGATGTGCATGCTGTTGGTGCTACGCCGGCCGAACCAGCAAGCTCCATCACCCTTCCTCTCCGTCCCAAGTCTCGGGACGTCTGAACATATCCCCATTGTGTACATTGCTTTCCTCATCCGCACTGAACCATAGAGGCGAAGTTTGTCTCGCGCCATCCAGATACCCCACATCTTGCTATTCATTTTGAACCGGCGTGTGCAACGGCATTGCCCTCTTGGTGACCCATTACCCTGTTCAACACAACTTGCATGCAAACCCGGGCTCGGAGTCTGCACTATACCGAACTGTTTTTGTGATTCGCGTGTCTTTTGGTTCTCTACTCTACGCATTGGTGGCGTTTGAAGCGTTGTGTTCTAGAATAGTGCTTTTGCATCAGAGAAACCACTCTGGATCTATCATTGTATCATTGCAATAATTCATCACAATATATCATTTTATCATATATCTATTATCTACTCAACCCTCTCGAAAGTGTGTTCTCATGACCGACTTTATAGGTCTCGGTCATACTGATAAGGTGAGCGTGTGTTGGCGGTCCGTTCTACCCCACATTGGCTGGAGCTACCAACGGTCCCCCCACAACGGGGACTTGTCATTTATCGACCTTCGATGAAACACAGGCTCATTGACAAACAACATGGATAAAGTCTGGCACCGCAGCAAGATGCCTCCTAGGCAATCTTCTGCCCTTGAATATTACAATCTTGGAAGGTATCAGCGGCCTATCAGCACCACTAGCCCGGATGCCCAGGCATGGTTCAATCGTGGCCTAATCTGGGCGTACGCGTTCAACCACCAGGAGTCAGCGCGGTGCTTTGAACAAGCTATATTGTTTGACCCGGCGTGTGCCATGGGGTACTGGGGTCTTGCATTTGCCCTGGGGCCAAATTACAATAAGCCATGGAAACTGTTCGATGGAGAAGATCTTTCAATAACCACGACGCGGGCTCATGGTGCAGCTATGGAAGCCAAAAGACTCGCAGCCAGGGGGAGTCCGGTAGAGCGAGCAATAATTGAGGCATTACAGCATCTCTATCCGCAGGAGCAGCCTCTGGATGACTGCACTGAATGGAATCACCGGTATGCCGAGGCCATGAGCTCAGCTTATCGGGCCTTTCCGGATGACTTGGATGTTGTCACCCTTTATGTCGATTCACTGATGAACTTGACACCGTGGAGCCTGTGGGACCTGTCTACGGGCCAGCCTATCCCTGGTGCTCGAACATTCGAGGCGAAGCAGGCGTTGGACCGTGTCTTGACCCAAGAGAGAACGCTTCAGCACCCGGGCCTTTTGCATCTGTATATCCATCTTATGGAGATGTCACCAACTCCCGAGATTGCACTTCCAGTAGCGGATAATCTACGAGGTCTTGTGCCGGATGCAGGTCATCTCGAGCATATGCCGACTCATCTAGACGTTTTGTGCGGTGATTACCGTCGAGCAGTCGCATCAAATACCTCGGCCATTCGGGCAGACGAGAAGTTCCTCGCCAATCAGGACGTAGGGCATTTTTATAATCTCTACCGATGTCATGATTACCATTTCCGAATGTATGCTGCGATGCTGGCAGGTCAGTCCAAGATTGCTCTCGACACTGCCAACGTACTTGCGGAGTCGCTCACCGAAGATCTTCTGCGGGTTGAATCGCCACCCTTGGCAGATTGGCTCGAGGGATTTGTGGCTACGCGGGTGCATGCGTTTGTTCGATTTGGTCGATGGGAGTCTATCCTCGCTCTCGATCCTCCTGCGGATATGAGTCTCTACTGCGTTACCACGGCGATGATACATTATGGAAGGGGTGTGGCATTTGCAGCTACGGGCCGCATTGATGAAGCTCAACAAGAGCAGGAGCTGTTCCGATCAGCTGTGAAGCGAGTTCCATTATCTCGGACAATATTCAATAACACTTGTATCGATATCCTTGCGGTAGCAGAGCCAATGCTTCAAGGTGAAATTGCTTATCGCTGTGGGGATTACGATGCTGCTTTTGCCAGTCTCAGACTCGCAGTTGAAAAGGATGACAACCTTCCCTATGACGAGCCTTGGGGGTGGATGCAGCCTGCGCGACATGCTTTGGGGGCATTGCTGTTAGAGCAGGGGCGGGTCCGAGAGGCAATGGACGTCTACGTTGCCGATCTTGGGCTCGACGAGTCACTACCTCGCGCCTTGATTCATCCAAATAATATATGGGCCCTTCATGGTTACCACGAGTGCCTCGTCAAAATGGGAAGACATGCAGAGGCACGCATCATCCGACCACAGCTACAGTTAGCTGTGGCCATGGCTGATGTACCCATTCATTCATCGTGCTTCTGTCGGTTGCAGACAGCAACCTAGACCTTTTTGTACCTGATAGATTTAAATCAACGTGACGAACTCATATTATCAGATTTTATTAATAGCCAAAGGATAGTTCTGCCCCGAAGGCGACCAGTGTCCCTCTGGGTGGAATACCAAGCGGATTAACGCCAAGCATGGCCCAGCGCAAGGCAGAGTGGGAAGCGCGAGGTTCGCAGGAGACGAAGATGATTGGGCAAAATGGCATACTGTGCTAAACCCTATCCAACATTCAAAGTAGAAACTGTGTTGAATGTTTGGTGCGGAGGTCTGCTGTTTCTTGGCGTCGCCATGATGGCCAGCTGTCGAGAAGCTGTGTTTAGATGGAAACGGCAATGATGCTCACGTTCCCCAGATCGAAACTAAGCTGCAAGATCATCTTGATCATATAATTCTCAAGGGTTCCCTGTAAAGCGCTTTTGTCAAAGTCATGTACTTTCTAGTCACATCTCATCAGTTTCATTATGCTTTCTGACTATTACGATCAATATAACCCTACTTGGTATCTGGAGGCCGTTCCCAGACAGCAGAAGAAATGGCTTTCCCTTTTCACCCTGCGCTTCGTTGTAGCTCTATGTTATATGACGGTCGTGATATGCTTTGCATGGGCTTATTCCGAGCACGAGAAGCCAGTGGCCTATATTGATGGCTTGGGAAGTGCCTGGTCAAGTATTAATTTGGGAACTGTGAGAACAACCATATCTTTTGGGGTACATTTGAAGAAGCCGCGATGCTAATTTTTGAGTTTCGTGATACAGGCTGCTTACGCATGTCTCTGGTCTGCCGTTTTTCTCGTGGTCGTCCTCGTCTTCAACTGCAGAGTCCATCCCGGTGCAAGCATTACATTTGATTGCTTGGCCTTTCTTGCGCAAATCATCACCGTCAGCTTCTATGTCAATGAATTTGCTGAGTACCAGCACAGTGGCTACTCGGAGAATACTGAAGAAGCTAAGAGGTTGTACGGAGTAAAATGCTTCGGGATCGCAATGATGTTCTTGGGGCTGTGAGTTTTCACCCTATCTGTGCTTGAAGGGCGGCCCATGTCTAATTACTGCTCATGTTCTTGCAGCATATTTAACCTGATTCTCATGATTAGAGCCTCTATGGCTTGTCATGTCGAGCGGAGGGCTGGGAAGCAGGTTGCTCAGCCCAAAATCGAAGATGCCTAATGGCTCTCTCTAGCTCTCCTTGACTGTGCATCAAAGTCTCAGTCCTCTTGGAGCCGTCGAATTGGCCGATATATGGGCCTTCGGGGATTACATCGTACTTAAAGTCTAAAGTCTAAAGTCTAATGTCTAAATATCTGATATCGAATGTGGGCGCTCTTTCTTTGAATGCCTCCAAGAACCATGTCGATCATAAATATGTGAATGTGCATGAGACTCAACCCTTCGTGAAACAAAATACTGGACCACTTATGCCCTGATACACCTTGTTCCGACGTATCATTTCCCCAGCCTTTGACCGAAAATACCGCCCAACAGCTTCTGTCACAGGACCTCGTGGTAAGTTAATACAAGGATACTTCCTATTTAAAAGCTTGGTAGTATCTAACAGTAAAGTCAGAGCTACCAAAACGCCTTGACCCTCAGCCTGTCACTCTGAACGATAATCAGTATGCCGCGCTGGTGTCCTGGACATACAATGTTGGTAATGGTAATATAGAGTCGTCAGATCTTGTTAGACGCATGAATGCGGGCGAGGATGTCTCCCTCGCTGCGCATGATGAGCTGCCGCTGTGGGATAAGGCTAGTGGTCAGGTTGTTGACGATCTGACCCGTCGCCGTGCTGCGGAATTGCAACTCTTTGATGCTCCTGCTACTCTTCCTGCCCTGCCTGCTCCTCGTTAAATGATGGGGTGGTATATTTAGACTCAGATTCTTCGCTCCTTTTACTTGATAGTTGGCGTTTACATCTGTATATAAGGAAAAGCAGCTACTTGTTTTACCGTGATACTAAAAAGTAAAAATTGAGGTCGACAATGATAAACGGTATAAATATACTGGAGGTCCTTTCCACCTCGCCAATGAGTTATCTACTAGAAGACAAAAAGGCGGCTACTAATGCCATCCTAAGTGTGCTTCACGCGCACAGGGTGAGCCTCGGTGTTGAAGACGAAGGTGTTCTGGCTTCCCGTCTTCACTTGCCACTCAGCATCTATAATGATCAGTTTTAGCTCTCTCAAGTTCGTTTGGTCTTGAAGAACGGGCATTGGGACACATACCATCAGCGTGGATAAGGTACGAGTACTTCATGACCTCAGCAAACAGGAAGCTCTCCTGGTTGTCGGACTGGGAGCCGCCGTTAGGAGCATTAACGTCGGTCAGGGCCGCAAAGCCAGAGTCGGTTCGGGCGGTGGCGTTGATTGCAACGAAGGCGTTCCAAGCCCAGTCACGGTACTGCAGTCGCAATTAGTTCCATGCTCTATCATAGCACAACAAACGGGAGGTACTTACAAATTGCTTGCCAGTCACACGGTAGGCGTAGTAGAAGCTCTCAATCACCTCGGGGCGCAGGATATATGCGCCACTAGTAATGTAGAAGCCGGCCTTCTCATAAAAGTCCTTCTGGTCACTTGGGACGTTGTTGGGATCCCAGCTCCAAGAGTCGGGGCCGATCTTGGTCAGGGTCGCGTTGTAAGTAGCCTCGCATCCACTGACCAGCTTGAGACCAAAGTCGATAAAATCTTGACGACCAAGGACAGTACCACCCAAGAGGAAGCTGCCTCCATCGAAGCAAGTCAGGTGCTGCGAGTTGAGATAGTACTTCCCATTTTGGTATGAAGACAGCCAGGTCAGATCAGGGCGAGGCTCCGGGTGGGCTTGCAGATGCTTGATGGTCGACTCAGCTGCCAGCACCCAGCGGTCTTTGTATGTTGCGAACCGCTTCGGGTCGTACACATACATTTTGATGAGATACTCGTAGAAGGAGTCGTCACCGCCATCCCAAGAGACGTAGCCGTCGGTGAATTGGCCAGTTTCAATGTTGATGTTGCTGCCCACAAGGCCCGGGAATGGCTCACCGCTGGAGGGCTGTGGGTTGAGCAGGCGTGACTCTGCCTTCTGGCTCATGGTCGCATACTCGTCATCTCCAGTAAGGTCAGACAAACGCGTCCACTCGAGCACCAGAGTTCCGGTCACGGCGAGACCGTTGGTAGTTGACCCATCGTTACCCTGCGAGGTGATGTTGATGTTATTGTAGGGGACACCCGATCCTGTGTCAAAGGCAAACTTGAGAACATCCCCCAAGTTCTTTGCTTGGATCAGGAGATCGTCCACGAGATCCGAGTCTTGCACCATACTGGAAGCTGGTCCCTTGAGAAGGTCATAGCCGGACAGCATGCCACCCAGATAGCGGATGGTTGTCTCGAACAGGCTCACTTGGGAGTCGGTCTGGCTATAGTCGATTTTCGAAACATGGTCCAGAATAGTGTTGACCACATCTGTTTTGCCCATGATGATTGCAGTTGAAAGAGCATCAACAGCGGATGCTCCCCATCCATTTCTGCATTTCGCATTAGCTTGTGCTCTCACACAGAACAGTTGCGTAATCACTGGGTCTACGTTGCTCACCTGGAATCGCCATATCCGTTGCTTACTGGGTGCAATTCATCGTGAGGGTAAGCATATTTCATATACCCGTCCCATGCATGTTGAAATGCCTCCTTGACCGCGTCGGCTTTCTTCTGAGCATCTAAATCACGACGCAAGACCTCTTCGGAATCGGCGAATGGGTATGCCACCGAAGAGCTGACCAGGCTGAGCGCCGTTAATGAGAGTGAAACCGGGACGCGCATAGTTTGCTCGTGCACGCGCTTCTTGTCAGAGACGCAAGTTGTATATAAAGAGTGTTGACGATACTAAGAATGCACGAGACCACAACACGACGCAGCACTGAAGGACAGAAGAACGTCGAGAGGTAAGACGAGTCGCAAAACGAAAGACCACCCGCACGAGCGGGTCAAAGACGACTATTAAATCGATAGTGGATTTTGGTGGCTCACAACGAATAATGGGGAATGGGGGGATGTGATGGCGGTGGACACCCCGAAAGGGGAAACTGGAGGTCACACGCGACCTTGTTTACTTCCATTTTACCCAGTTGCTGCCTTCCCCTCCCTCGCCTCCTGTCCTTCACGTCTTTTCCATACGCTAACTTTGAATGTGCTACTCACTAGCTGCATAGTACGGTGGCATCGGGCTTGGTGGCGCAAGGACTGGGGCTCTGAGTTCTCGATTCCTGCCCTGCAAGGTCCCATTCGGACTGGGTAGCGAGCGGCCCTGGGGGATCTGCATTCTTCCCGGACTTCATTGGTCGCCCTCGACTGGGGTGATTCGGAGGAATGCAATGCATCTTGAGAGCTTCCGATCGTCGAGTCCATGCTTTCTGACTCGTCAGGTAGACACAGATCGGTTCATCTGCTGGAATCACCGGTTCTCTCGCTTGGTGGTTTCTCGCAGGTCATCGAGACAAGGCCCGTGGATGACCGCGGCAGATGACGGCAGTGCCAACCCTAAAAGCATGGGTCCCTTGGTGGCTTGATTTAGGGGCGCATCACGCACGGAGAGCCAAGCAATGCACACCCCCTCAGTCTGAGCTCCGGGACCATACAGGAAAGGCAACATGGCGTCACAATACAGCCAGGGGGAAAAAGGTACCCTCCTGGCGAGGTTTGATTGGCCTGGCAATCATCTAACCACGGTGGAGTCGGCCTGAAAGCCGGCATCATCGTGTGTCTTCGACGGGAGTGGGACATAAGACTGTGCGAGAGATCTGAGATTGATCGTCTTCCTGATTGTCTTCGCCTTTGTCGGCCGATGAAATGTCCATGCCTTTTCGGGGATAGCGAGGTGTCCTTTGAGTCAGAGTAAAAACTCTCTCATGCTCCTGCAAATAATGTAACCTAGTTATGAAGCCGAGCGATTATTATTCTTCATTCCATCGACATTGCGAGCAGGTCGAGCCTCACAGATGTAACCTACGGAATGTTGATTCTTATCTTCGGCATGCTTGCATTCTTGGAACTATCGAAGCCACAACCTTCCCTCGGCTAATTCGGTAGCTGCAGGGACTAAGGTTGTTTGGCCATCATTCTGACGACAAAGGAAGCCTTGGGCAGGAATGTTCCTTGTACCTGGCGATCCTGTCTGTTCTTTGGATACCAACAGCGAATTCAGGAGCAGTGTTCTCAGCACTCTACGGAGTATATCATTTCGAATTACCCCAACCACGCACTGCTTGCCAAACTCTTCTTGTACTACAGTATGTGAATCTAGAGGAAGATCGGCGAACTATAAGAAGTCCAGCACTAGCGCCGGCGGTCTAGTGGCTGAATGGCGGAAGATCAAAAGTCAAATTGCGACGGTCGGGAACTCCTTATAACAGTGCAAGAGAACATGGAATAAAATGTCTAACAGGTTCATAATTTGTTCTTCTGTGAAAGAAAAGTTTCCCAAGGCCATTGATGGCTTCCCACACAAGCTCCACCAATATCGCGTAGAGTCCTGTAGCTATCGTGTTCATTGGTGTTTTAATGTTGCGCCTCCCGCTTTGCTCTAAACCCTGAAGCGGCTCTTTCTGCTAAGTTAGAGCAATATCATCCGAAGATGAGAAGATTGGATTGAAGGTTATAGATAACATAAAGGCTATTACTTCAGTGAATAGAGTCTTAAGGAAAGGCGATGAGAATGTACTGTAGAGTCGCAAGCGAATTGTCTAGACCTCATTTGGATTTTTCTGGGGTCCTCGGGGCTTCAATCCTTGACTAAAACCCCCTATAACGCAGTCTTGGTCCAGGTTGAAACGCTCATATTTATCGAGGCCGGACATTGGAGAGCATCCTAGTACAAATTCTAAAAGAAAAAGAACAACGGGCAAGATCAGGAGAAGACAGGCCTATTAGTAACTGCCAGCGCATGATGCTTGGTCACGTAGTACATACACGAGAGATGCCTCTGCCTTGACAGTTCCAAACCAACTGGTATTGGCGTGATGGTATGGGACCTATCGGTGGAAATTGTGACATGGCCAACTTGCCTCCTTGCAACAATGCAGAAACTCGCTTGAGCCGATCTTTTTCAAAGCAAGTATCTGGACTTATCTCGTTGTTGGATAGACCAATGTATATATAGGCCTCGCCAACCTGAGACAGAATAATGTGTGCAGAGGATAACTACGAGGGCATTCTGGCATTGGCGGAAAGTGTCTCTGCAATGGTGCCCGATTGATCCCAAAGGGAGCTATTGAAAGCAATGTGATTTGAAATTGCCAGGCAGCATCCAGGATCCCTGTCGGTACCTTTCTTGCATCTCTGTCGAGGGGATGTGTGATTCCGAGCGTCCCCGATATCGCAATGCAGGACATTTTTGCGAACTACCGGCGTAGAGGGTGGTCACTGTTGTCAAAACAGAAAGAGAACCAACCCATCTTAGAATGAGAAGAATGCCTTCAGTAAACAAGGCAATCATTAACAATCCGAGTAATAACCTTAAAAAACCGCATTCCAGATAGCCTAACTCTGTCCTGGCAAGGGGAGAGAGTGTGGCGGACGATGAATCAGCGGGATGGGGCAGCGGCAGCGGGAAAAAGGAAAAAGGTAACCAGAGGAGTCATCGCTGGTAACAATTTTCCACTCTTACAAGCGTCTCCCCCAATTAACTCAAGGGGGCTTTGGACTTCCTTGTGATTGATTCTTGTCCTCTACCTCTTCCTCTCTTTCCCTCTTCTGGTCTTTAATTCACATTTCCGCCATGGCCACGCCCTTTCTTATCTCCTACCCCTCCACCCCCACCTCCGGCCTCACCCTCAAGCAGATTGCTTACTTTGGGCGAGTGCTGGTCAAGGTATCAACCCTCGCCGAGGCTGAGGAGTTCCTGCGACAGAATTTCCGCCAACTCGACGTCTTCGTCGATGCGACTTCCATTTCCTCCGCCGGCGACCTCGTCGATGTGCTCAATGCCGGTGCCGCTAAGATCCTCATCACCCTCGACCAATTGACCGCCCTCTCCCAGGAACAGTCGGTTCCTTCCTCTCGATTGCTTGTCTCCGCCCTGTCCGATGCCCAGATTGATACTTTCCACCAATGGATTGCCGCAGATGCCATTGAGCGCAACGATGCCAGTGTTTGCGTTACTACCGCCGCGGTCTCTGCTGCGGCTGCCAAATTGAATATCAGCTCGGACTTGCCCCGCCTGTTCACAACGTTTGGAGATGAGGCAGTGTCTGAAGATGCCGTCAACCAGGTCACACAGAAGGGTGCCATCGCCATTCTGCCTTCCCAGGCCTTGACTGTGGAGCGGGATGCTGCCGGCCAGATCTCTGCTGCGAAGCTCATTGCCGCACGCACTGTTACTGACCAGGCCAACGGCCTGTATGCTACATCTGTCACCGATGAGCGAGGTTCCTGCCTCGGATTTGTCTGGAGCAGCGACGAGAGCATTGCTGAGGCGCTCCGCACCGGTACTGGAGTTTATCAGAGCCGCAAGCGCGGTCTGTGGTACAAGGGTCAGTCAAGCGGCGATGTACAGGAATTGATCCGCATTGGCTATGACTGTGATGCGGACTGCTTGGTATTTGTGGTTAAGCAGATTGGACGAGGTAAGGTGGCTTCGGCCTCAGCAAATTTTGGATGTCTATCATAGCTAACGTGTGGTGACTCATTTAGGCTTCTGTCACCTCGGCACCGATTCCTGCTTCGGTGCCTCTGCTGGTCTCTCCCGTCTCCAAAAGACCCTATTTGCCCGCAAGGCCGATGCCCCCGCCGGATCGTATACCGCTCGCCTGTTCAATGAGCCCAAGCTTGCCGAGGCCAAGATCATGGAGGAGGCCGAGGAGCTGTGCCGTGCCACCACCAAGGAGGAGATCGCCTTTGAGGCTGCCGATCTACTGTACTTTGCCTTGACCAAGTGCACTGCTGCCGGTGTCACTTTGGAAGATATCGAGCGTAATCTTGACCTGAAGAGCCTCAAGGTGAAGCGAAGAAAGGGTGATGCCAAGGGTCCCTGGGCTGAAAAGGCTGGTTTGGCTCCCGCTACGAAGCCAGCTGCCGCTCCTGCTCCTGCCGCTGCTCCCGCTCCCGCTGAAGATCGCTCGCGCATTGAGATGAAGCGCGTTTATACCTCCTCCGCTTCGGTCACTGAGGTCAAGGAGTTCCTTAAGCGTCCCTCGCAAAAGTCAAACGATGCGATCGTTGCCATCGCCAAGCCGATCATCCATGATGTTCGCGATGGCGGCGATGCTGCCGTCCTCAAGTACACTCACAAGTTCGAGAAGGCTACCTCTTTGACCTCCCCCGTCATCAAGGCGCCCTTCCCGGCCGAACTCATGAAGCTGACTCCCGATGTCCAGGAGGCCATTGATGTCAGCATTGGCAACATCCAGCGCTTCCATGCTGCGCAAAAGGGCAGCAATGATACCCTTAAGATGGAGACTATGCCCGGTGTGGTTTGCTCGCGCTTCTCTCGACCCATCGAGCGCGTTGGTCTGTACATCCCCGGTGGTACCGCTGTCTTGCCGTCTACCGCCATGATGCTGGGTGTTCCTGCCATGGTGGCCGGCTGCCAGAAGATCGTTCTGGCTTCGCCTCCCCGCTCCGATGGTAGTATCTCCCCCGAGATTGTCTACGTCGCGCACAAGGTCGGTGCTGAGAGCATCGTCCTGGCTGGTGGTGCCCAGGCCGTGGCCGCTATGGCCTATGGAACCGAATCAATTACCAAGGTCGACAAGATTCTCGGCCCTGGTAACCAGTTCGTGACTGCGGCCAAGATGTTTGTGTCCAACGATACCTCTGCCGGTGTCAGCATTGATATGCCCGCTGGTCCTAGCGAGGTCCTCGTTATTGCTGACAAGACCGCCAATCCTGCGTTCGTTGCCTCTGACCTGCTGAGCCAGGCTGAGCACGGTGTCGATTCCCAGGTGATCCTGATCGCGGTTGACCTGACCGAGGAGCAGCTGCGTGCTATCGAGGATGAGGTTGACGCTCAGGCAAAGGCCCTGCCTCGCATGGACATTGTCCGTGGCTCGCTGGAGCACTCTGTCACTTTCGTGGTCCGCGACATTAACGAGGCCATGATTCTCAGCAACGAGTATGCCCCCGAGCACTTGATTCTTCAGGTGGAGGGCCCCGAGGCGATCGTGGAGCAGGTCCAGAACGCTGGCAGTGTGTTCATCGGTCCCTGGACCCCCGAGAGCGTGGGTGACTACTCTGCCGGTGTTAATCACTCACTCCGTAAGTCTGACCTTCACAATCACTTTTTGCCCCTGTAAACTAACCCTGTCTCTCAGCAACCTACGGCTACGCCAAGCAGTACTCTGGTGTCAACCTTGGCTCCTACCTCAAGCACATTACCAGTTCCAACCTGACCGCGGACGGTCTGCTGGGTCTGGCGAAGACAGTCGAGACCCTGGCTGCCGTCGAGGGTCTGGATGCGCACAAGCGGGCTATCAGCATCCGTGTTGCACAGATGAAGAAGGACCGCTCGTAGATTCTCTGCGATCGGTTGTGAATGTTTCTAAAATTCCGGGTTTTATCGTTTAGTGTCTTGTCATGAATGAATGCGCAATGAATGTTAGATAGCGGGAAAAGGACCCAAAAGATGTTGATGGGGTTTATTGCGAATGATATACAGTTTACATTTAGAATCGCATTTATTTCTAATATCTTCTGAGTCCTTGGTAATTCTTGAAGAACAGAGCCCGTGCTGGGTATGAGCGGGCTCCATCTACCAGGCTAGTCCCTAGCAGTTGATAGGGTCGATGCTCACATAGTACACATCGCTTTACTGGGTATCCACGACCAGGAACAGGAGAGTATAATGCATACGGTAGTAGGATTATAGCTGGTACTACCGATATTTCCAGCGAGGTATCTAAGGTATCAAACAAAAGAGATGCAATCATCACCGACTCCTGCAGGCACTTGTGCAGCCCCGACCTCGGACCCCCGAGATCGGACTCATCATTTTACCACTGCCAAAAGTCCTGCCCCCATCCAATCACCCAAAACTATGTAATCGAATTACAACTGGGCAACATCATTCAAAATCTGGACCTCCTGACCAGGCTTGAACGCAGGCAGACCGAGGTATGGGCAGCCAGCGCAGCGGAACGCATCGCCCAAGGCACAACTACCACATGAACCGGTCGTCTTACCCTCCACGGTGAAATCCAACTCGGTGAGATCGTCCGACTGCAGCTTCAGCACATTCAGATTCTTATCGGCGTTTGCCCGTCGCTCCTTATCCTCTGCCTCGAGGCGGTCTGCGAGACCGCATGTACAATCCTTGCAGGCGCGCCGCCTCCGGCCGGTCTTGGGTTGACACTCTGGGGCTGGAAAGAGAAGGAAAAAGAGAGTTAGCTAGTCGATTCTTCAGAGGAGCATAGATATAGATCCACGCCCGGGGTAATTGTCACATACGCGGCATGATGGGTCTCGTGAAATCCTCCTCGTCGATCAGAGAATCCTCATTAATCAACTCCTCATTATCCTCCGAGTTATTCTTAACCTCACTAAACCCGTTGTTCGTGAATCCACTCAATATACCCATCGGCGCGGTCGTCTTCTTCTTCCTTCCGCCCAATTTCAGCGGGACCGCCGACGCTTGCTCGAAATTGGGTTTCTCGAATCCAGCCTCGTTCTGCACCAATCCCGCCATGATGGCCTCCATCGAGTCCGCGGCCGTCAGCGGCTTATCTTGTGTTGCCAGCTTGGCGCCGGGCTTCATGGATGGCAGGAGGGCGGTGTATACGTCTCGGGTGAGGAGTTGGAGGGCCTCGGCTCGTCGTGAGCCATCGGTGTCGGTTAGGACGAGGACGTGGGAGTATGTGGTAAGCGGGAGGGAGACGATGCCGGCCGAGAGGCGATCGAGCATCTGGAGGTCTGTGGACTGGCGGTCGAAAGTGGTGAAGAGGGCGTGGAGTTTCTCCTCGTGGGCGGCGATGGAAGGGGGAGCGAGGAGGAGAGTGCGCGGGGCATCGACGGGCCTGGATGGAGCGGCCATGTCGAAGTCATCGCTGGTGTCAATTGTCACGATAGAAGGAGCCATTGTGAGAGTCACGGCCTTTCAGTGACACAAGTTGTCAAGGATGGGAGAGGTTGGAGGAGAGGAGAGGACGAGGAAAAGAAAAGTGCCAAGTGAGGGGTGGCGAACATTTCACAGTCACCGATAAATGATAACCTTAGTCAGCGCGCATTATAAATCGCTTTTCCGCGGGTTGAAGGACGATAAGCTGATGGTGGAGTCACTGGGAGGAGTCTCGTTCCTATCAGCTGGCGGGGATTACCGTAGGGCTGCGCCAGGTTGGGTAAAGGAACACGAGCGGACTCGACAGGGCGTATTACAGATCCTCGAGGGGGATGACAATCCTATTCTTTTGTCTTGCAGATGCCACTAGCCGCGGCAGATTATCAATTACGCGCTTGTGAATGGCGACGTTGTATACAACTCGGGGCAATTCCGAGAAGGGAATGGCCGGCTTTTGAGTAATTATTTCACGTAGTAATGATAGTTTGCTGGAAATAATATGTTCATTTGTATGCTGACTTTTGATTTTTGAAATCACAATGCGCCTGGACTCCCCGTCTATGCTGGTATCGGTACAAGATATAGATCAAAAAACAAGATAAAAGGAACAATATGACACGATGAAGATGCAGAAGCAATGGCCGCGGGTCATCAACTCATAACGAAAGCCCTCGTCGGACAACTTCCAGACCGTTTAGCGCTTGCGCTCACGGACCTTCCACTTGAGTCCATCCTTGTTGGTACCTCCAACGGATCGGTCCATCTTGCCCCGCTGCAATTCGACTTCGCGCTCGGCCTTTTGGATCTCTGCATATTGTTTGCGCAGTGCCGTTAGCTTGTTCTCTCGGCCCTCGATGACCCGCTTGCGGATCTTGCGGGCACGGCGAGCCTCACGGAGTGCTTCCTTCTCTGCAGTAAGTTGCTTAGGAGTCTTCCGAGCGTGAGATGATTTGTCTTCATCCGCGTCCTGATCCTCATCCATAGCATCGTCATCCTCACGCAGGCGTTGCATACTTTGCTGGTCTCCCTTGTCGTCCGCAAATACGACCTTGCGTGGCTTCGGGATCACTGGTGCGCCAAAGTCGAGATCATCAAAGTCGTCGAACCCGTCGAACTCGTCATCATCGTCCTCTTCTTGCTCCTCCTTATTCTTAGACTTCACGCCCAGAACCACATTCATCCCTTCTTGCAATTGCATGTCCTGCTCCAGTCGCTCAATTTGCCGACGTATCCGTTCTCCCACAGTGCGGAGGTAGTTCTGATCCTGGGTCTTGAGCAGCTTGATCGCATCGTGGCTGAGTCCGCGAGCAGCAGCCGAGTCTCGAGAGACACCGACACCCCGTCCATGCTTTCCTTGTTGAGTGTTCTTTGCTCCGACCATGCCAAAATTGAACTCGTCGGGGTTGCGATCCTTGGCCTTCTCTTGCAGACGCTTCAATTTGGCCTTCTTTTGATTGTAGTCTTTTGCGCGGAGCGAATAGTCCTGTGTTGAAGGTTAGCTGTGGTTTAAGTGAATTTGCAGGAGCCTAAAGCTGCCTGCAAAAAAATGACAACAGCGGGATGAGATACTGACCTTGTGCTTTTCGAGAAGTCCCCATTTCTCGCGGCCCTCAAGCTGGCCACGCTCGCGGTGTTGTCGCCGCTGGACGGCATTGCGCATAGACGACATGCTGGGTTGTTGTTTGGCAGCCGAGTTTTCAAAGTGAAAACAAGAAAGAACGTGGAATGAAAGTGTGTACCGGCTCTCAAATTATCCCGAAAGGAGCTGGAAAGGGAATGCGCCCAGTAAGAAAGGTGGTGTGGTACAAGAGTTGGAAGGTTGTACAGCGGAAGTTTTTTTTTCTGCTTCCGCCTTTCTGCTCTCCGCCCGAACTCGGTTCCTCGCGCTCCGCATCAACACATCCTCGTCCTCCCCTCAGCCACCAGCATCTTCTGTGAGCAGCAATTGCTCTTTAGAGACAACATTCTCCTCTCTCTATCCCCACCTTTCGTATTCCATACAGCCTGTGCTATTTATCCGACCGTCCCAGCCGCCATCTCCATCTCAGACTACCCAGACCACGCAACATCGCTCCCACTTATCTGATCTGCACCTGTCACCTCGATACTTAAGATCGAGCTCCTCAGTCTCAATGGCTTCAACATCCGCCTCCGCAGATACTTCTGCGACGGCTTCTACGCCTAAGAAATACAACCTCCGCAACCCGCTCCCCCCTCTCGGCCTCCCAAGAACAAGAAGTCAAGCAGATGTACTACAAGCGTGTACGAGCTCGCTGTGCTCCGGAAATTAAGGGTATGTGATAATTTGCTGCGCTTGCTTGTGCTATTCGTTACCCCATGTCCCGAGAATAAGCTACATTTGGGACTTGATATCCATCAAAGTCGACCGAGTTCATCGGTTGCATGATCTAGCTCGTCCTACAAACCTCCAAAGTTTTGAGGTCACCTCACTAACTGTTTCATTTATACAGCTTTTGCTGAATGCGCTGTCAACCGTACCGTCACTGCCACATGGGTCTGCCGACAACAGCGTCTCGCCATGAATGCCTGCATGGTCACTCACGCCAATAACAGGGAGGAAGAAGATCGCGCCCGCGAGGAGTGGTTCTCAACACACGAGGAGCGGCGTCGTGCGAAGGAGGAAGAGCTGGTACGGGTTGAGAAGCGACGCGCGGAGGTCATCAAGATGATGCGGGAAGACGAAGAGCGGAGGCGGCAACAGGCTGAGGGAAAGTGATTCTCCTGACTGGTTGTTGACTCTTTTTTCTCGACGATCACTAGTGGGCTCTTGGAGACCTCTCGTGAGTGTATATTGTGTATATGGGTTCCGGCGTCTGGGGATATTTTATCCTGCGTGCTTGCATTGCCGGGTCAGAGGTCAAAAGCCCTGGGTTGGCGGGTGCCGTTGCCTGGCCCGGATAGTGAGGGCCTTATGAATTTGGCAGGGCAATGTGCTCGCTGATAAACCAGCCTCTGAAGGGGCGGGCATCAGACTTTTGGGAACATGGTGAGAGTCATGTCATGCCTTGAGCTCAAGCATGTTTCTCGACATATCCCCTTCATGCGGCTAGACGTGGAATCTTGCATGTCTTCTCTCTCCTCACGGCGCACAAAGGGATACAATAGGCGTTCTCTGGGCATATTCTTCTTTTTTCTATGCATTATCATCCTGGTTTCAGGGCGATGGGATGGCACTCGATTATGTTTTGTATATTACAAGATGACATGGCTTCAATTCATCGGCGAAAAACCCGTCTCTTCTTTCCATTTATTCTTCCAATCATCGGCACCAGCCGATGTATATGAGAAGTCGTATCTGAACTGTATGGAAACATGAATATCCCTTCTGATGGTAGATAATTCCACCCTTTCCGGTTTGGAGGGCGACAATGACGAGAACTCCAGGCACCAGTAACACCATTCACCCCCAAAATCATCAAAATGAACTAAGCAGCCGCCTGACAGGGAGAGAAAACGAATCCCAGGACCATCACCTCAAGCATCCCCCATTTTCTGGTCCTCGTCTCCCTCACCAGCCTCGCCCATCGCGGTATCTTCACCAAAGATATCCTCCATTTTCCCATCGCCATCGTCCTCATCCCCCCTTCCTCGTCCTCACCCGGCCCCCCAGCAGCAGGACCCTTAATCTGCTGCTGCGGCGCATCGGGCAATTCCTCCTCTTCCCCTTCGCTATCCCACTCATCCTTCATATTCCACCCCATACCGGTAAGACAGAATCGCTCTGGCGGCAAGCGCATGCCCGCCATCATAACGCTTTGATTCGCCGTGCCCGCCGCCGCAGCTCCATTCGCACCTCCAGCCGCGGCATCAAATCCTCTCGACACGCCGGGCAACGCAATACGATTCCGCTCCGACGCAACATCCATAAGGAACTCCTTAGGCAGGCCCGTCTGGAACTGGTAATGCAATCGCGAGGCAATACTAAGTCGCAGCGCGGGGAGAGAAACACCATTCGTTTCAGCGGACGGTGCGCCCTTTCCAGCACCGGTACTATCGCCCACTGCGGCAGCGTAGCCTTCCGTGGCAAGGTGTACCGCGTCTTGGAGGACGTTCGAGGTATAGCGGTAGGCGAAGTCGAGCAGTTGGAGCGGGACGCGGTCTTGGTAGGCTGTTACGCCGAGAGAGGCAAGGAGCATGTGCACGAGGCGGACATCGCGTGGGCGTCGCGATTTACCGCTGTCTTGGAGGGATGTCCCTGGGACGTGTGAGGGTTGTGCTGTTGATGTCGTTGGTGCGTTTGCGGGTGTGGGCGCGACTGCTTGTGAGGTTGTGGTGGCTGCGGCGGGGGCGGAGATGCCGTTCGCAGTGGAAGATTCCGCGGGAGGAGTGAGAGGTTGAGTGGCTGGCGCTGAGCCTTGAGTCTGGCTGGGAGAAGCCATGATTGTGAGAAGTCTCAATTAAGACTGAAGGGGGGGGGGAGGAGATGGAGCGCAGAATGTGGAAGGTTTTGATGGTGGGTGCGACAAGTGACTGGGCGCGATTGTTCAAAGTAGGGGATGAAGATGGTCTGCTGGCATTAATGGGATCGAGACACTTCTCCCAAAGCCCCTGGTTCCGTAGATGAAAGCGTGTTGGTTGTGGATGTTGAGGGAAAGGTGGTGATGGGAATCTGGTGAAGCCGAAAAGACCTCAGGAGCTCCGATATTGCACTAACCGCTTTGGGAAGTACATGTCCTCGTTGGGCCTCGACGGCGAGGAACAATCATCTAACTTTCACCTTTCACTGCAAATCATGCAAATTCATTAGTATGTCTGGCTGGAATTACCAAAAGTGAAATTACTATCTGATTTTGTGATCTTTACAAAATACTAGGTGACCGATGAAGCGAAGCTATTCATGGCCTATGTCTGTAGCAGTCTGGAGGTTCATAGGCAGGAGTGGATTAAACGCGGCCAGGGTCAGTATTCGTAGTATCCATATATTCTGGCGACCACCTTTAGGTGCAAAAGGCTTTCTTCCAATTTCATAACTCCAGTATCTATTAGGATGGTGAATATCGTGGTCGTCAGCGAATCTTAAATCGGGTAGCTCAGTCATCATAACCCAGCCAAGACAACTGGAAAGAGAACCAAGGGCGGTTTCCACAAAGATCTAAGCTTTTCCTACTGTAGCCTACCTATATGTATTAGCCTAATAGACTAATAGACTAATAGACTAATAGACTAATCAGTTGAACTGCGTCGTAAGGACCTGCTCATTGCGGATTCAAGTCAAGAATCATGGGTCGTCGATCCACTCGGGCTCCACAGTGCGCACATTTGAGAAGGCACGATCGACAAGTACTACGCCCGCATATTTGCTCGATCTCACTCACCTTGGTGGCCAGTACCTTGGGAGCCTTGGGATTGATTCAGCCAGAGAGAAGTTCCGTTTTGTATTTAAACATAACAGTGAAGTTAATAGACTGGTTGCCAAGTACCTTAGGACAACGAGAAAGGTATTATTCGTCCATACCCCAGACATCATCTTTCATCCGTTGCACTTTCTCGCTATAGAATCCTGCATTCGAACCATCGTCTCTTTTCACTCTTCTCGAAATATGTGCGGCGAATCCAACAGGCCGACCTTTGGTGGCACCATTGCAGTCCTGTTTCCTCCCAGTCACTGCTTGACATCGAACGCTTCAGAGAGATCGCTTTCATCGTCCCCAGATTCGATTGCTTCAACGACTTCTTCAGTTTCATCTTCAGCTTCGTATTCGCTATGCTTCCGGGACACAGAAAAATGCAATGGCAACAAGACGAAAGCTGTCTTCCAATTCAATGATCCGGAGACCTATGAAGCTCTTCGTGAATGCCAACATGTCGACATGCGGATAGAGTAAGTTCTTGAACGCTTCCTGTCGGGTTATTATTCCATGCTGATACATGTTAGAAAATATGGAGATCTTTCTACAGGGACACCTACTACTACCCCTCTGTACAGCTTCCGTCTAGACTTGACCCGAATCCCACCCAAAAAACCGGGGCATTACCAAACGGAGATGGAGTTTGAGTTACCTGAGAGTTTGGATCTGGGCGTTTCGGTAAAGGGTGTCGTCGGGCGACAAGTTACAGTGAGCGATGCCGATGGCGGAGTACTGGGTGTTGGGATTGTCGGATACAATTAAGCTGGGAGCCCTGATTTAGTTTTCATTGTTACCTACTCAGCAAAGAGATGAGTACAAATATAATATCTAGTTGCGATTTATATCATTGGGAGTAATCTGCCACTCCCTGGTCCTTGTTATTCATGTCACAGCTTCAGCGGGTTCTCCACACCAGCTGTGTAGCGCTTCTCAGCTTCAGCCCAGTTGATGATCTTCCAAATGCCCTCGACATAACCGGCCTTGTTGTTCAGATACTATAGAAAGCATATCAGTAACGAGAAAGAGGTGATCACCTGAGGCATCACATGGATCACTCACCTGCAGATAATAAGCATGCTCCCACATATCAACACCAAAGACCGGGACATCAGAAGCGGCCACCGGATCTTGGTCCTTAGTCGTGATAATCTCCAGTCGACCTTTAGGTCCACCCTTGCTTACAAGCCATCCCCAGCCACTACCCTGCAGACCGAGCAGCTCAGTGCCAAACGCCTTCACGAAAGTCTCGTGTGATCCCCAGCGGGAGGTGATTGCTTCTCGCAGAGAGGGCGCTGCACTAGTCAAGTCATTACCTGGAGTTCCAGGAGGAGTCAGATTCTTCCAGAAGAGAGAGTGGTTGATATGGCCGCCGCCGTTGAACTTGATCTTCTGCTGCAGACTGATCAAGGTGGCGACATCGTTGGTCTGGGTAGCCGTGACTTGGGCAGAGAGGGCGGCGTTCAGGTTGTTGATGTAGGTTTGATGGTGTTTTAGATGATGCAGTTCCATGATTTGTTTGGAGATGAAGGGTTCAAGGGCCTGGATGGAAATGTTAGCTCATTTCTACCTTTTCAGCTCTACATCAAGGCGAGACTTACATCGTAAGCATACGGAAGAGGGGGCAGGGAGTGAGTCTGAGTAGCCATGGTGATGAGTAGATGGTAATAATCCTCACAAAAACCGAAAAATGTCAAGCAGTATGAGGGCTCTGGGAGATGAGATGTATGCGAAGGAAAAGTAGCCCTCAAGGTCCTCCAACCGGAGGGGCTATGCTGGGATGACCCTCTTAAGTCTCCTCAGCCCGTCACTGCTGTCTACCAAGGTAGTTGATTACCTTCTATGCTTAGTGCTTCAAAACTACCGGCTACCATTCCCGCAGACAAGTTCTCATTGGGGTTGGCTGAGCCATTGCGAAGGATTGAGCACATTTTGGCTCCACCAGCCACTCAATCGAAAGTATGACATGCCAGCCTGATTCTGATGAACAGTAATCTAGAATGGCAGGAAGAAGCATGAAATAAGATTACAATGAAAATACTAAAATACTGTAGGGGATATGAATTTTGTCAAGTATTCTGTACAGAAACGCAGTTAGAAGTTCACTTATACTTGCCCAAGCAAAGCATTTACAAAACCATAGCCAATGCCTATGCATGTCGAGTTCTCAGTGTTGAAATATAGTACTTCCAGAAGCTGATTTACTTACCCAACGCACTGTGGCTTTTTTTTTTTTTCGGACTCTCTACTGCTCTCATTGTTGGGATTTCTGATGTTGATAGGTCCGAGGCCTGGCTTGTCAGGCATCACTTTTATGGCTAAATTTGCTGCCCGCTCTCTGGCGATTTCTCCTCCTTCCTTTTCCATACTCAATACTTCACTTAGATGCTACTACCATGTTATTTGTGATGCACCTTGTACCGATTGACTCTGCAATCGAGCCCTAACCGTAGGTGGTGGGTGACAAGAGCTGGCTTCCGAATGCATTCCTTAAGGCTAACGACGAGTACATTTAAAGGGTACACAAATCAGCAAAGTCAATCACTGGAGTAGAATTGATCTATGAGACCTCACAACAAACGATACGATTGGAATATAACTATCTGCTCGTTTCGGACCTGATGTATGCCCCCCTGACGGTGGTAAGCGCCATAGGGCTCTTCAGCCAAGGACCCCTGACTGATTGATACTCCTGAGATAGCCCATTTTCTTAAACCACAGATACTCCCCAACTTGTTGAGAAAGATTAGTAACTAGTTATCCGTAGCTAGATGATGACAAATGGTGCTCAGCTTCCCTGGTTGAGTCTCCAACTTTGCGGGGTTTCGGCTGTAAATGAGCCTCGGTCGCTCGGTGCGGGCCACGGAGATAGCCCTCGATTAGTGATTAGTTGCTTGGTACATCAGTCGAGACTCCAATTCAAATAAAGATCTGCTCATCTTCTTTCTACCTCAATAATTCTCCCTCTTCCAAAGCACAATCATGTCGGCTGCCGAACAGGTTCAATTGTCCAACTTTTCCAGCATCTTCTCCCTCGATGGAAAGGTCGCGGTCGTGACGGGCGGTTCGCGTGGATTGGGACTACACGCTGCCTCGGGGTGAGTCTGCACTTTTCTTTTTACTGTGACGAGTATCGCATCATCGCATGCATACTGACATGTCCTAACAGACTCCTGCAAGCGGGTTGCTCAAAAGTCTACATCACATCCCGCAAGAAGGCTGCCTGCGATGAAGCCGTCGCAGCCCTGAATGCCCTTCCCAACAAGCGGCCGGGCGCTCAAGCCATCTCCGTGCCCGCAGATAGCTCTCGCATGGAGGACCTCGATCGCCTGGTTGCTGAAATCGCGAAGACGACTGATCACGTCGATATTCTCTTCGCTAATGCCGGTGCCACTTGGGGCGAAAAGTTCGATACGCACCCCGAGAAGATGTTCTCCAAGGTGATGGATCTCAACGTTAAGAGCATTTTCTATACCATCCAAAAGTAGGTTCACACCAACTTAACTAATCTACCTTTGGTATATTTGTCATGCTAACCTTCTCTCTAGACTTGCACCCCTTCTCACTGCCAAGGCCACCATCGACGAGCCTTCGCGGGTCATTGTTACTGCGTCCGTTGCTGGTATCGGAATCGGTTCAATTGGCGATAATGCCACGCCTAGCTACTCGGCCTCTAAGGCAGCTGCTATTCATCTGGCCAAGAACCTGGCTGTCGAGCTGGGCCCTAGGCACATTCTCACTAATGCCATCGCGCCCGGCTTCTACCCGTCCAAGATGGCGAGTGGTCTCATCAATGCCAAGGGTGGCATGAAGCATTTGGAGGAATTCTCGCCTAATGGCCGCTTGGGTCGTCCCGAAGATATTGCTGGCTTGGTGGTCTTTTTGGGATCCCGGGCTTCGAGTCATTTGAATGGAGCTGTGATTGCGACTGATGGAGGTGCAGTGCTGAAGGGGAGACTGTAGGTGTGAAGTTGGAACTATAGTATAAAGATTACGGGGGGATATGAGATATAGGGCAAAGATGCCTAAGCCGTCAGGTAGTATATCAAGCTAGATTCATAAGGCCTATACAAGAATTATTCTATGGGCAGAACGATGTTCTGAATCTCTATAAGCTTTATGCTATACTACGGTCATTATTGTCTAATCGGATAATCAGGCATAAAAGACGTATACAATAGTTATGCGATCTACATCATGACTACGATCAATTACATCGTATAATCAAGCAACCACCAATCAAACAGCTATTGTATAAGATCACTCTATAACTGCATAAGATCACCATACATCTAGATCTATCTGGATCGATCATATGCAAGAAACAAGTTTGATAAGTTTGCATAAAATATTGATTATAAGTATGCCCTGTTTTCTCTACCAAAATTATGTCGTAATCATACATCGATCATACAAGCGAAGATTCAATACAATCAACCAAGCTTCAGTCCTACCTCACTTTTCTATCATCTCATCTTTATGATTCTAAGCCGAATTGATTTTATCATTCCTATTCAATTCAAGAAGGAAGATTAATCGATCTTATTCAAATCATCTTCTTTCTTCTTCCTTCTTCTACCTACCTGCGCAGCATAGCTTGCTCACAGACAAGCAAACAAGTAAACAGACTAACACTCGCAATAGAAAACCAAGCCAACAACCAATACCCTACCTCCACCACTAATCTGTCAGCGTTTCCCCCACTACAGTAGTTAGTTATCCTAAGAAAATCTTAATCACTATATATTAAAATTTCCAAGGCAGTTTCGAGTCGAGAATTTCCATGACCAATCGAATAGTGACAATAAGCAGTGTATCGATAGGTGCACTGTAGAAGAAAAAAAATAGATGGAAATAAAATAGATTTCTGGTGAAGGCCCCACGAGAGCGCGGTTGGCCAACCTTGTCGACTATTAATCCGTCTCAGGATGGGCCGTCACTCCGGGCAACGATAGAAGCCAAAGGAAAATGCGCTAACTTTATTAGGATTTGCGTGGCAGAAAGATAAGATAAAGACCGTCAGCCAATCAGATCCAGTTTTTCCCTCCACTTACCTGACTCATCACTAATCCACGCTAGTCTGAAAATGGGATAGAGCAGACTGCCAAAGCGGTGTGACAATTTCCCACAATAATCATTGACCCCTTTTCTCATCTTCCCTCCTGTCTTCCCTCTTGGATCATAGTGCAAAATTCATAGCCTAGATAGGTCAGGTTTATGTTAATTTACTATTTTACAATCATTACGGGATCGCAGAGGACACCTTATTACGCCCGACGTAGTTGTGGAGGGAGGGATGAGCCCTGTGAGATGGGTCTCTTGCCTGGGGGCACTTGTCCAATTAACGTAAGGCGGACTTAAAACCGGTAAAAAGTTAGCGTATTTTCCTATGGCCTCAATCGTCGCCCGTACCGTCACGGATTAGGTTTCGAGAGTAGCTGAATATACACAATGATAGAGTATACTATGTAATTACTCTGTAATAGGGATATATCCTATCATACAAAACTCCCATGTTATACCTCTAGGCTATTTGCACATTTTTGTCACTCCGTTTCCCCTAAGATTTCAATCTTCATCAACGCTCGAATCCAAGATGACTACTACTGCTACAGAATGCTCGTATCCTTGGTCCAAATTTGCTGTGTCTTCGCTGACCGGGATAGCGATCGGGCTCGGCATCGTTTTCGTCGGCCATATTATCGCGGGACTTATCACAAAGCGCAGTAACAGACAATCTGGCGCGGATAAGGATATAGAAAGCGGTACACCTGATATTTCGCTTAATCCGCTTGCCAACTATACCCGTTTCCCGCCAATGACAACCCTTACAAGTACGCCTGGACACACTATTTCTGATATGGATCGAGATATCAGGCTTCCATTCGTGAGTCAACAAGAGGTACAGGACGTGAACCTTGAAGCAGCCTCGGAAACGCCGGTGGCCCGTATTGAATACGGGCCTTGAATAGTTCTCTCGTCTCCGAGTTTCATGTGAATCAACGAAATCGGGACTCTTGCTGCGTAACGTATGCCTCGCGCATGTTTTTGGAGTCAGTTTACAGGCTTACTGACGTTATAGAGCAGTGTGTTGTGAAATCTCGATCTCATTAATGAGAAGGTGATGGGATAGCTGTACGCCCGCCGTCGCTCACTCTAAGAATCGTCCTCAAATAGCCAAGTTCTGCCACGTCATACAGCTGTCACTTCACAGATATTCTAGTTGATATGTCACCTTCATTCATTTTCACACTTTCTGTTCTAGCTTTATGGATGAGACATGATTCATTCAATGTAGAAGATACCGCGAGAAACGTTGATATTCTATCAGGAACCCAAAGCTCTAGATACATTGAGGCTCGTCTTAGCTTCACCCAAAGGCTACTAGTCACCAGCACTGCGAAGAAGTGCGAGCCCATCGCTGGTGGCCCCACTCCCACAATCAAGATTATCGAAGGTGGGAGCTTTGGATGGGGCGCCTGTAATCGCCATACTTCCACCACTCGACTCACGTCGAGTGGTGGTAAGTAATTGAATCATCCTATTGTTGCCCTTGACATGGCTTGGCATGTTTTGAGATCATTGAAAGTTGAACAAAAGGGACTTGACATGGCTCCAATCTACGATAGAAACGAACTATGAGTCTACATAAAAAATTGGGCTGAAAATGATGACATTTTATAATGCAAATAGTACGAGGAAACAAGGATTCCTTTGGGACACTCTACACCCGAGTCATGCACATTGTTGACATTCAAGAACTATATACGGTATTGTAGATGTATCTACAGCTTCGCTGGAGTAGATCCTACGCGGCCTTGCACCGCACGGTCAATAATCTCCATCGCCTGGAAAAGCTCGTAGTCATGCTGCTTTGGTGTCACGACCTGCACACTAAGCGGCGAATCCAAGTATACTCGGCGATCAACCGTTTTCTCGTCCCCTAGATACCACAACGTCAGCAGCATTCAATAAAGTCCTCGAGTCAAACTTACATAGCAGACGATTGGCCTTATCCCAGCTTCCTAGCACGGGATCTTTCATCTCACGACCAAGCTCAAGATCTGACTCCACAAAAGGCCGCACAGGTACAATACCTGCAGGATAGTCGAGCAGCACGAATGTAGAGGTATATCCAACAGCATTATACTGATCCATCTGGGGAACCGGGTGCGGTGCGATGGGACAGACGATCGCATCTACCTGACGGGTCCTGAACGACGAAAAAAGAGTCCACATCTTCATCATCTCCCTCTCAACCTGGGCACGCTGGGCCTGCAGCTGCGCCAGCTGATTGATAGTCAAAGCTTTGCCACGCTTCATGCGACCCTGTAGCCAGGGCGTCAGGGGCTCACCCTTGCTCTCAATCAAGTCGAGCATGTTGGAACCACCGTCAACGCCCATGAGCCGACCTGCCAGAGCTTGGCACTTTGGCAAAACTGCGGGAAAAGGGATCTCCACAACTTCCACGCCGGGTGTCCGGCGCAGGTGGTTGGCCACTTCGTCAAGGATACGGGTAATCGGCGGCAAGGGAGTGACCAACCCATCTGTCTTGAGGATGCCGACAGTGAAGTTGCGTGGCGGGGCAAGAGAGGCTGGGACTGAGGGAGTAGGCCAGTATCCTGGGATACAGTCTTCTCCGAAAAGCTCAGCGCGCGGCACAATCTCGGCCATAACGGCCGCAATGTCTGCTACAGAGCGCGCCAATGGACCAGCCACGGGCTGTAGAGAGATCCGACCCTTGCCCTCGACCTGTCCACTCTCCTGGCCCCCGTATGGGACACGTCCATCACTCGGCTTGAAGCCGTAGAGACCCTGGCACATCGCAGGAATGCGGATACTGCCACCAATATCAGTGCCAAAGCCAACCATGGACCCATGCATCGCAAGTAGCGCTCCCTCGCCGCCAGTGCTGCCCCCTGCCGTCCATTGACGGTTCAGTGGGTTCAGCGTGCGACCGAAGAGATGGTTACAGCTGTCCAGCGTAGCGAGGGTTTGTGGGATGTTGGTCTTGGCGATGATGACCGCACCGAGAGACTGGAGCAGATCGACCAAGTCGGCATTCTTGCGGGCAGGCTTGAATGCCAGGGCAGAGAGACCGATGCTTGTGTCCACTCCTTCCACGCAAAACGTGTCCTTCACAGACACAGGCAGACCGTGTAAAGGGCCGAACGGGCGACCGGTTCGCTGGAGGTGATCGTCCAGTTCCTTTGCTTGGCGGAGGGCTCGGTCGAAGAGAGGCTCGGTGATGCAGCGGGTAAGTTGATGGGCAATGGCTGCTCTCTAGAAATATCACAACACGTTGATATGGCGAAATCAAATCGATCATTTTACCATTGGCAGCACTAACCTTGCAAAAGCCTCGAATCACCTCTTCAGCCTTCAACCTGCCTTCAGTCATAGCAGCCACAAGCCCGCGCACATCATACTTCTCTGTAATCTCCAGTTCCTTGGCACTGAGGATGCCACAAGTGCGTGGGATCTCCGTGACATTGACTCTCCCGTACTGCTTCGGTCCTTCCGTGATGGACTCGGCGGGTGAGAGCATCCCCGCCGGAATGAGATGCGCTGGCAATCGCCATTCAGCGGGAATAGCAGCGGCTAATGCATCTTGCTTGCGCTGGGCGATTGCAACGTAGGCGGGCTCTTGAGATGCCATGGTGTGTCGGTGAGAGAAATTGAAGCTTACTCGCGGCCAAGATGCTCAAATACGCGCCGATGCGGGGAATGCGGAGAAGCCTCGGCCCACACAAAAGTGCCGACCCGACGTGTGTTGAGAAGATGGAAGGTTCGATGAATATCACGATCAATGTTGACATGTATTTGCACAACGCCTCCGCTAAAATTAACACTGACTATCTATACGATAAACTCAAAAGCGCGACACGTCTCTCCCGAACAATCTGTTCAATGTCCACCTGAACGCTATCCGCAGCTTGTTGCGCCAACTGATGGACATGGTAATATACGCTGCGCTCCAGACCACCCGTGCCATGCGGCCTGTGATTCCCCCAGGTAGGTATTTACTGCGCTTGCTTGGATCATGAATATCGTGAGGAATTTGCATAAGGGCCTTCTCGCTGCCAATGTAGGCCAGAGTGCCCATATTTCTGAACGAGAAAGGTGGTGTCTTTGCCAGGTCTCGCTTGTTAAGACGATCTGCGAGCCACTTTGCTTCCTGATAAGTTGCCTGTGCTGTGGCGGGAGGTGCACCAGTCTCAGGCATGGCATTGTCGCCCAGAGCAAAGACATCGTTGAGAACTGCAGTCTGTCCGTCATCGTTTTGCAGCTGCACTCGGAGATGCCCGTCGACGAGTAGAGCACCTGTTTTGGGAACCTTCTTGTACTCCCAGGAGGACTGCCCAGTGGGTGCAGCAGGGCTGCATTCGCCATTAAGGGTGTAGATAGAATTGTCTGGGAATTCTTTCACTGCACTTAGTGACTGGCTAACGAACTTGGTCATCGCATTGCCTGTCGCCCAGACGCACATTCCGACGCCAACCTCGCCCTCCTCCTTGGTTGTCAAAGTTAAGCAGCGCTTGGGATCCATCTCATGTGGTTCCGGTGCACCGGGTGGACCCCAGTGCAAGCTCTGGACATGATGAGAGGTTTTGATGTCAATACCTTCGCTCCTCATGGTGTCCATCGCATAACGGGAGAGAGATTCGTCAAACATTGACAGTACTTTAGGGGCAACGTCGTAAAGACTGATCTTTGGAATGCCTTTGAGAGCGGGATACAGCGTCATCAAGTCCTTGTAGATGAAATCACGCAGGGACGCGGCGAGTTCGGTGCCCGTAGGGCCGGCGCCAACAATTGCAAAGTGAAGGAGCCACTTGCGCATCTCGGGCGTTGTGGTTGGAAGAACCGCCAGCTCGAAACATTCACGCACGCGCCGCTTCACCCGCTTGGCATCGCCAATATCTTTGAAGAACATGGCATTTTCACGAACACCTGGAGTACCAAAGGTTTGACTCACAGCACCAACTGCGATGACCAGTTTATCATATGGAACCTCGAATGTTTCTCCTTGTTCCCAGTGGCGCAGCTCTTTGATTGGCGGCTTGAAGGACGCTTCAGGCCCTTCGTCGCCTTGTCTCTCATCTTCAGAAGTACGCGGTGACTCTGTAACACCGCTTCTGACTACAGTGGCCTCGCACAAGATAGTCTTCTTTTTCAAGTCAATAGCGCGTGCAGCCGCTTGGATGAAGTCAACTTTGGCGCGTGGATCCCGGACTGGCTCGACGATGTTGGAGAAATCCAACGAGCCACTGGCTGTGTCGGTTAAGAGAGGAGTGAAAACAAAGTAGGAGCGTGGAGAAATGATGATTGGCGAGAAAGACTTTGGAGACAGGCGGCGCGAGATGGTATATCCACCCCAACCGGAACCAAGGATAACGACACGCTCCTGTTTGCTATCCGACTTGGTCGTAGCAGCTGAATGTTCTGCAAATGTTGCAAGACATCTCTGGCCAGGTCCGTTCTTCAAAAAGACCCTGCTCCGGGTATACTTGAATGCAGGATAGTCCGGATGACCGATCAGAGATGGGCGGAGATTGAAGGCCTGCCTCAATGGCCGGGGAGACATCGTAACGTGATAGATCTAGTTGAGCTGATATCAATCGTTGACAAGATTGGGTCTTCTCAGTGGCAGCTTCGCTCGGAACATCAGATATATTAAGCCCTGGGTGAGAATACTACGAAGTTACTGTCTTCTGGCTGACACATCTATGACTTCATCCCGCGGCCAACTTAGCTACAGAGTGGAACACGATATATTGAAAGAAGGAAATACTCGGATCGGAATCTCAGAGACGAGCATTCTTCAGACCCACTGGCATCCACCCGGGTTCGGGTTCTCGAACTTCCATAGCTATTGTTCTGTCAGTGGAAGTGGTGAATCCCTACGGCTGGCCATGGTCTTGTCTCGAAGGGGAAACCCGGAACCCTTCGGAGCCATCGGTGAGAATTATGGCACGTGCCGCTACAGTCTATCGGAAGATTTAGGCTTGGAATGGTTGAGCAGTCTGTTCACATGGTGATGCAGAGATTGATCTGTGATGAGCTTGGAGGAATTATTGAGGATGCAGGGTAGCGCAAGGAGAAGGGAGAATAATAAGGTGGTGAAATAAAGAGGCACTTATAGATTAAGTCGATGTCATGTGATGGTGGCTTATAGAGGTCCATGCCCCACCTGAGCAATCATACCACAGCTATTCACTATGTACTACATCTACAAGGAAAGCAAATGAGACAGCTAGAAATGGATATTTGTAGAGAAACAGATAAGCTTTTGCCGATTGCAGGTAGAAGAAAGGGCCGTGCAAGAGAAGTTTGCCGTCTCTCAATAGCAGACGAGGGCTCAATCAAGAGCTTTAAACAATAAAGGAGAAAAAGAAGACCAGGAATGAAAAGCACAAGCCATTTATCAGGCTCATTAGCAGTACTGAGAGACCGCGGTCGGACTTTGCGCCAAAGGACGTTTATCATGCCTAAGGCACCAGTGTACATGCCCCCAAACCTACTGTTCAAGAGCCACTCCCATTGATAACCGCAGAAGTAAGAACATATATGACTTGGTTCTAAAATAGAGGGTTGAAAAGAGCGCTGTCGCTCACCGAGTACAATTTCAGTCCTAAAGATCAAGGAGAACTGGAATTTGAGTAGAAACGCAATGTTTTGCAAAGTTGACTATATCGGCTCTAGACTTCGAGCCACGAGGATCTCAATCAATCTCAATGTCGTTTGCATGATGCTATCACCGAAGACACGGCCACAGTTATCAGCACAATATCACCTAGATAATCCTTCCCCGCACGGACTTGCATTGCAAGTCCGATAATGAAAAACACTAGGCTAATACTAGCCGCAGAGAGCCTCTGTCCTCGGTTCCCAAATATGAGACTCAATCCCACCAGCGTGTCAAATATGGGTGTGATTTTGGCGCCCAATGAGCCATCATCGGGCATGTGGTATTCTTGAAACGCATACCAAGCAGGGGTGTACAGGCCATGCGTGAACCGGGAGAAGGCGCCCAGTAGAATGACGGAAGAGAGGATGTACACTGGAAAGTTGCGGAGTAACGACGGCATGGTGATAAACTGACAACTAAGTGCAGAATTTTACGTGCAAAAGAACAGCAACACAGATGATATCTGAGAGGAGAATAGAAAGCAGACGAAAGTACGGAGTAAGCAGCAATTACCTCTGTTTCTTAGTGTCACGTGATTTAGTACTAAATCCTCCAGCTTTGCAGCCTTGCGAGGTGTCAACGAAAGACCAGGTATGCATATCCGATCTCACGGCTGCATTTGTTTATCTGATCAAGTAGATTCTGTTAACATCTTGTCCATTCTGAAGCTTTCAGCTCTGTCACAGGGCATGTAGATTAAGGGGGCGTACCCCTGCAGCCAATCGCCACAGATGTGGCGCGGTGTGGCGCTCGGCGATGAGTCAGAAACCGTCGAGATTCGGGGTCGGTCATCTCAGCTTGGAAGCTCGGACTTCACCACACTCCGAAGCTAACCAGAAACAACCTCGGAGTTAGCTATCATGCGTCTGACTTTGCCTCCCCGAGCTATGACACTTCCAGCACCTTCGGATATCATCGATCGCGCTTAGAAACTTGGAAGCTTGATACTACCGCTCGGATCGCCTAATCATCCGACGGCGAATAGCATTGCTCCGTAGTTCAAGGCAGCGTGGTCGTACGTACACCTGCTCTGATGTGGCCGACTCCGAGGTGACGAGGCATAGTGGCTGCCTAAGACCGAGGTGTGAAGTATATAAGAAACGTAGAACAATCATTGTTGCATAGAATCAGATCACCTCACGGTCTATCTTCTTCTACTTGATCCAGCTTCATCGGTTATTTCCTTTTAAGCCCAACTACTCGACATCTTCAGTCAATACAACATTTGTTTTAGATAAGTATATCAGATCTGTGTTCTATTCACATCAAGATGGCTTCTATTCATGATTTAAATCGCCCACCAAATCCCTTCTGGGATTATTTGGCGGCTTCCTTGGAGGATCATCCTTTCTTTGCTCCTCGAGGACACCATCATCCTCACCCGCCCCCTCCTTTCTGGGGCTGGGGCAACCATCACCATCCTCATCACAACCACCATGGACCACCTCCACCTCCGAATGCATTCTGGGGATGGGATCCCCGCGAACAAGACGAGGACCATACTCGCGGCTTCGAGACCCCTCGTGCCCAGACCACCGAGCCCACCGCTGGCCCATCTAGCTCCAACGAAAAGACCCGCGACACAGAGCAGGGAGCAACCTCATCCTCCGAGCTCGAGACCGATAACGAAAAGCGTCCCCATGGCCGATGTGGTAAGGGTAAGCACCACGGTCGTGGTGGTCCCCATGGACTCGGTCGAGGTGGCCGGGGCCGCTGTGGACCAGGCCATGATCATCCTGGCTTCAGGCCATTCGGTCACCATGGACGAGGTGGTCACCACTGGGGAGGTCGTGGCGGCCGAGGCAGACACCATGGTGGCCCTCCTCCTCCCTTCGGCGCAGGGCCAGGCTTCCCGAACTTCGACTTCTTGCGCAATATTGCCTCGCAATTTGGTATCCAGTTGAACGGTCCAGCTCCCGAAGGTGTGGACTTTGTTCCATCTGTTGATGTCTTCGATACTCCTACCAGTTATATTGTGCACGTCTCTCTGCCTGGTGCCAAGAAGGACGACCTGAGCATTGATTATGATCCCGATGAGTCTGTCCTGCGCCTCGCGGGTGTGGTCTACCGACCTGGTATCAGCGAGGATTTGCACCAAGCTCTCGCATTGGAGGAACGAACCCGCGAAGTTGGCGTCTTTGAGCGCGAAGTTCGCCTTGGAACACACGAGGCTCCCGCGGCAATCTCCGTTCATGAGATCACCGCTAAATTGGAGGATGGTGTTCTGAACGTGACTCTCCCGAAGACTGAGTCGGAGCCAGAGCTGAAAAAGAAGGTTGTCGTTGAAGACGGGAATATTGTGAATGAGAAAGACGCTATGCAGGTGGATGAGAAAGCCAGCGTGACGTTGACTCCCTCTGAATCTGATGAGAGTGAATCTGATGATGGGGAGACTAAGGAATATGTCAAGGTCCCGGTGCATTAAACCGAGATAGTTATTGTTTTCTTTTGTTAGGAGTATGGGAGCTTTTGAGATTTTGCTCTTCTTAGTTAGTACTCGATCCAGATTGAATAATTGATAACCACCCTTATGCGGGTGATACATCAACATACCCTCAGTTTTCGTATGTCTTATCTGTAAATGCATACCCTGTCCCTACAGATCACTGAGATGACCCATTGTAGTCGTAGCCTATAGGTAGGAATAATAATGCATCTGATACTGTTGAAGTGCCTACTACACGAATTATTTCCCTCCTCATATTAATTAGATCAGCCTCCCGTCCGATTCTCTGGTGCTCAATACCACGAGAGATATTCCGGCTGAAGTTGCTAGATACAAAAGGTAAATCTCAATGCAATGCCGTGCATACTGGTTTCTTAGCCGTTAATCATATACCACAGTTTGCCGTACCATGTGGTAGGCACTGTGACCTCCCAATGTTCATTCTCAACCTCAAGTCGGCCAGTGTCAAGGTCAGCCTGTAGAGGAGAAACCAGAGGATCCCGATAAACCAGTTTGTGACCAATATACAACACAGCGAAGAGAATGAGGCTGACATATGCGATAAAGAAGCTCTCGACGCTGAACGAAGGAATCCATGCGGTAAATCCTTGTGTCAGCATAATGAGAATGTTGAAAAACAATCCATAGTAAGACAGGAAGGGTTGGAAGGGAGCTTTGTAAGGAAGAAGATCTCGAGAGATACTCCGAGCCTTCAGAGCTCGCATGAACGCAAGGTGACAGGCGTTTAGTGATGCCCACAGAATGAAACCCGCAACAGCGGAGATATTCAAGAGCCAGTTGAAGACGGTGCTGCCAGAAGTCGAAATGTTCATGAAACCAAGAAGGCCGAAGGCCGCGGTCAGTAGAACCCCGTAATAGGGAACACCACCCTTCGAAGTCTTGGCCAAAAATGCTGGAGCAAAGCCATCCTGGGATAGGCCAATCAACATACGGCTACCACTATAGATGTTTGAATTAGCGGCTGATAGCACCACCGTCAATAGGACGGCATTGATGATGCTAGGCAGAACTTTGACCCCTGCTAATCCTGCAGCAATCACGAATGGAGATGCAGATGCATTGGCTTCGCTGGATAGAAGATCGGGATTATCAGATGGCACTAAGAGGCCGATAAAGAACACAGAGAACACGTAAAATATAAGGATTCGGAAGAAGGTTGCTCGAATCGCTTTTGGCACGGTTTGACGTGGGTTTTCACTCTCACCAGCGGCGAGACCAACCAATTCGGTGCCTTGGCAGGAGAAACCAGCTTGTATAAGGACAGCCCAGAAGCCCACAAACTTCGCAGTTGGTCCCGGCGTCACGAGATAATCAACAAATGGTCCTGGGTGGACCCAATTGTGAAACCCGAGGTAGCCCTGTTGTCCAGCACCAGCATCGATGCAGATGGCAAAAATGATGAAGCCAATGATTGTAATAACTTTGATGCTGGAGAACCAGAACTCTAGTTCTCCATAGAAGTTGACAGGTAGCAGATTAAGAAGTGTCATGACAACCCAGAATACCGCAATGAAGATAGCAATGTTGACAGACGGATCCCAATATTGGATGATTAAACCAGTAGCTGTTAGTTCAAGAGCGAATGTGATAGCCCAAGAAAACCAGTAGATCCATCCCATTGCAAAGCCAAGGCTAGGATCAATCAGTCGAGTGGCATAAGATGTGAACGCTCCTGGAATTGGAAGGTAGGTAGCGATTTCACCTAGAGACGTCATGACCGAAAAGACAATAGTGCCGATGAAAATATATGCGATGAGTGCGCCAATAGGGCCAGCGTGCGCTAGTGCCTCTCCACTGGAGATGAATAGACCAGTACCAATTGTACCTCCTATTGCTAGATGAGAAGGACGCTTTATACATGGAAAGGACTGTGAACTTACCGATTGCAATCATCTGAAGGTGTCTGCTCTTTAGCTTGCGCTTCAAGGTAGGCAGGTTCCTCGGCTGGCCATATACAACTTGTGCCTCATTTGCAATCTCATTGTGGCCCTCGTTGAGCTTGTACGTAGTAGGCTCGTCCTTTGGGTCCTTGGGGACCATCGTCAGGGATGTATTGGCCATTATCGTGCCCTGTCACCTTCTGGGATTCACAAGAAGAATGGACTCCACCGGAGCTTACTCGAAGGTTGAGATTGGTCGATGAATAACTGGGTCCCTGCTTCGAGTCCCAAAATATCAAGTAATGCGATATTTTTGGCTGCTGATTACAGATTCATTTGGCAAGGCGAGGTTTTCCTGGTTGGTGTCCTTGCTGCTTGACGTCTCCGTTCTTGTCAAAGGATTCGAAGCCGGTTCTCCACCCTCTGACCTCACTGAAGGTATCCAGCCAGTGAATTTGCAACCAGATCGTAGACGCGTGGGTACTTGAGTCACCTCGCAGTCGTATTATGGGTCTGGGGAAAATTGAGAAGAGAAAACAGAAAGATTAGTGAGTCGCAGTGGGACCCTTTCTATAGTGTCGTTGCTAGCTGACTTCTATGCCATCCTCATTCGTGGTTTAGCACCCCGCATCTCCTTTTCTCGTCCGTCCTGTTCTTTTCGGCTTAGTTTGTGTCAAATTCGTCGATTGGCCGACGATTTTGGAGCTGGCCGAGGCATCCATTACTGGGCCCACTCCGACATCGCTCCCCCTTCTCCACGCTCATCATGATTGGCAACGGTCCACTACCCCGCACTAATGTCTGCGATGATGACTTATCCTGTCTGTACAAGCATTTCTGTCAATTTGTTGAGGTCACACGTTCTCGAGATAGAACATGGGCTGTCAAATCGAGGATCGCTAGGGCGCATACAAGCGGAGATAGCCGAGCGGCGAAACCTCGGCCGAACACAAGGTTTCTCCCACAGGCCATCTAACTTGTTTAGGCCTCAAGCTCGTCAGCATGGCCAATGAAACGTATCGCTAGAGCCTTCTAAGCACGTTTCTCTGCCGACCTGTCTGTTTCAGGTTAGCCTGCATCGCATGTCATAAGGAAACGCTATACGCGCCTTTGTAAAGATATCATGATCATGGCCAATAGACTCTTCGGTTTGAAGGGAATGTGGAGAAACTTTGGAGAATACAATTTCAATACCATAGAGAATGCATCTTCGATATGTAAAAGACTCTCACAGGAAGCATCCTCATAGTAAGCCGTGAGCATATAAGAATGAAAATAATCCTCTGCGCGAGGCCAAGATATCTATTTTCCAGAATTCTTCCCAACCGTACCCCCAGCCTTGGCTCCCATTCCATGATGATCAACCCAATTGATAGCCCCTCGTTCGTGCGGCTGAACACCGCTGAAGCTTCAACTACGCCCGAGAAGGCCATCTCATTCATTGAACGTGACGGTGGAGTGATCATCGAGAACCTCATCTCCTCTGAACTGGCCGAGCAAATCAAAAATGACTTAAAGCCTCACTTCGATAAAGATATCCCCGATAAATATGGTTTCTTTCCAGCAACGACCCAGCGCGCAACGGGTTTGTTAGGCATTTCTGATGCTTGCGTAGAGCTTGCCTGCAACCCATTCTATATAAGCGTTGCGAATGCTCTCGTCTCCTCGAGCTTCACCTTCTGGAGAGATGACCGTCAAGTGACAGTCAGCGGCAAGCCGATTATATCTTCCACTGTTGGATTTCGAGTGAACCCTGGAGGGAAGCAGCAGGTGCTGCATCGGGATGACAAGTATGTACATCACCTTCCAGGCCCTGACCAGGACTAACATACCTTGAAAAGCGATTATCATCCCACAAATAAAGAGATGCCTGTCATGATCGGCTGTGTGACGGCACTGACAAAGACAACGAAAGAGAACGGTGCCACGATTGCAATTCCCGGCTCGCATTTGTGGGGACCGGAGCGTCGGCCACTGAATGAGGAGGCTGTTCCCGCAGAGCTTCAGCCTGGAGACGCATTCATCTTCTTGGGCAACCTCTACCATGCTGGTGGCTCTAATATCACTCGGTACGAACATCTCAATTTGTTCCACGCTTCCTCCTTCAATGAGGATATCGTTTGAGGCCTTGCTAATTAGACGTTTGGCGTCCTGTAGGGACGAGTACCGTGAGACGGTTGGTATCTTCCTCTGCAAGCCAACGCTGCGCCCTGCTGAGAACCAGTTCCTCATGGTACCACTTGAGCGAGCCAGACAGCTCAAACCACAGGCTCAGAGACTGTTAGGCTATGGACTTTGCGACCCTGGAGTAGGGTTCATGAACTACCAGGACCCTATGAGGGTTCTCTTCGGGGTCGAGGATGAAGAAACCATCAATATGTGATTCAACGTCTTCCAAGAGCGGAAACGCATCCACGAAGGTGGAAAGTCAAGTTTCGTCACACTTCCGAGAACAGGATCTGTCCTCAACCTCTGCTCAAAAGATAACAAATGGACCGATTGCAGCTTCGTTTCTTCGAGCAAATTGAATCCAAGTTTCGTTCCCGCTATGATCCGAGTGTTTCCAGAAGAGGCGCAGCATCTGCAACGCAGTCTGGTTACACCAAAAGCCTGTCGCAGATATGGATTGCAAGAAAGCCATTTCTACTTCAGACTGCCTTTCTCTATCAATCTGACATTGGGTACCAACAATGAAAAGAGGAAAGAAAACGTCATGTATGAATGCAGGGTGTGAGCTTTTCGTGACAGCTTGAATGGTATGCCAGATAATATCACAATATTCCACCACTCTTTGGATGTGTTTTGCGTGCGGAGCTAGACATTGGTAGCTGTAAACCAGAGTAGCGTAATAATGAGCATCGATTATAGTGTGGAACATGCTTTGGATGGCATCACATTCTGGCGAAGAAGTTACCATTCCAGTAGCTCGATGATATGCCGCTTCGAGTTTATCATGCCACTCCGTCATGTCCGGCTCGATGAAACTTTGACGGGTATCCGAACGATCTGAGTGAAGCTTTCCAGTGGCAGTGATCTCGTTGATAAGAGCTGTGAAGGTCCAGAAATTGGTGTTCAAGAAGGAGCCGGAGTCCATATCTGTGCTTAGATTTCCTGAGCATTTGAATCCCGCAAGGTTGCCAAACGTCTCTAGATCAACAACCTCTTTGATGAGGAATCTGGACAGTGCGTCTTGGGGCTGTTCCCGACAAGATCTCAGGTAACATCTCTCAATCATCGTGCGGCAAGCCCGAAGGTGCAATCCCCAGTCTGTTGAGCTCGGGATGTGCAGCTCTGAATAGCAAAGAATGAGAGTACAGGCAAGCATCTCCAAGAGGGCAAAGTCCAGGGACCTTGTCCTCGATGTCGTAGTATTTGCACAAAGTTCCAAGCGCATTCTATAGCTCAAGCTCTTCAAAGTGTCATTCCGAACGCGATGATTAATCTGCAAAAAGAATGATGACTGGGCATCATCTACCGATGTGGCAGATAAATGAGCGGCTGCAAGGCCAGAAATGGATACCCGGAGATAGTCCGATCTGTTGACTAAAGGCTGGATCAAGCTCCTCCATGGATTGCATGGACCGTCATCGAGCCAGGTTAAATGAGACACAACCGTGGAGAAGAAATGCTGAAGCAAGTTTTCATCAAGGGATCGAGAAAGATGCTTGTTCAATAGGCTCGCGTCTCTCGTAGGAGACACCGTATCGATATATAGACCGAGCGTAAGCGCGTGAGCATCGCCCACAACTGGCTCTGACGGCTTGCTTGGTTTCGGCACTGGCAATGCCTTGCCTCTGAAATTGCCACGACTGGCCACCCCCTGATCCCATCTCAGGTGAATGCGAGGGAAGCCTGGACAAGACAGCTTGCGGATCGTACACTTTTCACAGTGTGGAATTGTGCGGTCACATTTAATGCGACGTCTGATACACTGGCGGCAATCTAATTAACATTAGGTGTGTCCTTGTCTAGTGTCATGCACGAAGTCCTTTCTACATACCTTTAGCCGCTATCTGGCGATCGGACGGCAAGGAGTCAATCCGAACGTTCCTCATAAGTTTGCTGGAAGGCGCCATCTCAGACAAGGCTTAGAAGACAGCCGAATCAATTCAGAGATGTTCAGAATCAAGGTGGGGTCAAGTCACATAGCTCCGATTGTCTCTTTCGTGGTGTGTTCATGTCAAAGTCGCGGCAGATCCTGGCTGTCGCGGTCTTCCTCCGGTACCCCGCACGATAGCAGCTCTTTATCGATTCTTGCGTCGCTAAAACCCCGTTTTCTATTGGACGGTCGGATGTCTGGCCAAACGGCCGAGTAGGGCCAGGTGGAAAGGGTCAAGACCCACTACTCCGGACTGGAACCCGCCTAAAAACACAGCTCAACCCCCCGGCGGAGGAGCCCAAGTTTCCTGAACCTCCGTCGGCTTATCCCGCAGGAACTCCGAGGTTCAAATCGAGCTCGATTTACCGTTTGCCTGCATTCTTTCTTCATCCCAATTGTGAATATTTCAACATGGGGAAAGTTTTCGACGCTGCAGAAGGTACTATCTCTAATAATACCACCTGCTCGGTACTGAAACGACTAACACGCGTTCAGTGGCCAAGCACAACAGCCCCAAGAGTTGCTGGGTAATTCTCTACGGAAAAGTGTACGATGTTAGTTTTCGAACTTCCTAGTGAGACTTGGATTATCGAACTGACTAGGCCATCCAAGGTAACCGACTTTGTTTCCGACCATCCTGGCGGTGCAAATGTTATTCTCAGACTCGCGGGCAAGGATGCAACCGAGGAATATGACCCGGTTCACCCTTCCGGTACTCTTGAAGAAAATCTCAAGGCCGAGGCGTTCCTGGGGACCGTTGATCCTGCAACTATAATCAAGTCAGAACCACGGCCCGGGACCTCGGGAAAGACCGAGGATTATCCTCCTGTGCAAAATCTCCTCAACATGGATGAAATCGAAGAACTTGCTACGAAGAAAGTGAGCAAGAAAGCATGGGCATACTACTACTCGGCGGCCGACGACAAGATCACGAAGCGCTTTAATACAGAGGCTTTCCGGTCGATTCTCTTGCGACCTAGGGTCTTCATTGACTGCACAGAATGTAGTCTCGAGACGAACTTGCTCGGTAATCAGGTTTCTATGCCTATCTACGTCTCACCAGCTGCCCAGGCGCGACTGGGACATCCATCAGGTGAAGCTGGAATTGCCGAAGCATGCGGAAGTTTCGGAGCTCTACAGATTATCTCGAATAGCGCTTCTATGACACCGGAGCAGATCGTGGCAAATGCTGTGCCAGGACAGACATTCGGCTGGCAACTATACGTGCAAGACGATCGAGCCAAAAGTGAAAAGATGATCGCTCGTGTGAATAAATTAAGCGCGATCAAATTTCTCGTCCTAACACTCGATACTCCGGTGATGGGAAAGCGCGAAGATGACCAGCGCAGTGGTAACGTCATCGATGAGATTACCGAAATTGAGGCCCCTCCGGGCTCGAAGGAAGCGCTTGAGAAGCAGGTCTTTGCCGGGATGGACCCGTCTCTCACATGGACTAAAACTCTTGCATGGTTAGAGAAGCACACTACTCTACCGATCGTTCTCAAGGGCATTCAGACCCATGAAGATGCGTATATCGCTGGCTTGCATCGATCTCGAGTGAAGGGAATCATTCTCTCCAACCACGGAGGACGATCTCTTGATACATCGCCCCCGGCGGTACACACGCTGCTTGAGATGAGGAAATATTGCCCCGAGGTCTTTGACAAAGTTGAAGTTTGGATTGACGGCGGTGTCAGAAGAGGAACCGATGTAGTCAAGGCCCTTTGTCTGGGTGCCAAAGGGGTTGGTATCGGTCGGCCGCCGCTATGGGGTCTGGCTGCTGGAGGGGTCGATGGTGTAAAGAGGACTTTGCAGAGTGAGTGGAACCCAGTCTTCACCCTTTCACTAAATATTTTGGTCAAAGAGTATCGACTAACCAAGTTCCCGCAGTCTTGGCTGATGAGACCAAAACTTGCATGCGTCTTCTTGGCGTACAACGACTTGACCAACTTGGAATGCAGCATGTAAGTGTGGTTTCTGAGATCATGTTATATAGCATCATTCGGTTCAATCCCCGCCTGACATTTCTATGCGCATAGATCAACACTCGGATATTGGAGCAACAGGTGTACGATGGTCCCTCCAATCTCGGGCCTTATCGTGCACAGTACTCGTCAAAACTCTAGCATTGCAATTTGTGGTTGAGAAATTCGCGACACCCATGACACCAGGATGCTCTGTTGTTCGATGCAAATCCGCAAAGAAAGCATTTGGGCAGTTCAAGCCATTGTTACGACTTGCCCAGGGGGACAATCGGGGTAGTCAGGAACTCATCTCCTATATACCCACCGCTTGGGCCAGACCAGCCAGTCTTGGTACCCAGGATGTATATTGCGCTCAATATCCTCTAGCAGCTGGCATGCCATGCCATTCAAATACCATTTGTGATCAACCGCCTGTAAGAGGACACAGTAGTGTGCAAGAAGGACGAGTGCCGCGGGTTTACGCGCCTGTAAGTCTTCATGGAACTGCTTAGAGAGCGGGTAGGCCCATAGGAAGACCATGCCCGCTTCCACATGAGGTCCGGCAAGTTCAATTTGTCTAGTAGAGTTCTCGTAGAACTTGAGCGCGGATTCGTAATCTTTCCGATGGTCGGAGTGTTTCTCTGTGGGGTCGTCTTTACTCGTCGTTTCCGGGAATGGGTACTCTTCGATGAATCGATGGAGGCGGGATATTTGAGTCCAGATATCCGTTGGTAAGAGTGACTGTGCTGCAAGAGAAGGGCTAGATGAAATTAGAATCGTCTTATATGCAAGGCTCTCCAATGCCAGTTGTTCTCGGGAAATAGTAGGCAGCTTACCTGTGAACACGCATTTCGCTTTCAAGCCATACAGAATTTGCCATTGGAGCCAACTGTGTTCTTCCAAGTGACGGAAGGAATGGTTTCATAATGGCCTGTAAACCCTTCACGCTAGCAAACAGCTCGACAGCATTCGCGATTGGGTTCGGCCATCGAGAGACACCGAGTCGAATCGGGACAGTACACAGATGTATCGAAATCATGGATGCAAAGCAAAAAACCGGTTGCCAATTTGCAGGGTCGATGGGGGATGCGATGAGTTCTCGGAACTCTTTGAGACCTGCAGCAAGATGATATGCAGAGGCCTTGATGTATTTCTCCTTTTGTGCGGACATCGGATAGAGGTATGCACGGTGAACGGCTGCGATAGCGAGAATCCCGTGCGTAAGGTACTTATTAGAATAACCTTCAGTGGGCACAACAACGCGCCAGACATGGCGTGCGTCTTCGCGTAGTGACAAGGTGTTGCATGTCACCGTACAATAATGGTGCATCAATTCCAAGTCAAGGCCCCAATCTTCTTCCGGGACAGGGGAATCCAATGATGAGCTGGGCAAGGTTCCCAGAAACTCTAGCCTATTTTCAGATTCGGGTCTGATGTCTCCGTTGTCCAGTGCCCAGGGGTAGCTGCCATTGCGAGTCGGCGCACAGTGTGCATGTTGGGGAAACGAGTAGACCTGACGGGTGTCCTGGCCATGAGTCTGCGACTGCGTGGCTGGGGATACACTTGAGACAGGTGACACTGCATTATCATTAGGCGCAACATAGCTGCACTGAATAGCGTGTTTGACACAATTGGTGCATGGATAACGCTCATCGCACTAGGCACGGTGTTAGAATCAAGCCGGGTAAGCCTAGAGATAGGGGGAGGAAGAAAAAACCTTCAGCCGGCGTGACTTGCATTCAGGGCAGCCATTGCGTGACTTATGATGCGTCCTACGCGGACCCATTGCAAAGAAAGAAAACAGAAGCCCTGATTAAATGCCTCGTCGGCCCTACAGAGGGATACAGTAGATAAATGAATTCGAGTTCGACTACGGACTCGGTTACGGATGCGGATACGGATTCGAATTCGAATTCGCTTCTCCACAATAATGTCCTCCGTACACCGAAAGGGCCTGCCTGGACCCACTTATGCCATTATGCCATGGGATAAATTCAGTCCGCTGCGTATTTCGTATAGCCCCGGAGAATAATAATCTGAACTTGGATCGATTTAAAACTAAGAAAATTTCAGAACCCATATATTTTCAATCAGGTGCGGGAGATAGCGTACTATTTTGAGGCTCTAGGCAGTCAGATTTGGCGAAATTCGACCCATTCTCCTAATGCTAGTGCCGTACAGACCTGACTTGCGTATTGCGTATAGCCCCCAGCCTGGAACGAGTGGATTCCGGAGGAAGGATTGGATCTTTGTCCCCAATTCTTGGCACGGTTAGGGCCGTTAGGGTGGCTGTAACGATGGGTCAACGTCCAAGCGATAGACGAGTTTGATATGAAAATAGCAGTCATATATATAGCCCCTCGGGTCTTCCCGAAATGATATCTCCGGAGTCCCAGATACATTTTCCTTCACTCCCTTTACGAGTAAGGAAACATGAACCACGATAATCTGTACGGGTATATCCCGTCCCTCGCGGCGGGTATCATCTTCATCATTCTCTTCTCTGGCACGACCTTCTTCCATGCATTCCAATTGACCAAGGCCCGATGCTGGTACTTTATTCCCTTTGTCGTGGGAGGAGTCTGTACGTTACAAATCGCCCCTCAAGAACTCCTTATCCTACGCAATGAAGACTGACAATTTCTTTCAAACACTAAAGTCCAGATCATCGGCTACATCTGCCGCGTTATTGCCCGCCATAGCCTCAGCTCCGTGCCTATCTACGCTATGCAATCGGTGCTAATCCTCCTCGCACCCCCGCTATACGCCGCATCGATCTACATGGTCCTCGGCCGAACAGTCACATACCTCAACGCCGAGGACCTAAGCCTCGTGCGTATCCGCTGGATGACCAAGATCTTCGTCTCGGGCGATGTCTTCTCGTTTTTCCTTCAATCCGCCGGTGGTGGACTCATGGCATCTAGCAATACTAGCACTCGCCAGACAGGCTCCAACGTCGTTATTGGCGGTTTGGTGGTGCAGCTTCTTTTCTTCGGGTTCTTTGTCGTCGTCGCTGCGATTTTTCACAGTCGTATTGAGAAGAATCCGACGTCCAAGTCTCAGGGTGAGCGTCTCTCAACGAGGGGTCAGGGCTGGCGTCAGCGTAACTGGGTCACTATTTTGCTGGCCTTATACGTGGTTAGTGCGCTGATTTTGATTCGATCGATTTTCCGTCTGATCGAGTATAAGGGTGGGTTTGATGGCTATATCATGACGCATGAGGCATTTGGATATATTTTTGATGCGCTGTTGATGTTCATTGCTATGGTTGTGATGAATGTGTATCACCCAGCGGTGATTCTTGGAGATGGAAAGGGTGGAGGTATACAGAACTCTGAGTACGGCGACGCCGTTCGCCTGTAGGGGAAGATCTTGCATCATTTTCATTTCATACTATTATGGGATAATTGTTTGAGTTTGGCGCTATAGAACGGGGGATATCCAACTTTTGTAGCAAGCGAGTGACAGACATAATAGATCAGCGGATCATAAGTGCAGACTCAAAATCAAAAAGCTCACAAGTCATATCTCATATCATCATGTATAAGGTCTGTATTCCACACTACGGCGGACTTCATAACTTTTCCGCACCAAACCAGTGCCTAACCCGTTGGCATAAAGGTCGGCCGGGGCTCTATGACCTCCCGAGCCACGAGTAGAAATAGGCAGCAGGCTTGGCCCGTATTCTAGCTCCTCGCTTCTCCTTGTCCGTGCCAGACTGATAATCTTTTCAATTTCAAGAGCCTGGAGCTGGCCCTCGCCACGGTCAACCGCAGGAGCGTGTTTGTCTTTGCGAGATAACCAACTTCGACTGCGAAGTGTTCCCGATCGGAAGAAATCTCCAATATCATCCACGGACAGTGCGAGCAAAATAAGCGGGATTGAAATGGCAAATCCAATGCCAAAGGTATATCGGGCAACATATCCTAGATTCAAATTCTCGAATTCTTTCATGTTGATTGTGAAAATTGATGTGATGAAGGACAGCGGCAAGAAGATAATTGTGACAATGGTGAACACCATAATCGTCTTGCTTTGCCGTGTCGTACCCGCTGCTTGGTCGCGGGCGAAACGAGCCTCGAAGGCGTTGGCGTGTTTTTGCTTGAGGTCGAGTAGATCCGTGATGGAGTGGTAGATACGCTCGGCTTGTTTATCCATACGATCGATATCTTTCAGGTGCATGTCGATCATGCGTTGCTGATCCTTGAAGCGCTTCTTGACGTCCACTTGGGAGATTTGCTGGGCCAGGTAGACCGAGCAGATGACATCTTGAAAGTCCACCAGGACATGTTTCTGATGATCCAGCACAGTACGGATCATGTTTAATTCGTCTCGAATATCTTTCGTTTCTGCCAGTAGATCGGTTTCTTCACCGATATCCAGCAGACGGTCGACAAACAGCGGTTGGCCATCGTCCAGATAATAGTCCTCGTCATCGGATGGCTTGATTTCCTCTGCTGTATCACGGCCGGTGATTGAACGGGCCGAGCTGTGCGACAGTGGATTCAGTTTTCGGTGACTCTTCAGCCAGGCAGATGCTTGCACGGATGCATGATTGAAGCGGTTGAAAAGTAGCGTTTCGCGGTCCGTGGCGATACCAATTGATGACTCAAACATGTCCAGGAACTGATACTCGTCATCACCGAGACGGTGACGGTCGAACACACCCGAGCATCGATTGGTGATGATAATAGCAAGATCATACACCGACCTCACGGGGTCTCGCGTCTTGGAATTGATGTCCTCGATGATCCCGTCCAGCACATTAAGAGGATCATTCTTCGGCTGGTCCCATCGCTGTGGGAAACTGGTCACGATGAGGTTGGTGCCGAGAACCCACATCCACAGCTGATCAACCATGAAGATCTTAGGATCCGTGCCCGGCCCTTCACGCCCAGGTCCTTTAGTCTGGTATCGATATACCACTTGATCCTGGTCACGGCTCTGGGTATCAATGTTTGGATAGTAGAATTGGTCCAAAGTTCGACGGACGTGCAAGGAGGTCGTCGAGGAGGACAGATGCGCATCGATCAGCATCTCATCACGCGTGCGAGTTCGTTTCATACCACTGGGTTGGAAACTCAACATCTCAGCCCGCTGGATCGCTTCTTGCATCTTTTGTCTGCGCTCCGCAGTTTCAAAATGCAGATAAGGCATGAACACACAGACATTGCAGGCCGAGTTATGGCCAGCTTGAGGATCCCGGCAGAGGTTCAAAGAATGATGAGGAGAGCGCGGTTGTTTTTCTGTCGGCCCCCATGGTGACTTGTTTTTCCCTTCTGTCTTGGGGGTTCCTGGATTGCTTCCTAATTTGCCGGGTTTCTTCTGTTTGGTTTTCTTTCCCGGTGCACCTCCGCTACTTTCATCGTGCGAATGAGAGTCTACCCGGTCAAGTTTGCTGCTGGGTCCCTTTGGTTTGCGAGAGGTAGAGCTGGAATCCGTCATGACGGACGGTGCAGTATCTGACTGCTGCCTCTCCAGCTTCTCTTCGTCTCGCCGCTCAGATGAGCGAGGGGTATGCTGGCATAGGGGCCGCATGAAATGTGAGTGTATCTTCTGTCCGCGATGCTGATAGTTGAAGGATTTCTCCAGACCCTTGAAACCATCAACATCATGCGCACCTTCTTCAATGAATGACTTGGTGAGGAGTGCCTCGACCCAAGCCATGTTATTTGCGGGAAGATGAATCCAGCGAAAGTCAGTGGCACGGCTATCAGCCGGCACCGTAGTCACGGCTTGCTTGCGAGGATTCTCTGGATCTCGACCATAAAGCAGGTTAAAGACCGACATCCGTTTGACACGATTCTCATTGTGGAAATTGCCAAAGTCGACAACGGTGGCATCAAAGGCTGCGGAGGCACCTTTCACATCCTCGGACAGAGACTCAACATTATTAAACGGCGCCAAAAGCAAAACAATGTCCTTGCGCTTGAACTGCGCCGCTCGCAGGAAAGGCGTACTGCCAAAGGTATCGCGAACTCGACGTTTCAAATCAGGTCGCTCCAACAGACACTTGACAACTTCTGTATGGCCACCCTGCGCCGCGAGATGCAAAGGGGTCACGCCGTTCAAGAGCTGGCTATTAATATGCGCCCCAGCACGAAGTAAAAGGCGAACAATGGCCTCGCACCCTCGTTCACATGCATTATGAAGCGGCATCCATCCACCATCACTGCAAGCATTAACCGCAGCATCATGCTGCAACAGTAATTGAATGATATCCGCCCTATCATGCGCAGTCGCAATATGCAACGCTGTCTTCCCTCTCAACTCGGCCGCATCAATATTCGCCTTGGGCCCGTCCGGCCTGGTCAACAGCAAGTCTGCAAGTCTCCAGTTTCCCTGGGCACAAGCCCAATGTAATGGCGTCCTACCCAAATCATCCTGCCCTTCAAGCCCATCAACCAGACAATCCGTCCTCAAGAGCAATGTCACAATCTCATCACCCCATCCCCACCGACACTCTTTATCCGCTGCCAGATTGTGCAACACATTGCGCTTCCGATGATCCCTCGCATTCACGTTCGCCCCGCGCATAATCAACAGCTGCAGAATATCGGCATGATTCTTCCACGCCGCCGTCATCAGCGCCGTACGCCCCTCCTTATCAGTAGTATCCGGCGAGGCGCCGTGGTCCAGCAACAGGCGCACAATCTGATAGTGATCGCGCTCGACGGCGCGGAGCAGCGGTGACGGTCGATTCCCCGTTACGTCTGTTTTCGCGCCGAGTTGGAGGAGGAACTCGGTCGCGGCGACGGAGCCTCGCTCGGCGCTGCGCATGACGGCCACACGCAGGAAATTGTCGCTGAATTGGTTGTATTCCCGGGCCAGTGCGATTACCGTGCGGAGGGCTTCGGTGTCGTCGTTCTCGGCTGCCCGAAGCAGGCGTGGCTCCAGGCGTTCGTGGCCGTCACTGGCCATGCTGGAGGACCGGGCCATGCTTGGGGAGGGGGTCTGGACGGGGTTGATCTTGGATTCCGACGGTCGGCCAGTAGATATAGATCGATAGGGTGGGTTATTATTCCATCGTCCTCTGGTTTGTGCGTGGACGGGAGTTTGTTTCCCGAGGCTGGCGAAATTTAGTGACCCCCGCGCGCGATGTCCTGGGACAGACAGTCTGAACGGAGAGGAGATTTAGATCTTCGAGGGACCGAGGACACTCATTAGGTAAGGAAACGATCTGCACTGGGGCAGATTGATCTCTCTGTCTGGTCACCCTAGTCTAGAAGGGAGTAGTACGGGGTCTCTCTTTGGACTCTGTCTGTCGCACCAGTGGCTGCTGCGCCTCGTATTGCCTCCCTTTTTGTTGGCGGCTGGCCGCCACCCGTTAGTGTGTGGAAGATAAGCGCAGATGCCCGTTGGAGCGACGAAATACAGCCCGCTCGGCAGTTATCCTCATCTTGTTAAGACCTGTTTCTCATGGGTAGACTTTGGATTAGGGAAGATGACTGGCCTTTTAAACTGTAAATCTTGAGTTATATATTGGAGCATTGGTACAGTTCATGGTGGACCTGATGGTTCCATGGTTCATGGGCCTCCAAGGGGTAGAAAGACAACATTCGCAACTAAATCACGTCCTGGGACGCTGTCTACATTGACAAAAAAAATACAAAAATCTACCACTAAACACAACCGCTATTGAAGAAGTACTCAGACTCCAATACTCATACAGCCTTCCATTATGCAGATATTAGAATCTCTATTTTCTATCGGGCAGTCTCCGACAATTCTGAACAAACCAATTACGAGAAGTAGGGGGAATCCAGCACACAGAATAGGAAAGAAAGAGAAAAAAAAAAAAAAAAAAAAGAAACGAAACAAAAAAAGAGAGACCCCGGGTTCCACCCTCCGGAGATGCTGATGCTGATATGCTGAATAATTATGACGGTGCTGTCCGCTCTCCATGCTTCTCTCCCGCTTAATTAAAAGGTTGCTTTTTTATCCTCTTCGCATCCCTGTGCATCGCGCCAGTCCCAACCCATGTCACGAGTATGCGCCTATTAACAGACAATCAAGAAAAGAAAGAAATTCAAAAAGAGAGAGAAAATCGAAACTCGGGGGTGACAAGAACATCATCATCATTCCATTGAGTCACAGAGACAAGGAGGAACGACATATAGATCAAAGCACCAAATGCATTTAGTGCTTCTTCTTGTCCTTCTTGGGGACCTCCTTTAAGATATCGTCAAAGCTCATGTTCGGGTTGAAGCGGCTGATGGGACGAGTAGGAGGCTCAATGGGGGCAATACCTGCAGGAAGTGGTAAAGCCTCCAGACCCGGATAGATCGAGTGACGGTGCTCAGCGCGCTGGGCAGCACCCGGGGACCGAGTGCGAGGAATGGCCGGCGGTGGTGGAGTAAGGCCACCTCCTGGGTGTCCCAGCATCGAAGGTGGGTGCGGCTCGGATGAAGACCCCGCAGAAGACTGCTGGCCCTGGTAGGGCGATGAGATGGAGGACTCATCTTCCCCGTATGCATCCTCGACCATCGGGGGCTCGATAAGAGCGCCGGCCTCAGCCCATTGCTCGGCGACTTGCCAGCAGTGGCTGCGTCGGTAAACACCCTCAACACCGTTAATGACGACATCCGAGGGCAGGCTGACCACACCAGCACCACCAGCAACACCAAACCAGGCACGAGCAGTCTTGGTGTCATTATGAATCCAGGGTGCACCGCCGCGGGGAGCAATGCAGAGGAAGTACTCGACACCTCCCGTAAAGCGAACCTCGGGAACATCCACAACCAGCATGGGTAGGGATTGAAGAACAGCGTAAAGGAAGATCCACTGCCCACATCGCAATTCAAGCAGGTCATCCACGCTCTTGCCGTTGGCACATCGTCGCTCAAACTGGGTGAAGCTCTCGATGAAGGGAGTTGGTCGCATGCTCTCACGAGTGTACGAGCCCATGAGAACGGCGTTGATGTCGGAAGCCTTGAGCTTCTTGGCACGGTACTTGGCCTCCTTCTTAGCGTCCAGAGGCTTACGGTGCAGCCCTTGCACGGACGGCATCTGAGGAACATCGAACGGAATGGGAGGCGCAACAGGAGGAGTACTGCGGTCATACTCACTCAGCACGTGGCGGAGAGCACGAATCAGGATAGCCTGGGGGTCAGTGGGCGAGGGGTCCCCACCGGGACCGGAGGAGTCGATGGTGCGGGTGGTCAGGTTGGTGCGGTCGACGAGTAGATCATACAGATCAGTGAAATCACGATACAAGTCCAGAAGGAGTTGGCGGTTGAGTCCGCTCTCTTCAAAGGCATTCTTCTTAGAGCGAGCCTTGGGTGGCCATGCACCATACTTGTTCCGGTAGTAGTTGATGGTGAAGCGGCGGAACTCTTGGAAACTGGTCTTCCAGTTCTTGAAGCGGATGATCTTGCTTTCCTCAGAGGAGGTCGAGTTCGCGAAACCGGAGAAGACTGAGGGGAAATCAAAGTCCTCCAATTTGCCGTATAGGCCCCGCAGACGGGTATCCAAGTCGATAAAGCCACGCTCCAGGCGTTTTTGGGTGATCGGATGAATGAAGCTGTATTTGGGGCTTCGTAGCTGCTTGAGCTCATCTAATTTGCCAACACCGTGCACGAATCCTTCCAGGTATAGCGGGTAGTAGCGAAGCCGCTCACCCAACACAATGGCTTCAATAGTCTTCTCACGGCTCTTTCGCACGTCGGCCAGGCGCAGCTCGTCGCAGTAGTTGCTGAAGCTGGAAGTGGCAGTTTCACCAAAGTTGGATCCATCCAGGTTGGAGAATTCGAATCTTGACAGCAGGACAGCCACATCCATGAAGATGCTGAAGAGAGATCCAGATTTGGGGGTCGCAATGAGGGATTGGCCCAGCAGGAAAGCAAACAGGTTGCGGAACAAGAGCAGAGTCTCCAGATCTTCTTGTGAGACCTTCGAGTGAGGGCTGGACACGTCACAGTTCAGAGGAATCGGGAGGTAAAGGTGCAGCTCTTGAACTTCATCAGCGCCATCATCAACAAATGCCATCCGCTGACTGCCTGAACTATCATTGTCGTCGTCGTCTGCTAACCGATCCTGCGGGGTCAACGGCGGTGAAATTGGGTTCTGAAGAGAAAGCGTGCGTGTATGCTGCTCCAAGCCACTCTGTCTTGAGTCGGTACCACGAGCCAGGTATGTCAGAGACGGTGATTCGGCGAAGATGGTGGAGTCGACTTTGAAAGAAGGCGCCCGGTCAGTGTTCTGAGGGAAGAGGTAGACAAATGTGTCGCCTTCTTCGTTCCACAACTCGGCAATCTGAAAGCGGGTGGATCGTTAGCAGGAGCACCCTGGGAGCTTGGTTTCCATACAGCCTCTTTCTTCACCGTCTCCCACGTACCTGTCCACCTCTGGCCAGAGGCTCCATGTCATAGGCCACCTTCTGATCTAACCCGGCGATCCAGGCGCTTGGCAAGACCGGGGTGGGCATCCGCTTGTCCACCGAGCTCGCTCGCGACCGACCCATCATCCCCGGCATCCAACTTCTGCGTTTCGATGGCGTGCCCGGGCGGGAGTCTGGTGTGGAGCCCGGGATGGCCAACCCGGCCGAACTGGAAGGTCGGGTCATGTCGCGACCCCTGCTTCGCGGGCGAGCATCGGTGGGCGAGCTGGGTGCACTGACGGCTAGGTCATGATTGACGGCCAACAAGGATGGTGGGGGCGGGAGGCTTTCGAAGTCGAAACCCACGGGACCGGCATTCGGGACGGTCCTTGGTTCTGAGAATACCGCATTGGGAGTCGATACATGTCGAGTCGGTCGTGAGTTGCTTCGTCGCCCCCTGTCCTGAGATAGATCTGAGGAGCCATTCAACCCCGGCGAGATCGGAGAACCGGGCGCATTCTGGTCCTTGTGCGAGCCCAGCGAAAAGAGGGAGGAGATACGCTTCGCCGATTTAACGGGAGCTGACAACATCTTTCTTCGGATGCTCTTTCAGAGCAAGAGGAGAAAGAGGTTGGGCGAGGGGAGGGAGAGGAGGGGGATGAGAGGGAAACGAGTGTGTGCTGAGCACCTCGGAGATCAGGAGAAAGAGACGAGAGTTCCAGCGAGCTCGTTTTGGGGTCGAAAGAGTGGACCACGTTAGAGCCGGGCGGAGCGCGCAGGAGGGGAGGGGGGAAACAATCAAGCCCTGCGACGCATGGAAAGGAGGAATGAAAGAGCAGGGCCTGATGGTACAGTAGAGGCGAGGTTGTGATTGAGGTGGTAAAGGAGAGGGTTTCGGGGAATGGATCGGCAGGAGGGATTGCAAGAATGGCAGGGAGACACGGCGAGAGAATGGATGAACTACGGGCACCCAAACAGACGGAGGAGTTGAGAGAGAGAGAGAAACGAAAAAGAGAAGAAACTTTGAGCAGCTTCAACGTTTGTTTTTCAGGGGGCGTTTCAAAACAAAAGGCGATTGATAATTTTTTTTTTTTTTCCCATGAAGTTCAAAATCTTGAGAAACTCGGAGGCTTTAGAGAGTAAAAACTAAAATTCCAAAAAAAAAAAATCCAAAAACTAAAGAACGGAGGGCCTTCGATCCGGTTCCTTGTCCATGCCAATAATAGCAGCTCCGGCTCGATGGGGGTTCCTTGGCTTGTGTCGCGGTGGAGCCCTGCAGTGCGAAAACCTGAATAACATACGAATCATGAGCCCCCAAGAGCCCTTGTGCATGCTGACTGTCCGATGCTCGAGAACGGACAAGACTATGCTTAGCATGTTACCACTGTAGGTACACGATACGATGCTGATGATCAGGACATAGTCCGACCTTACGAACCTAGCTGTCTGGTGATCTCGAAGATAATAATAATAATACCTTTATACTACCGTACTATATACACTTTTTAGGTACCCTCCGGACCCAAGAACTCAGGAGCTAATGAACTTTCTACTTACTTGAATGGCTAGCCTGGCTCATCATGGTAATCTGTTCGGTCTTAGTTTACAAGGGCGGATTAATAACTGGTTATTGTGAAATGCTACAGAAGTCCGAGAGCCGTGAAAATTAGATTGCGCCTCGACAGATCAAATGTCTGCCTGGCGGCCTGGCGGCGGAGTATTTGAGTCTAGTATGACACGACAGCCCACTTGTCTCAATTAGGAGAAGGGCGATTTACAGTATGTCCATCCTACATACTGCTGTCTGTACTCCAGTACTACGGTGCAGCAAGGTAATATTTCACTAGCGAGCAGCAATGGCTTTTTTGGTTCCCTTCACTCACAACTCCATTTTGAAATGGCAATTGATCCATCCATCCAATTGGGTCTGGTCGATATACTACGTTTGCCGCTTGCCGCTTCGATCCGACCAGGGGGAACTCCGGGATTCCGGAATACTCTGGCGGATGGAGTAGTATTTGGTGCGCTGGCACTGGAGCAACAGTCAATAATAATGCAGGAAGAATTTTACTGGGAATTGGCGCTAGTAGTTGGACTACCGTTGGAAGGCAAATCGAAAAGGGACGGGACCTAGGAGGAGAATTGCGAAATAAATTCGATTATTAAAATTCCATCCGAGCTAAAGGGACATGTGTACGCCTCTAGCGAAAATAACAACCTAATCTTATGGTCGCTTTTAAGTTCCATTTTGTAGTGAGTGGATGAGAGCACTGCGACTAATCTGACGCAAAACATGGCATCATATGTCTTGGGCCATATACCGTAGCAGCCTGGCGCCATAGACTGTGTGCTACGAACCATTCGGAACCCGTCCATGTCCTCAGTATTACCAAAGATATACCTCCAAGAGGCTCTTGTTTATACGTTAAAAAAGAATATTCATGGTAGATGGTTTCCTCCATTTCAATACAGCGAAACCTTAACCCGATCGCGTCATCTTCCAACTTCTTCGTTCCTTGTGCCTTTTCTTCCCCTCACCCAAAGAATCGCGTTTCCCGGTCCACCCTTCGGCGTTTGTCAATCAGGCCCGCGGTTCCATCATATCAAGTCTCGACTGACGTTATCACTTGCATCTTTCCCTACGCGCTTACCACCTCGAATTCCAGATCCTCCAAACGCCGCCCTCCTCCACCCAGTAATATTCATCCCACAGTCATGACTGCGCCCCCCAACCAACAGCGCAACCAACCGCCCATCGATCTACTCTGTGGCTGGCCGAACCCCGCGCTCCTCCCCGCCCCCAACCTGCTCCGCTCCGCCACGACCGTATTCACCACCCCCTCCATCGCCAACCCAGCCTTGGGATACGGGCCCGATGAAGGCTATGAGCCTCTGCGCGCCCACGTGGCCCAATGGCTGGGTGCCTTCTATCAGCCTTGTGACCCAATTTCGTCTGGGCGCATTTGCATCACTGGCGGGGCCAGCCAGAATCTTGCATGTGTCATGGCCGTCTTCACTGACCCTGTGTACACGCGCGGAGTGTGGATGGTCGATCCGACCTACCATCTGGCTGGCCGTATCATGGATGATGCAGGCTTTGCTGGACGGATTCGAGGGGTCCCCGAGGATGAAGAGGGGATCGATCTAGCGTTTCTGGCGAGCGGATTACGTGCGGCTGAAGAGAAGGCTCATGCGGAGGGCAACACCGAACCGGTATTGACCTAAAATAGACAATTGATACACCAGTCTGTATCTCCTTCTTGATAAGCAGAAGCAGACTGAGCATCGCTGTCACATTCACCATCTACTGAACTTATCCCAGATAAGAATCAGAAAACAATCGCTGGCGCCTCGACTAATATATTTCTTCTTTTCCGCCAGAAATTCAAACCACCCCGGCCCTGGCGCAAGATCTACAAATATATCATATATGCCGTCCCTACATTCGCCAACCCTTCCACCAAGATCATGTCTCTGGACCATCGGGAACGATTGGTCCGACTAGCTCGCCAGTACGATGCGCTGCTGGTCACCGACGATGTCTACGATTTCCTCCAGTGGTCCGCGATCCCTGGGGGTAAGCTGGCTGCCCCCGAACACGCGTGCCTCCCCCGCTTAGTGGACGTGGATCGTTACCTAGACGGTGGCCCTGTCGACGAATGGGGCCACGCAATAAGCAATGGCAGCTTCAGTAAATTGCTCGGTCCTGGGGCCCGCACTGGATGGGCTGAAGCATCTGAAAAGGTGGCCTATGGGTTATCACAAGTGTATGTTTCGTGTATTTCTTGCTTACTGTCCCTTCTTTTCCACATATTTCTATTCGTCCGAGTCAGAGCTATATATATAGACTATTTTGGACGCACTGTATTTTGGGCAGTTGAAGGGCGGACGACACTACTGACAAATACAATATTCGTGTGCAACATTCATCTCATGTGCTAACGACTCCTTTCTACAGAGGCTCCTCGCGTTCCGGCGGCGCCCCCTCTCAACTCTGTTCAACCATCATTGATCAACTACTCCCCTCCGGCTTTCTAAACACCTACATCCAACAAACACTGCAGCCTGCATACGCAAAGCGGTATCATACTTTACTAGGAGCGATCCAAGAGGACCTGGTCCCACTCGGGGTGATGGTTGCTTCACCATCCGAGACCATTGCCGGTGGATATTTCATCTGGATCACTTTGCCACCGCCACTGCTGGCGGCAGATATAGTGCAGCGAGCACAGCAGGAGGAAAACCTGCGCTTAGCGCCTGGCACGTTATTCGAGGCCGGGAGCCCACAGCCGCCAAGCGACCGGTTCGCTGGCTGCCTGCGCCTTTGCTTTGCGTGGGAAGAGCCGCGTCACCTGACCGAGGGGGTGCGTAGGCTCGCACGCGTCCTGAAACATGCGCTTGTGTAGCTTGGAATTTTTGCTGCGGCGGTCACTGGCTTATTGTAGTTGGACTACCTAAAAGAGAAAGTTAAGCCAAATTGGCACTGGTTGGTGATCGGAAGTGCGCGGACCGTCCCGGGTGAGAGAAATAAAAAGTGGGCGAGGACGCGTGGCAGGTGCATTTGAAGCCTAGGAAGCAATATATCCTCATCATGAGTATGGCCTCCCGGCGCCACCGCCACCGCCAGACGAGATTAGACATACTAGGAACCGAGTCGCATGAGATTACCAAAACGAGAGATATCAGCCAGTATAATCGTTGTAGAATGGTTGAGGGGATGATTTGGTGTAATATTGTGCGGTGCGAAATGTTAGTGCTGTGCCACAAAGCTCACGACGAGTTGAGATCGCTTGCAGGTTCAACCACGGTTAAGCGATCGACTCGACGTGGCCCAATCAATTGTGGTTCGGCGACCAAGGTACTCGACTATATCTATCCAAGATCCCGGTTACGATTCAATCATTCACAGTGGTACGCCGAACAATGCCCAAATGGAATGGCTTAGTCAGCCCTGGCTATTTCCGACCCTTGGAACGATTGTTTACGGTGAGTGCTTCCAAACTTCCAGCGAGGGTATCAACTCGTACAAGGACGGCAAGTAAGGCACGAACACAGATCTTCCTCCTGCGACGAGGATCCCAGAGACCTTGCAACATCATTGGCTCGGAGAGAAAGCGAGCACTTCGTACCTGCAGTCGAGCTAAACCACAATTCGGCGAGGGCGGGTCCTCCCAAGGCCCAGGGGCTGGTAAAAGCTTGGCCAGTCGTGATGATCTGCCCGATGCAGATGGCGTATCTGCACCTTCCATCCGAAGCTCGCTAGCCCGAGACAGCCGGGGGAATCATGGATGACAAGGAGGAGGGCGTGGGAGAGGCATCTTGCCTAGCCCCCTTGGATGAAAATTCCATTGCGAGTGGTTGGCATTGACAGCCTCCTCCGTCGTCATCAGGAATCTCCCCTCCCGTTGCCCGCGTTGGAATGTTCATCCATAACAACCTGCATCCCTGACAACCGATCTTCACAGCGGAGAGTCTAGTCGATAGGATCCCGTTGTCGGGACACGACTCAGCGGTTGGCGAGTCGTCTTTCAGCGACGCAGAAGGGTCCCGGGCAATGGCATAATCGGTAGTGCCCAGCAACACTAGCAACACTGGCCGTGGCGAGAATGGACATCAGCGCATGCGTTCTAAGCCGGCAGTTGCACGGTTGTCATCAGTGCTGCGACGGCTGTTACTGCCGTTGCTCTTCTTTCCCTTGATTGATTTCCCAATCCTCGAATCAAATGATTCAGTCCTGGCCTCCGTCCCTCTCTCCCATTCGGTCACCGTTGTAACCAGGGTTGGCTAACTTGGCTCCACCACTGTCCACAAGGGAATTATACCAGGAGAGAGGGGGGGACATACCAGACGCGCTGGCCGTGTTCGCGCCGTCCCACATCCCGGACATTGCTGCCATGGAAGATGTGCCAGGGAAAATAATTCCCCCGCCTCTCGAGGCATCCGACACGACAGCTCCCATGTCCATGCGGGCAGGGCAGCTGAGAACCTCCAGATGGATGGAATGGATGATCCGGCATACCCTGTTTTGGCGGAGGGATCGCGATCCCTTTGGCAGACACCGCGTTGGTATTTGGTATATAGCGCGTAGAGACCCCATAGACCTCGGGTTTGGAGCCTTTCTTTGCCCTATTTTTCTTGACTTCTACCCAATCTTGTTGTTTTGGGCTGGCTCTCTTAAGATCTTCATTTCCACTGCGCATAGACAGTATATACTGGTATATACTGACTAGCCCATCGATTCGTCCATATTCAAGGTCTGCACCTGGCTAGACCCCTCGAGCTAAAGAAATAGTGAGCCCGTGGCCACTCCTGCTCATTTGACGACCTCGTCTCCCGACCCGGTGGGTTGTTTCCACCAGTGAATCTGCAACACTCGGCTTTGCGATCGCCTCCTTCCAGTGTTTCATCCTTGACAATCGCGTTTCAAACATCGGCGCCGTTACGTCTGTGGGGTTGTTTGATTGGGCGGTGCTGGTGGATTACAGGGCGCTGTGGTGTGTGATTGGCCCCGCGGCAAGTGATTCAGGGACGATACGAGCAGGTTACGCCGGAAATACGCTGAGGCACCAAACCTAGTCCGAGACTTTACAAGGTAAGTGCCGCCGGCATCTCGAGGGATTCTCTTTTATTTCTCTGTTCTCTTGGATCCTTTGTTTGATTGCTGCCTTTCTTTTGACATTCTCTTCGTTGTTCATTTGTGGTGTTGCCTGTGGTTTCATCTGGGCACTTTCCCTTTGTTCATGCCCATTGTTGCTATTTCACTCCTTTTCTTCGCGGGTCGAAGTATACATTCAGTTTGCTGGGAGTCAGTGAGACGACCATCCTTGATTACCAGAGCGGACCGGACTTCGCATTCCATCCCTCCTTTCTTGCCTGGGAAAGCGATCTCCAATTGCTACCTCCTTCAAATCGCTCCTTCTTGACTACTCGCATTTTCTTTTCCAAATTTACTGCCGACGCTGCTGGTTCAAGCGTCGCCAGGAGTCCTGCATTTTGTTCATCGATCGCTACTACACTCATCAGTACTGGTTACTGAATTTCGCTCTCTCATAGGGATTTGATCTGACCATTTTAACAAAAGAGAAAGACGCATTAGTTTCGCTGCAGGTTCAGCAACTAGCTATCTAGAAGATGGCGCGTTTCCAAACTTCCATCATGATGCTCTTGGCCCATCTCATTCTCTTACTGGGTATCCCGACAGCCCTGGTTGGCGCCATTCCAGTGACCCCTGCTCTAAACGCACTGGAGTTGGCTGCGTCGAAGCGCGCTGCTTCCAGCTACTGGGTCGCGAATATCGAGCGCCAGGGTACTGTGCCCTTCGCTAGCAACAGCGACTATCAAGTGTTCCGTAACGTGAAGGATTTTGGTGCCAAGGGTAAGCCGCGGCAAGATATACGACATGTATTCATCGCAAATGACTGACAATTCGATAACAGGTGATGGATCGACTGACGACACTGTGGCCATCAACAAGGCCATCTCGTCTGGTGGCCGCTGCGGTAAGGGCTGCGACTCCTCTACCACTACTCCTGCACTGGTCTACTTCCCACCTGGTACCTATGTCGTTTCGAAGCCCATCGTCCAGTACTACTACACTCAGATCGTCGGCGATGCAGTTGACCTGCCCGTGATCAAGGCTGCCGCTGCATTCTCCGGCATGGCAGTTATTGATGCCGACCCCTACGATGACAATGGCGACAACTGGTATACCAACCAGAACAACTTCTTCCGTGCCATTCGCAATCTCGTCATTGATCTTACTGCTATGCCCCAGGGATCCGGTGCCGGTATTCACTGGCAAGTTGGTCAGGCTACTAGTTTGCAGAACCTCCGGTTCGAGATGATCAAGGGTGGTGGCTCTGCCAACAAGCAGCAGGGTATCTTCATGGACAACGGATCTGGCGGTTTCATGTCAGACCTGACCTTCAACGGTGGTAACTACGGCATGTTCCTCGGTAACCAGCAGTTCACCACTCGCAACCTGACCTTCAATGGCTGCCAGACTGCCATCTACATGAACTGGAACTGGGCTTGGACCTTCAAGTCTGTCAATATCAACAATTGCGAGGTCGGTCTGAACATGTCTACGTCGCCGTCCAACCAGACTGTTGGCTCCGTCATGATGCTCGACAGCCAGCTCACCAATACCCCAACTGGTATCGTCACTGCCTGGACCAAGAACAGCATCCCAATTGGTGGTGGTACTCTCGTCCTTGACAATGTCGATTTCTCCGGTTCTTCCGTCGCTGTGGCCGGCGTCGATGGCCACACTATCCTGGATGGCGGGGCCGTCGTCGACAGCTGGGTGCAGGGCAACACGTATACTCCTTTATCCTCCGGTTCTACCAAGCGCGCTTACCGTCCCGCGGAGGAGAATGTCGATATCGAGGTTGTCACCATTGTCAAGACGGTCATCAAGACTGTGACTTCATGTGCTGCAACCAATAGTGCAGCTACTCTCGCCACGAACGCGGCTGCTAGCACCAATACCCAGGTTACAACTCCCATCCTGCCTTCGAGCACTGATGCCGGTGATCGCTCGGTCGCAACGCAGGCTACTCCCATCTCTACCCCCACTTTGTCTGGTCTTCCTGGCATGGACAACAGCTGGCTGTCTGCTTTCATTGGCTCATTAGGACAGACATACGAGATTCCTGTCACACCCTCCCAGACCCCTGCGGCCAGCGAGGAGACCACTGCCGCCGTTCCTGCTGCTGGCGAGACCACTGCTGCCATTGTTACGGGATCCAGCGAGGCAGCCACCGTTGCAGAGACTAGCCAGGCTGTTCCAGTTGTACAAACCTCTAGCGCTGTCCCTGTAGCCCAGTCAACTCCAGCATCCGGCACATCTAGCGCTGTTGTCTCTCAGGGTACCGGTTCAAGCTCTAGCTCTAGCAGTGGTTCTGGTATCTGCAAGAGTGATGCCAACCAAGCCGTCGCCTCTGCTCGCACACAGAGCACCATGAAGGCTAGCTCCAAGCCCAGCGACCTTCTCAACGGCGGTGCCGTCTTCGAAAAGTCCAAGCCTCTTTACGAGAACCTTCCTGCCTCTTCCTTCATCAGCGTCAAGTCTGCTGGTGCCAAGGGTGACGGAGTGACAGACGATACCGCTGCTCTCCAGACGGTGCTTGACAGTGCCACCGCTGACCAGGTCGTGTACTTCGATCACGGCGCGTACGTGATCACCTCGACCTTGAAGGTGCCCAAGGATATCAAAATCACTGGTGAAGTCTGGCCCATGATCATGGCCCACGGTTCCAAGTTCCAGGATGAGACAAACCCTATTCCTGCCGTGCAAGTTGGTCAGAAGGGCGAATCTGGATCCGTTGAGATAAGTGACCTGATCATCACCACCAAGGGTGCTGCCCCTGGCGCTATTCTCATGCAGTGGAATGTTGCTGCCACCTCGCAGGGCTCCGCTGGTATGTGGGACGTCCACATTCGCGTTGGTGGCGCCGCTGGTACTGGCCTCCAGAGTGATACTTGCCCCAAGACTCCGGCCCAGCAGACTACACCCAAGACTGAATGCATCGCGGCATTCCTGCTCTTGCACATTTCTGAGACGGCCAGCGCATACATTGAGAACTCTTGGATGTGGACCGCTGACCATGAGCTTGACTTGTCCGATCACTCCCAGATCAACATCTATACTGGCCGTGGCGTGCTTGTCGAGTCTCAAGGCCCTGTGTGGCTATGGGGTACCGCCTCCGAGCACCACCAGCTGTACAACTACCAGGTCTCGAACGCAGCGAACGTCTTCATGGGTTTGATCCAGACCGAGACTCCTTACTACCAGTCGAACCCCACCGCGCTGGTCCCCTTCACGCCCCAAGACTCCTGGAACGACCCTGACTTCTCCACCTGCACGACCGACTCTTGCAAGAAGTCTTGGGGTCTGCGTGTGATGAACACCTCTGATCTATTTATCTACGGTGCTGGTCTGTACAGCTTCTTCGAGAACTACGCGCAGACATGCCTGAACACGGAGGACTGCCAGGAGAACATGGTCGAGGTTGACTGCTCAGATGTCCATATCTACGGTCTCAGCACAAAGGCTGCCGTTAACATGGTGACCTCATCTGCTGGCAAGAGCATGGTTCCCGAGAAGCCCAACAAGAGCAACTTCTGCTCGACCATCGCCCTTTTCGAGCAATCTGTCTAGACTCTTTTTCCTTTCTCTCGAATTTTTTTCTTTTCGATGGTCTTAGCCCATCCTTCGTTCTGTTTAATGATTTCCATCTTTATTATGCCTATTCAAGTCCTGCGTCCTATACCTCATCTGGACCGCTCTTCCTTCTCCAAGGTCTAGATTGTCACTTTACTTCTCTTTCCTAGGCTTTTTGGTACTGCCGACTATTCTGTCATGGATGCATGGGATGAAGGGGGATGGGTATGAAAATGAACGCAAAGTAGTAGGGGATGACAGGGCTGCTCTTTGGGAGGTTTGCATCTCGGGATTCTATTTGATACCACGGGAAAACATTATTTGGCCAATAGGGCCTTTTGTTTTATTTTCTTGCTTTTATGAATAGTCACCAATAGATATGATTCAATCAATGAGAACAATCACAGTTAGCACAATCTGGCCTATATTCCCTCAGCTGTACACTGCTCTGAATAGAGTATTGACCATCTCTTACGGTGTATGTCGTAGTAGTGTAAATTTATCCTCTAGCGACAATGGGCAAGCTCTTCGAGAATACTATGCAAGTTGTGCAGAGTCTGGAGAGTGGAGGCACTAAATATTCACGGAAAAAATACCTGACCAGGAACAACGTCGCCAGGTTAAATCCATTATATAGCGATTAGCCAAAGATATTACCCATATGAAGTATATCCGTTGCTGCCATACTTCCCAACATAGAGAAGAATTCCGAGTCCGGCGTGGGCAGCTCCTCAAAAACGTTCCCTTCGTCAAAGGTTTCTCCCTGATAGACACTGTTGTACATCTCTTCCTTTCGACTAATCGATGGCGCCGACCGCTTCTGGCTGGCTTCGACAATCTTCTCCAACACATGCAAAGTACCGCAAATATTAAGATCTGGGTCTTTGACGAAGCTCTGTGCGTCACTGAGGATATGGGTAGCTGTTTGGAAGGGCTTGCTACACAGTGACCCATGCTCCTCGGGGCAGTGCGAGACGGCAAACATCATGATAGATAGAGAAGTTAGAAGCAATTTCATCATTATTGGCAACAGGAGTGGACTGATTTCGCCAGCATTGACCATTTCCAAGTGTAGATCGACTGATTTCACGGCTGCGTTGACGAGGATATTTCTTGAGGTTGGATTCAAGATTGAATCCCTTATTGAGCCGGATGCGCATATTTGTGTGAGGATCTTGATGTGGTGCACGCGAAGATGACAAAACCGTTTCAGACCAGCTTGTAGCCATGGTGGTGGGGCCACAGTTGGCTCTAGATTCTTGAAGTCCCCCGTCGGGATTTTGTCGATAAGCTTTTGTAGCTGGAAATTGAGGAATTCTGCCCGTTCCCCGTTGTTCTTAGATTGAGGTGATGGGGAGTTGACGAGAGTCCATGCCTCGGAGAGGTTTCTGTCTAGGGAGATCATGGTTGATATATAGGAGTCTTGCGGTTCCTGGACAGAGAAAGAAGAGGCAGGAGTGTTAGTCATGAGATTCTAGCTGCATGGATAACTGTGCTGATGGAGAGCCCCATACAATGGTGAGCGCAGACACATTTATTTCTCTTTCATGAAGTGTCCACGGTAGATCCGAATAGAAACTGCATTGCCTATCCAGGCGATAGACACAAGCAAGTTGACGCTTCCAGTCGGCGATCCGCTGTGGGGGTACCCGAGAATCTTCAAAGAATCTCTCCCGATGGAGACCAAGCTCGAGGCACAGTTTGGAAGCCACTCCGGCTATTCGCCAAGCTTTGACTGTTCTTTGCTTGAGGCTCAGATAGATTGCCTGCGAGGGAGCCAGGAGTTTCCCTGTGGTGAGTAGAGGGTGTGGGTGACTGGATACAGCGTGAGTAGCTCACCAATAATATTGACATGACGATATCCTCAATCTGGGGCTTCTCTTGATCGAAACAAGAATCCACGCTCCAAATCAACTGGTCTTCAAGATCGGAGGCTAAAGGGCTCTGTGTGTCATCTCTGAGCAGCAGGGCAATTGCCACAACCGCCTTTGTGATTTCCACATCGATCATATCCACGTTGACAGCGACCCCGTGGGAAGTATCCTTGAACAGTGAAAAGACAGCATTCACAGCTTCATTGCCCAACTCTAAATTGATGCAGGGATAGAAAGGATAAACCTCGTCCCTGAATATTGTAAAAAGCTGAGCAACATTGGCGTGACCGAGTTCCAACAAGGATCGTGCAGCTTGCAGCGTACTGATCAAAGCATCGGGGAACTTCAAGTCGTCTCGCATAGCCGGAGGAGGGCCAGCTTCAGAGTGTGGAGGGGATAGCAGGCCCCTTTCTCTCATAGCATATTGCGTAAGGCTCAAAGTGTGTCCGGGATCCGTAGGGGTGAGAGGCTTAGTTGGTTGTGGTAGTTCATCGTTCTCTTGTCTTCGTTGCAGACAAGACGACCTACGTGGGGGAGCTGGAGAATTGAGACCAAAGCGACCGATGGATTGTTGCATTTGGTCACAGATCTTATTCATTCGCAGGACTGTGACTTCAGGGTCTCTGTGGGCTGGCTGTGGGTCAAAGCCACTGTTTGACGATCAGATTCAATGCACCATCGACTTGAATGATAATCGTTCAGTTTCAGGGGGCCATACTCAGCAGCATCGGGCTGGAACGGTTCGCTGTAGGTACATTGGCTACGAAGCTCCTCGCAACGGCCGCACGGTTGGGTCCCGCTGCACTTGACCTTTCGGACCTTGCATAGGGAGCTATTTAGGGTCAGCGGCCTAGCAATTGAATTATATAAGAAACGTTGACTGACCAGGCCATTTTTGCATATTTCTCCCTCTTTCGGGGCCGGGGCTCCCGAAGAGCATCCGGTGACCTCTTACCCCGAATAAGAGCTGATGATGTGGCAGCTTTCATATTGCTATCAGGAGGGAAGAATCAAGGTAAGGATCGGAAGACATGATTACGAGGAAGAGCCGCTTCATGCGCTTTTTAGAATGGCACCAGATCTGCGCTCCCCGCACTCCTCACGCGGTATAACGGATGGGGCCTAGTCATTCATGGCATATACCAATGGGTACTCAGACAGATTCTGGGGTTCCACAAGAGTCGTGGGGCAGGTGTGGGTACTCCATACTGTAGCAACTCATGCCAACGGAGCAGGAGCTTACCCCGCACAGATGGCGATAAAAGAAGGGTTTGGGTTCAAATAATAGAAGCCACAATTACCGAGATGGAATGCCAGGCGGTTAGTTCGGCAAAGGGCACGTCAAGCGGTGTTGATTTGATTGGACTGCGAAGGAAGCGTCATGGAGATGGTTAAATGAGGGTCTTCGGATCTCGGAGATAAACAGTCCTTCCGTCTGCCGCTTACGTACACCTGCCGCCCTACACCGCTTTGGCGGTTTCCTGCATATAGTCGAGTACAACCCACCCTACTATGAACTCTTGTTTGCCCATGAATCCCCTACGAGTAAATTTGGGCTGTTCCCACAGATACTCAATTTTAAGCACTTGACTAACCAACCAACAGAAGGCTGGGGCTGATTTGAACTCCTGGCAACTACATAGGAACAAATTTGGTTGAAGACCGGTCTCGTTCTTGGTATGTTGAAATGTTCAATGATACCTTTCACATTTATAGACCGCTGTGCAACATGTTTCATCCTCAAATATGGAAGAATTATATCATAATATTCACTACATAGAATACCAAAGGCGACGGAGGTTGGGTTGACCAAGTCTGAAAAGCAAGGAGGACACAAAAGAAGCAAGAGGGGGTGGGAATACCTACCTTCAACATTGTATGATTTCCAAAGCGAAATTTGAACTACATACTTGATTAATATAACGAAATGTATCATGTCCTTTGTTTAGTCACATCGCATGAGGGGCATTACTGAACATGATGTATGCCTTTCTCTTAGAGCTGCTTGAACATCTTCGCGTCCCGTGAATATAGCCATCGCATAGTCACACACCTAGGTATTCTCGAGATCAAGCATTCTCCAAGCTCCAGAAGTAGTAAGAGGACCATATTAGTTCAGGAGATAATCGTGAAGTCAAGGCAACAAAAGAATGCCTTGGTTGAAGCTTATCCGCCATTTATCCTGAGCTCAATTCCCAATTGTTCTATATTCGGGCATGGTCATTCCTGGTAGATATGCCGGTATTTCTATTGCCTGGATAGACTTGAGTAGTATAGTAGCTAGGAATACTCTCATGGAACCTTTTGACTGAATTTACTTCATAGCAAGTAAGCTTATAATAGTCGCCGCGGCAAGATTCCGACCCTACCGGAATTGCTTCAAGTTCCGCGGAAGCTAAAGTGGTTGTCGCACATTGATACTTGCAATTGTCTGCCAAATACAAATATCCCAATGATTCAAAACAGCATCCCTAAAGTCCTCCAAGGGTTTGGAGAATCTTATTCATTGAGAAAAACTCCTCGACTACACTGCCCATTTGACTGCACCATGTCCGGACCTAAGCTTGACTTTGGGGGATTTCCTATCCCATGGACCCCAACCAACCAACCTGAGGATGAAACCAATATGTATCCCTACAAGAAGCAGGCTAGAAACACTAGAACACTTCCCGTTGGCTGGAGATTTGCAGAGGGCAGGCGTCCCTTCCACCAGGAAACCATCTTTGACGAAGTGGTCGAGATTCCGCTTCGAGACGGAGCCAAGGTTTGCCCAATCTTCGGCTAAGCACTGCAGAAAGTATACTCACTTAATGCCCTCAGATTTACTGCGACATCTTCAGGCCCGTCACAGATACCAAGGTCCCGGCAATTTTGGCCGTGAGCCCATACGGTAAAAATGGACACGGTATGTAGTTTTCAGCTGCCTGCCGAGTGTGAGCCACATCTGATAGTGATAATTCTGCAAGGATTCCGTATTTTTGACAATATCCCCTTCCGACTCGGATTACCTGAGAGCGCTACATCCGGTCTCGAGAAATTTGAAGGGTAAATAAGTCCTGCTCAAGGTCGTGGATAGGACATGCTGACCACAAGGGATAGACCCGACCCTGCTGAGTGGTGTCCTCGGGGCTATGCAATTGTTAACGTAGACATCCGAGGTACCTGGGACAGCGAAGGCAATCTTTATATCGAAGGAAGCCAGATGGGTATGATGTTGTTCAATATCAGAAAGAAATTACAGCGGTTATTAACAGCAGGCAGGTTTGGACGGCTACGATACTGCCGAATTTATCGCAGCCCAATCTTGGTGCAATGGTGCTGTTAGCATGTGTGGCAATTCCTGGCTGGCAACCGAGCAGTGGGCAACCGCTATTGAGAAACCGCCATCGCTCAAGTGTATCGCACCTTGGGAAGGGTTCACCGATAAGTATCGTGACTTGATCTGCCGTGGTGGTGTCCCAAAGAACAACTTTGCCTCGTTCATCTTCAATAAAACAATCCGCGGTAGAAATCAACGCGAAGACATTGGCGAAGCGCTCAACAAGTGGCCTCTTTTTAACGGCTATTGGGAGGATAAAGTCTACGATACCAGTGGTCTGACATTGCCTATCTATGCACTTGTCAGCTATTCCTCCGGAAATCACGGAGCTGGTACAGTGAGAGGTTGGAATCAGGCCGGTTCAAGGGACAAATGGATCCGCTTCCACCCGACCCAGGAGTGGTTCGATCTCTACACCCCGAGGTATATCGATGATCTGCAACGGTTCTTCGATCGGTACCTGAAGGGCATCAAAAATGGGTGGGAGGAAACTCCCAGGGCTAGAGTCTCCATTCTCACATATGGAAATCGTTTCGAGCCTGTAAGTTGAGATAATCGAAGCGTCCAGAAGCCATCTGATATGTTTGAACAGGGACCCATGTGGGATGTGCCATTTGAAAACTACCCTATCCCGTCCACCGAATATCGCAAGCTCTACCTGCGGGACTCTGGAAAGCTGGATACTTCTCTGCAAGCCCACGAGAGCTTCGTCGCCCATTACGCTGACAGCTACCAATCGAAGCCATCTGAATTTGTTCTGACCTTTGACAAACCCACGACCCTGGCTGGCCATTCAAAGGCTGAACTTTGGATGTCATGCAAGGAGAAGGATGACATGGATGTCTATGTGTCCATCCGTAAACTGAGCAAAAGCGGCGACGTCTTAGAGCATGTCAATATTCCATGGGAATCTCTGCCAGAGGGTGTTAATACCCAATACGATGTTCCAATGGCACAGACCGTCAAGGTAAGCAGCAAAATTCAAGTATACAGGCTAAGAACGTGCTGATGAGGTTTTTGCTGTAGTATACTGGACCGACCGGTATTTTGCGGGCTTCCCATAGGGCCCAGGACCCGGAACGGAGCACAACCATGATTCCGTACCATCCACATGACAAGGAAGATAAGGTCCCACCAGGCGAGATCGTGAAACTTGAAATCTCTCTTTGGCCTATGGGAATTCACTTCGAAGCAGGAGAGAGCCTTCTGTTCCGCGTCCAAGGCTTCATCGATACAAGCTCGGATTTCCCAAGCCACATCGATAAGAAGCTGGATAATCTAAACGAAGGCCGGCATACAATCTATTTCGGTGGAGAGTATGACTCCAAGGTCATTGTTCCTATTATTGCCTTGTCGGTACAATAAGGGATCTGCTACTTAGACAGCTCACAGCTGTGAACCGCCGCATTTGGCTAGGACGCTCCGCTCGTTGATTCCACTAAACTCCTCCAGTTCCTCAGAGCAGTGAAACAGTCGAGCTCCATGATCAAGGCGGCTTGACTTCTCAACCATTAGATTACTTGTTAGAAAAAAGATTCAGTCGAATTCAACATTTGAGATTAAGTATTGTAAAGTTCGGTTTTTGGTCAAAATTGTTATTCAACACAAAAAGGTTATATCATAAATACCCATATATTACTCTGAAAACATTGTTGATAGTCGTTCGTATCCCGATAACTGGTACAATATCGCTGATGTGTTCTGCATTCCGTAAAGCTGATATCTGACTCTTTTTCGTCATAGGTTTTGGAGATTGTACTGATCCTTAGAAAGAAATTGTAAATATGAAAATTCAATTAAGTGGCTGCAGTTTAAAGGAAAATAGGTCTGTCTTCTCTGGGTTACAACAAGAGGTTCCCGTAAAAAGCTCCAGTTGAATAAGAGTAGTATCCTCGTCAACCTCTTTATGTCGCACGAGGTCTACTCGCCTGTCTCTCTGTCCGAATCCCAGTGGACAAGTCGCATCACACGCCCTTTAAGAGTGGCATGACGAATACGCTTACCCCAGACGTAGAGCGGGACCCATAACGCCAGAATGACAAAACTAAAGGCCGCCATGGCGCCAAATGCTCCTGCATATCCATCCCGGTCCACCCATGGGTTCGCATAGAAGGACATGAGAAACGTGATGAAGGCTAGAGATCCAGTCAGTCCTCATTTCACGCTCCAAGATTACATAATATTAGAAAACGAACCTACATTTAAAAGCGACCTGGCTTACAACAACCTCCCCGGCAATCGGCCGGTAGCAGTCGATTGTGTAGACCACAGTGATACCTATTGCAGCGCTGCTTCCAAAAGAGACTGCAAATGTAAGGTCAGCGAGCTCACTTCACTCAACCCATGTTGAAGAAAAAGGTCTTACACAGGAATATCCCCAGCGTAGGAACCATCCAGTGAACTTGATAATTAATCCCTAGACCATAAAGGAGAAGTGATCCTGGGTAGGTGATCATAGCGATGCTCACGGCGGGAAGACGCATCTCTGGCTCTCGAACGCCACCATTTTTCGACGTTGCACGGTTGGCTACCCAATCCGAGAAGTAACCACCGAAGGGTATACCCAAAATATTACCCACAATACCTGCAATCCAGACTAATCCTAATTGCCAGACTGTGAAGTTATAGACCTGAGAGAAGGCCGTTGCGGCCGTGGTGCCCAGGATGACGAAAATTCCGATTCCGATTCCAAAAGAGACCGTCGACCAGAAGACTGGTGGTAAGAGAAAGATGATGACGGGGCGGAGGGCAATCTTCCAAAAACTCTCATGGGTGATAGGGGCACGGTTGAAGGCCATTCGCTGAATGAATGATTTCTTGGGTGTGTTGGACACCTCGACATTCTCCACCTGAGCCAATCTAGAAACTTTCTCATTCACTACTTCCTCGGTTCTACTGACACCCCTTTGATATGCGGTCTCCGGCATAGTGAAGAAAATCAAGACCGTTGTGGTTAGAACGAGAGCAGCGCACAGATAGTGGAACATTCTCCAATTCTGCGAGATTGACATGATTCCAGAGATCAATAAGCCAAATGCAGCCCCTGTCGACAGCGCAGCCGAGTACATGCTAAAATACATTTTGTGAATATGGATGTTTCGTGAAACAAATGGTCGTGAAGTTTTACTTACGCCGTCATTTTACCTCTTTCGTGAAGGAAGAAGATATCCGCGATAGTCATGGGAGCAACGCACTCAGCGCTGCCAGAAAACCATGCTGCTACAATCCTCGAAGCCAGCAGACTACCATAGGAGGTGGCACGCGCTGACCATATGCAGCAGAGCCCGAAAATCAGGAAGGAGAAAGTATATACCACGCGACGGCCATATTTGACAGCGAGTGGGACCCACAAAATGTTGCTCACGCCGGCCACCATTGAAGCTGTAGAAAAGAGTAAAGCGGTTTTGCTCACTGCAGATGAGAACGCAGCAATTGATACCGGAGAGAGTGTGGGAGGATTGTGCACATCGGGCAGATATACACCAAAGAGGTCGATGGCTATTTCAACTAAAACTGCTCCAGGGCCACCTGCAAAAAAGTTGATCCAGGTCAGGGCTACACAAGTCAGCATAGCAACGTATATCTTGAAAGCCTTGGACCTGTTGTTGAGAAGTTGAAGTCAGCGTATTTCGAGAGGGTAGAAGGCGTTTCAAGATGCGGAAAAAACCAACCAGTTGAGAGGGTCATTAGGATCGGACGAAGGCTGGGGTACGAGAAGTGTTGTACCAGTGACTTCATCCTGGAGTCGGACATGTCCAAGTGTTTCACCGGGATGATGGCGATGAGTGATGGCAGAGCTTTCCAGCTCATTCGCACGATGAGACATTGTTCAATCTACACGTGTGGATACTGAATGAGTCAATGTGAGCACATCGAACATGTCAAGCGTGATATAGCAAGGATATATGTATCTACTGTACAGTATGTTAGTTCTTAGGGCTTGCGGGGTGCGGGGGATGTGGGGAACCTGGGGAATTAGAGTTGGTGCGGAGTGACCCAATCGGCTTTGATCGATTGGACATTATAATGATTCCGCGGAACTTTTGGAGTATCAAACTTAGCCAGTGCTGTAGCAAGCAGTAATGAGACGCTCTATAGTAAACATCAGGTCAATAGATGGGCCGAGTGGAAGCGAAAGTTCCCACTTAACCTGTACGCTTCTATCCAAGGTCTTGGGTCGCCCCCGAGGGATTGAGGCGTCGCAAGCGAAATAAGAGGATTCATTAAACCAGGCGCACGAGTTATAGTATGAGCTCTTCCAAATGATGAGGGCAGTTCAGAAAGTACTTCTGGCTGTCTCTTGTAGCAGATTTCAGGAGAATCATTGGATGTGCTAGCGGGCAAACAATGAAATGACATCAAGCACTGATTGAGTTTCTGATGGGAATTTTGCTGTAAAATTAGTCTCATAGATCTACAGTGGCGACCGTTATCGCCTTCTATGTCGGAAAACATAAAGATGCTCTTTCACGCCCTAATCACATGGTGCGCTAGTCCTGATATAGTTATTACCTTATTTAAACTGGAAGACGCAGCGCGCGCATCGGCCCTGAAACGATGAAAGTGGAGGGAAGGTGAAGGAAAGGAGAGGCGAAGAGAAAAGGTGAATCCGTGAGAGTCTACATGGTAGCATACATGATAGCTTACTCTACTCGCATTGTGATTTGTTAACGATACATGACACGTGATTTATGTCGAACGAATTCCTTAGTCAGAGTAGCTTCCGGTGAACTGATGGATTTTCTCAAGTTGTAATTGATATTGGAATGCTCCGGGGATATACAGGCATTCTCGAAATCGCCTTGACCAGTAAACACTGACAATCTCTTTTCGAGCCCCACTGCCGAGGCCTTAGTGCAGATCATTCATTGAATAGACTTCACTTAGTTGAGGACGATTGTAAAATGTATCTTGCAATGTATTGTATCATCTGGTATATTGAGATAAGGGATAGGATCTAAGAGGAGCGATAGCATATGCCAGCAATTGAGTAATATTGAAGATGTCTTAAACTAGGATAGCCCCTGAGCGGGAGCGTGCTACTGATCAAGCCGATTTCGAGAACCGCAATACAGCTGAAGTCGATAACAGATTTTCTTATATGTACTCCCTTCCTTAAATGAAACGAACCACCTTGTTTCCTTGTTCGATCGCTTAGTTGGCTATTAGTAGTTACTTTAATCATTTTGTATAGATTACTCACTCTGATCAGTCACAGTAACATCCTTATTAGCATCGAATTCCACATCCTCTGAAAGCTGCCAGGACCTAGTAGAATAGGTCTGACAAGGCTCAATACTGACAATTCTTCCAGTGAAATTTTTTTTGGTCTCTCCAGGGCATAGGAAAGTTAAAGGGTCATCCGTATCTTTCTTATCGTAGAGTGTCAACTTCACATCGGAGTCGCACGATATGGTGATATTGTCATTGACAAATTTTGCTGTGCGCATAGTGGAATATGATATTTGACCTTAGTATAATAAAACAAGGGCTCGATAAGGATTTTGTGAAGAAGTGTCTTCTCATAAAACTCCACAGCTTCTGCTAAGTTTATTGTGGACTTCATATCTTCGACTCGATAGTTATATTGCGGTTGATTATATAACGTCATAATGGTCAGTGCTTCAGTACATCTGTCTTGGTATGATGTCATTGATTAGCCCCACTACTGCGTACCAGCAAAACCTTTCCAGAAGTGGCACAATCTACTTGTAAAGGATGACTCTGGCGTGCGGAAGGATTCGATTGGAGGGAGTTAATGAGTGGGTTAAAAGTAGTGTTAAACAAGTTTCCAAAATCAGTAGGCGCTTGGGTAGCTCGGGATGGCCTTGGCCTACAACCGAAACATCGAGTCACACCAGGGCGAGCAGGGAAGAGGTTACCACAGCCTTGACAAGAAGCATCAGAGGGCTGGCAATTCGAACAACGAGGGTTGGAAGAGTCTGCAGGAAGCGGAACACGGTAGCCTAGGCAGGGCCATGTCTCGCGAGGAGGTGGGAACTGTGCCAATCGACAAGCAGGGCACCGCGGAGGCTGAATCGAGGTTGATAGCCGCACCTCGCGACCACAATCATGGCAGGGACGACGCGTTAGCATTGGCATGTCGTATGACAATACCAAAAGAATGGAGAGAAGTGCGAGGGCAGAGCGCAACCATAGCAGAGAAGTAACGCGTGGTAGTACGTTGCAGCGCGTCACCATAAAAACGGCGTCGATAAGTTGCATATTGAGCAATCATCAAGGCTCAAGGTACAGATAGGTGCAGAAAAAGCCCTACAACCCTAAGTGTTAAGAGAAACCAGACCTAAAACGGCAATGCCGGGGCGAATGAGGAGCGCGCGTGGCGGAAGGGCTCCAACGTTGACTGGAGACGCGCAGTTGCACGCTGTGGCCCTGAAACGAAACAAGTGCGAAAGTGAAGCGGAGTTGAGTGATAAAGTGAAAGTATAACCCAGGTACACACGCATGTTCGCTGGGATCAACTAATTATATGCATACTGAGTTGCGTAGCAAAGTGCGGCGTAGAGTGTAATGATTGGATGAGCGGGGATGAGCGGGGATGAGCGGGGATGAGCATGGATGAGCATGGATGAGCATGGATGCAAAAATATATTAGTAAAAAGAAAGACGCGCGCGTGGCGCGCCACAGCCCTGAAACTATAAAAGGAGAAGAAGGAAACAAAAGGTTAAAAAAGGAGCTAAATTGATAGGTTTTGGGTGAAGGTACATACAAAATACGCCAGCCAATAGGGGAAGCATATCATATGACTCATACGCATATTGTTGAAAAAGGAAGGAAAACTTGCAGACCTCCTCAGCATGTTGATTGTTATATACACGAAACAATGGCGTACGGCATACAGACCAGCGCGACATATCTTGAGTCCCTCTTTGGTCTCCGCGGTCGTGTCGCTGTCGTTACTGGAGGCAGCTCTGGCATCGGACGGGCGATGGCCACCGCCCTGGGCATGGCTGGAGCTGCCGTCGTTGTTGTGGCTCGTCGTCCAGGCCCGGTCCAGAATACAGTCGATTCCCTCTCCAGCAAGGGAGTCGAGGCACACGGACTGCATATTGACGTCCGCGACGCCGACACCATTAATAACGCGGTCATTAAGCAATGGGGTGTCCCTGACGTTCTAGTCAATGCTGCGGGCATCAATACTCGGGTTCATATGGACCATCTGTCAGCCAAAGACTGGGATGAGACCATAGCTGTCAATCTTACGGCACCATTTGCCCTTGGTCAGAAGTTTGGACCGGCTATGGCAAAAAGGGGAAGTGGACGCATTATCAACATTGTCAGTCAGCAGTCATTTAGAGCTTTTGGCAACAGCAGCGTCTATGGAGCTTCTAAAGGTGGACTCGTATCACTTACTCGATCGCAAGCGGAGGCTTGGTCCTCGCGAGGCGTTTTATGTAACGCTATCGCTCCCGGTCTCGTTGACACAGCCATGACCACCGCAGTATTAAGGGACCAGGCGAAGGCAGAATCCCACGCAATGCGCACCATGATTCGGAGGAATGGGGTTGCAGAAGATTTGGGGGGTATTGCTGTGTATCTCGCCAGTGACGCAAGCAAGGCTGTTACAGGTCAGGTTTTCTTTGTTGATGGAGGTTACTCGGCGACATAATTGTTCCAACTAGATCAAGTATATTCGAGAAATCACTGATTTCCGAATATTATTGATATTATAACAAATGGGAAGGCCACTTGTAATTATTTGACGGCAACGTGAGACTAATACACTATGAGAAGCAAATTAAATTGTAAATCACATGGCTTGAGTTAGGGCACGTTTAGAACAGAGCTAGAATCACGCCTATCGCGATAGTCGTTAATGGGACCTTCTAAGTTTTCTAGCAGCTAATCCGAGTGAGCCACTTGAAGTAAGCGTCGCTTGAAAGCGGAAATTTCTCAGCGGTGCCGGCTTTAACAAGCTGGGAATATATTTGTCTAGTGTGGCTGCCTTGCAATATTCTATGCCATAGAGTTCTGTTTTGTTTATAGAAAAGCTCGGTGGGTTCACTTCGTAGTTGGCGCAGATAACGTTATTAACGTCGGTGCTGGCAACTTGATAACGAGGTTATTGATATTGTTAAGAGTTTCGTGGAAGATCCAATTATGAGTACTAAAGGATATGTTGGAGCATTAGTGTGTAGGGTAGATATCTAGGTGTGCGAGGTCTTGAAAGTCCTTAATCCTATTTCTTTATTATAGATAAGACAGATATAGCGGAAGTTCGGAATGGCTACACAATCCGGGGCAGGGTTAGGGGTCTCAGACTTTTGCGGCGCCACTGTATTATTACTAGGTGCTTACAAACCGGTAATTTACAGTCTATTCTTATTAGGTTTAGAGCATCATATGATGAGGGTTTGAAAGAACGTCTCTATGTTTCCGACAGGAAGGCAATAACGGTCGCCACTGTATAAAAAGCGTCCTGCAGAATTCTTTCTTCACTTTAACATTGGTAGAGTGTCCCTTACGTGTCAGAAATTGAAGCATCCTGACGGCAAAGGCTCATTGTCAAGTGCCGGCGAGGCTGTTCTTCATGGAGGTCCATACCCAATACACTACATAGTAAGACGGTGGCTTCAAATTAAGGACAAAAATTAGAAAGTGCCTTGAAAATAGCTATGTCAACTTGAGTGTTGCCAGACTTAACTTCCAGGAGAAACCATTCCGCGGAATGGCTTGTTTCGACCTAAACCCGCTTTCCGCGGCGTTATAGTCATAATAGTCTAGAAGGGTAGCGATGACTGCAGCGCAGCAGCCATGAAGACCTTTACAGTGCTCTTTTGGTATATAACGAAGCTTAACCTATTTCACGTCAACACTCGATAGTCCATACATGTTCTTAGCGATATTTCCACGGACCCACTAAAGAGCAATGGCAACGCTAGGCCCAGAAGCTGCACAGTCTGAACTTATTGTACCAGCCAAAAAAAGCCAACATGCGAACCACTTTGGTCTCATCTCACCATGGGAACACTATTACCATCCTACCGACACTGCTCCTCAGGGTCGATTTGAGTGTGAGCTTGACGAGATGGTCGTCTTTGGTGATATCCCTACGGAGATAAGTGGGACCTGGTATCGGATGCTCATTGATCCTCATTTCTGCCCACAGGTGGGAACCCCCTTTGTCGACGGAGATGGGCATGTTTGTGCCTTCCGTATTCAGGACAGCAAGATCTCCATGAAGATCAAATACATTCACACTGAAAGATGGCTTTTGGAACGTAAAGCTGGCCGTCGACTTTTCGGCCGTTACCGAAATCCTTACGACATTCACCCGTGCGTGCGGTTTGCAAATGATAGCACTGGAAATACCAACATCATCTACTGGGGTGGAAATCTCCTCGCGTTGGCTGAAAGAGGATTGCCGTGGGCGATGGATCCGGATACCCTTGAAACCAGAGGCGCCGATCCGTACGGTGGCCAAGTCGCTGCGATGACCTTCACGGCCCATCCGAAAATTGATCCCCACAAGAATGAGCTTGTCACTTGGAGCTACTCTGCCAAGGGTCTCAGTACTCCGGATATCTGCACCTATTCGATTGATCCTAATGGACGTATCTCCAATGAACATTGGTTCAAGCAGGACAAGCCCGGTTGGCCCCACGATGGCTGGATCACCGAACATTGGATCATCCTTTCCAACATGCCTTTTGGAGTCAACACGGATGCGGTGATGAAAGCCGGAGGCGACTACTGGAAATTCATTCCTGATCAACCCTCGGAGTTCCTGGTCACTCCGCGCTATGCGAACTCTTCCAACCATCCAGGCTGGAAGCCAGGCGAGCTCAGGAAGTACACCGCTCCTCACGGTCTGATAATTCACAGCGGTAACGCATGGGAAGATGAAGGCGGCATCTTGAAGCTCGAAAGCCACTTTGTCACTTTTAACGTCTTTGACTTCTTCAACCCGAAGGACTACGTGGGCCCCAATGGCAAGCCCAGCGGAGACTGGAAACGTTGGACCATTGATCTCGCCAAGCCTGATGGAACTACCCTGCCACCACCTGAGACACTGTTAGAGGGCATATTTGATTTCCCCATCTTCGACGAGCGCATGACCGGTCACAAGACGAAGATTGTCTATCTGACCGCAATGATAGCTCCAGAGCGGGAAGAAAGACCTCGATTCAATGCAATCATCAAGTTGAACACGGAGACGGGCGAGAATTCAATCTTCCATGCAGCCAGTGACGGTGGTGTCGCGGAGCCTGCATACATTCCTCGAGGACCTGATTGTGAAGAAGGTGATGGTTGGGTCATCTTCTATATGGAAAAGGATTCTTCAAACAAAGGAGAGCTTGCTATCCTCGACACTAATGACTTCTCGAAGCCAGTTGCCATCGCCCAGATGCCTTTCCAGACACGTAACCAGGTTCACGGAAACTGGGTTCCGAATCCCCATCCTGAGAGACCTCTCCCGATGTTGACCGGTCCTATCAAAGAAGTTGTACCCAGTACCAAGTACTCTCAGTTGAATAGATTTGCTTAGATGGTGAAATAAAGTTTTTATTCGGAACATTATAACTGATCAAAAGCAAACGTAGAGTAGCTTATTGATTATTATCAAGAAAGGAAACTGAGCTATTTGCCGTGTAATGAACTGCAGATACCAAGTAGTATAAAGCTTCTTCAAGAGTAACGATTTCGAAATTGATACAGGAGGTCAATGAAAAACGAATCATACTAGGGCTTATATTTCCCCTCTAGTAATAAGGAGGCCGTAACTTTCAAGTTTGTACGTAGATTCCAAGATTTCTGACTGGTCTAGAGTTGCGTGGAAAGCTGTCAAGATTGATTGCTAAGGATAACAGCTCTACGATGGTTCGCAGGGCAAAATTTAAAGGTGAAATCAAAACTGTAATTGGTTCGGGATTGAATAAAAAGACTCAATATGACCATCTCATCTGAAAGTAAGAAATTCCAACCTAAAATCTATTTAACTGGCCAGTCCAGCCATCACGTCATTTGTACCTCCTTTCATGTCTCCGGTAAGGAACATCTACATTCATCAAGTTTCATAATTTAGCTCATTGAAGGAACGAGTTGTTGAAGTTGTGGAGAATCGAGCTTTTCATACCCAAGATCTCTGTTTCCAAGTCTCGGAGGTTGATGCTTTCCGCGGCTCATTCCGTAGATGCCGATCCCTGTGTCCCCACGATTTGAACATCCCGGCTTCCAAGAATGATCACGGGCTCACCACGGAATCATCGGAATCGACTCGTGGGCGGACGTTCGTAAGTAGCCAGCTGTTAATTAAGAACCGTCGCTGTTTCATTGTATTCGATCGCTTAACATTCGGCTGGGAGTGTGGCCTTTGCAACATGCTATCCCAATTTGCAAACCTTCAATATGATGTGCCGATGCTCATTACTGCAGCAGGTATCCTCTGGATCGTGTATTACTCACTTAGAGTTCTTTTCAATCCATTGCGTGATGTAAAAGGCCCAACTCTGGCGCAATACACTCGTCTATGGGAGGCGTACAAGAACTGGCAAGGCCAATTGGAGCACGTCACAGTTGCTTTACATAAACAATATGGTAGTCCAATCCCTTCAATAATGATTTGAATATACTAAATATTGCCAGGTTCTATTGTCCGGCTAGCCCCGAACCGTTATAGCATTAGCGACCCGACGGCGATTCGCACTATTTATGGTACAGGGTCGAAGTTCAGTAAATCTGATTACTACATTCCCTTTGGCACGCCATTGGACCATAAGGATGTCTTTTCGGAGACAAGCAATGAGAAGCATGCAGCGGAACGCAGGAAGATCTCCAACATGTACGCCATGAGCTCTCTGGTATTATACGAGCCATTCGTAGACAAAGTGAATGGCGATTTCATGGCCGTGTTGGCCGATCATGCTCAGCACGGCAGGGCGTTTGATTTGTTCACCTGGATGCAATTCTACGCGTTCGATGTGATTGGTGAGATTACCTTGGGTCGTTCATTTGGTCTACTCCAAGCTGGTCGCGATAAGGACGGGCTTCTGCATGCTATCCATGTCGGGTCAATAAGCTACGGTTCTACGATTGGTCTCATTCCTGAGCTTCATACATTGTATCTTTGGCTCCAGAATATGCTACCTATCGACAGCCACTGGAAAGTCACGCAAAGAGTAATTCTGAGGGAGATTGGTGCAAGATTGCAGGGTGTCAGTACTAGCGATCGCAAGGACTTCCTTGCCAAGTGCATTGAATTGAGCAAAGCTGGCAAATTGGATCAGTCTACCATCAATAATGTACTGGGTTCCAACATTGGCGCAGGTTCCGACACAACTGGCATTAGCATGAGTGCTGTCATCTACTTCCTCATGAAGCATCCTAATTGCTTACAGAAGCTTCGTGATGAGATTGAGACTGCTGAAAAGGAAGGAAATCTATCCAACCCCGTCTCCTTCCAAGAAGCTCAGAAGCTTCCATACTTACAAGCTACCATCAAGGAGGCCTTAAGGTTGCATGCAGCAGTCGGTCAGATTCTCAGCAGAGTGGTTCCTGAAGGCGGTGCACAAATCGCTGGAAGACACTTCCCACAAGGTGTTAGTTGCCAGAATCTTCCCTCAATATTACTTGTTCTCTTCATAGAAATATACTAATTCCAGAATTTCTAACAGACCGTAGTTGGTGTGAATGCGTGGGTGATCCATACGGATGAAAACATCTGGGGCAAAGATGTACACGAGTTTCGGCCTGAACGTTGGCTGGTTGAGAAAGAACAACTTGCCTTCTTGGACCAGAATTATTTAGCTGTAAGTTCTTTATTACTACCAGTGGGCATCAGAATATTACATCAATTGAATGTCGTGCTGATATAGTCTACAGTTTGGAGCAGGTTCAAGAACATGCATCGGCAAAAACATCTCACTCCTCGAAATGACGAAGCTCTTGCCCCAGTTAGTACGACGGTTTGACTTTGTCCCTGCAGGTGATAGCCAGTGGACAACTAGCAGTGGGTGGTTTGTCAAGCAAAGAATTCAAGTCAAGGTTATCGAGAGAGCCTAAGACCAACTTGTGTGGTAGCTCTGGAATTGGCCATGGGCTTAGTAAAGTGGAGCGACTTCAAATTGGACATTTTGACTGGTAAAATTTGCTTTCTTGGTGTTCCGTATTGGCAAGAGACTGAAGCTATATTACGCCCACTGGCCGTACCAATCATATAGATCTACCCTCCGGGGGTGGGAGAGCCCTCTGTTGATAGTTTGAGTTGTTCCGTACCGCACTCCCGCAATTCCGGTTCCGCGGAAGGCCCAAGAATCACTTCGGAATTTGATTCAATACGAGATCAACATTCAATCAAAGCAAATCTTGAGTAAACGAGACTCCTTTACAAGTATTGTGATTGTTCGATGGACATCAAGACTTTCCGCTGCCTCCTTCTCACATGAAATCATGGCTGACAACATACTCAATCCCAGTGACTCTGAGAACCTGATCATCAAGTGGATTGAAAGAACTCAGGATCACAATAAACCGTATGTATTAGCTGGAGAGGTATCGTAACCGTTGCTGATTTTTCTTTTAGAAACAATCAAGTCACCAACTTCAGCAGTGACGCCATAATGTATAGAAGTATCATCAAGGCTCTTTTACAAAATCACAAGGGCCAGTTTTCTTCTCAGTCATGCATAAATTCTGAGCATGGAGAGAAGCAGAAGGGATTCGGAGCTATAAGTCAGCCTACACGATAGAATCTGCCACTGTGGAGGGGGTGGGGATGAGGGAGGGGGGGGAGCATAAGAGACAGTTGAATAGGGCTATCGATTTGGTTAAAGACAGGAGGCATTCATGAGATAGTAGATGGTCATAACGCAGACTTCATGTATATTTTATTTCTATTTAGATAATATGTCATGTAAACAGACGCGGGTATTCTTGAAAAACGCCCACAATCTTCGCATGTAATGCACTATTCTTGCTACTGTATCCGCGCATCCAACAAAGCAGAGCAGCCATTCTGTACAGCCTCCACGGCTTCGGGCAACTTCGTTGCCAGCTCCCGGACGGTGCTGGCTCGGCCCGACCAACATTTACCTCCCGATGCACCCTGTGCAATAGTTGCGTAATCCGGATTTGGATCGAATGATATGTTCAGCTCCTTGTTACTGACCTGGGACCCCAATCCATCAGGGTGAACAAGAAGCAAAGACTTCCGAGGCGCGTTCCACCCTGCACAAGCATTATCTGTCAGTCTAGCGCCCATTTTAACGCCCCATAGAGACATAATATTGGTTTACGCGACTCACCGTTGTTATTGAGCACTATAGTCAGCACTGGAATCTCGTACCTCTGCGCAATCCAGTACACACTGGCAGGGATGGAGAAGAGAAAACAACCATCGCCGATGATTTGGCACACAAACTTGCCTTTCCCTCCGTGGCGGGTATCTGTGGCCATCTTTATACCAAGAGCTGCGCCGCCAGACCAGCCAAGTCCACCTGCACCCGAGCTAAACACGGTTCCTGGCAATGTTGCTTGCAATTGATCCGCCACAGTGAAAGTGTTGGTGACGGCTTCGATGACCCAGATGGTATCGATTGGACACGCCTTCCGAAGCTTTGATATGAGAAAGCCGCATCCAAATGAGCCGTCTGGGATTGGCTCGGCCTGTGCGGCTATGGCATTTAACTTTCGAGTGTATGATTCCTGGAGTGCTGAACATCGGTTTGTGTAGTGCTCATTATTTGCCATGAGGTGATCGGAAAGGTTGGTTTTTAAGTGTTGGACAATTTGGTCAAGAGCAAACTTGGTATTGACGCGACAACGCAGGACCGCGTCGATATAAAAGACAGGCATCTGGTCTTTCAAAGGGTCAACATCAAAATGGAAGATCTTGGCGTCGTCGGCTGGTTTGCACTGCGTGTTGATCCATGGTACATCGCAATCGACGACGAGTATCACGTCGGCTGTGGTGATGGCCTCATCCGATCCATATCTCACGCTCAGCCAGCCAGGGTGGTCGGCAGGGAAGCAGAGATCCGAGCCCATAGTGTCGAGAACCCTCAAGCCCTTGACAATATTTGCTAACTCAACCAGCAAGGGTACCACAGCGGTATCACGTCCGCTATAGCCCGTGACGACGAGAGGCTCTCGAGCAGACACCAAGGCTTCGGCAACCAGGTTAAGTTGCTTCGGTGTCAAACCACCAAGCTCCACGGGGCTCCAAAAATCCTGTCGGATCTCATAGGGCTCGATGATCTCTTCCATAACCTCTCGAGTTCCTTGTAGATAGACTGGACCTCGAGGCTCGCTACTCGCGAAGCTCAAAGCTCGGTTCACCATCTGTTTGATATTCTTTCCCTTCTTCAATTCGGCGGTATAGCGACAGTATTGGGAGACAATTGCTTTTTGATCGGGGATATCTTGAAGCCAGTGAATAAATTCCGTTCTGCTGCCACGGTATTCACCTTCCAGTGTGCAGGGGGAGAGACCGGCAAAGATGAGCACAGGCGCGCGGCCGACACTGGCATTGTGTACGGCACATCCGAGTGCTTGAGTGCCAACATCGACGTGCACAATGACGGCTTGGGCCTCTCCTGTGACACGAGCATAGCCATCTGCCATCGAGAGTGCGACCATTTCGCTAGGGCAAGTGATGAATTTAGGGAACCTGTCCGGTCTCTCCTGCTGGCCTTTGACCATTGCTTCCATGATTGCAGGATGATCAGATCCTAGATTTACAAAGCAATACCGTACACCGGCCTTAGAGAAATTAGAATTGCTTCATAATAGAATTTCTTTGCATGTCTGGGGCAATACTCACGGCCCACAGCGCCTCGAACATGGCTGATGAGGCAGTGTACTCCCTGTGATGATGATTAGCGCATTAGATGAGATTGAAAAAATATTGATTTGACTTACATTTTGTTCAAATTAGATAATTAGATCCAACAGACTCAATCAAATTCATTTCAATCTCTAACTTTACTTCCCGGACATCCTGCCAGTATAAATGATCTGGGTGCGGGAGCCTCGAAAGGACTTCGGAATTCACATAAAATATCTTTAGGTAGGACGTCGGCTTACAATAACGGCACTCAGATTTATCATTTTCCCTACAGAGGGTCTAATGGCGGCAAGTTTTGCTGGCACATATACCCTGGGTGTGCAGTCTGGCTTGTCATGCTGGATGAGTTGGTGTACACCGAGGTCGTTCCGCGGAATCGCTTGCGGCCACCCATGCTCGAACGGAAACCAATGGATATTGATAGCTTAAAGGCTCTAGCATCTTAAGTATCCACCTACTAATTGCTTTCTCCTACTCGAAACATTCGACATATTCAAGCTTATTGAGTCTTAAACAACTTATTCACAGACATGTCAAGTATCGACTACGTTTTCAGGACGGTCAATTATCGCACCCAAACTGGCAACCTGACAGCTACCGTGCACTTACCGCCAGATGTTACTTCCGTGAAGGCAATTGGTGAGTCCCCTGGATAAATGGCACGATCTTATGAAACCACAATGCTGATCTTTCATGCGAAGCGCTATACTTCCACGGAGGTGGCTACATCGTCGGTAGCAGGGCAATGCTACCAGCAACCCATATCGAAGCTTTGAATGAAAGTGGTTTCATCGTCGTAACTTCAGACTATCGTCTTGGTCCTACTATCTCCGTCCTGGACGGTCCAGTCAGCGATTCAGTAGCCGCGTATGAATGGGCGCAGAACGAGCTTCCCACATTGCTGGAGAAAGACCGTGGTATCCGAGTGGATGGTAAAAATATCGTCACTCTGGGTCACTCTTGTGGCGGAGGGCTTGCCTTGTTGATGGTAATGATTAGTCCTGTAACCCCAACGAGACCGGTCATGAAGCCTATGCTAATCTTGGACAATTAGGCTTCTCGCCCGAACCCACCCAAAGCCATCCTCGATCTCTTCGGATTCAAATACCTCCGTGATCCCTTCTATCACACTGGCACTAGCACTCAGCCTCCACCTGATGCACCGGCTCCACCCTCCGTCGAATTCATCAACCAAGTCTTCGAAGAGGTCCCTCCACCAACCGCGGCGCGTCCTCCATTTGGTCCTAACGGACTCGATCTGAGCACACCGCGACAAGCTTACCTAGTGTCTTCTGTGAGGAATGGTACCCAATTTGATGCCATCATCCCAGAAGATGAGTACGATCGTGTTGACCCGGAGAAATTGTTGAAGAGTTCGAGTTTCCCACCGACATGTTTCGTGCAGGGAACGGCGGATGTCGTTGTTGATGCGAAGTTCTCCCAGTGGGCATATGCGGAATTGCAGAAGAATGGGGTACAGAGTGAACTGTATCTTGTCGAAGGTATGGCTCACGGGTTTGACGCTAGATTGAAACGTGACGATGCTACCTTTGCGCCTATCCAGAAAGGCGTGGATTTTCTGGCGAGGCATATTGTGGGTTGATAAGAAATGTTTTCTTAGACTTCTTGTTGCTTTCGTTATTATTGCTGTCAAAGATGTCCCACGGCAAAGTATTCATGTCAATGTTTAGAGTAGATAATGAGAACCAAGAACAAATCTTTATTTCATCGACGAATGACTGGCATAAAAAGCCACATTTTCGCTGCGCCAGTGATATAGTACAATTATGGATAGATGTATGCTTATGATGACGCTCAAAAATAGACAAGAATTTTCCATCCCACTCTTAAAGCTCCTTCTTCAGGAAATGCTCCGGCTTGTGGGTAGTCTCGTAGTCAACGTGCACGTAAGCACGCTCCACATCCGGGAGAGACTCAAGCTTCATCTGCAGCTCCTCGGCGACATCGTGGGTGGCGCGGAGAGAGGCCGAGTCCTCCATGACGATGTCGACTTCGACGAGCAGACGAGGGCCAGAGGTGTAGGCGCGAACGGTGTCGATGGCAGTGATAAGAGGGGAGTGGGTCATGGCTGTAAGAAGTGATTAGTATCCAAAATTGCCAGGAGATGGTTACGAGAACGATGGAACTTACAGATATAGGTAATCAGCTGCTGCATCTTGGTATCGGCAGTCACACCGACCAACAGCTGGAACTCGCCATAGGCAGAGTGCATCCAGAGTCCGCTGACCAAGATAGACAGCAGGATAGCGCCCATCGGGTCAATCCACCAGCGGATTTTGGAACCGAGGACGGAGGTCAACAGACCAAATCCGTTGATGAGCAGGTCATTGCGGTGGTCCTCCCACAGAATGCGAATCTGAGAGACCTGGTTGCGCAGCGCAAAGCAGTACAGGAACAGGCAAAGCTTTGTGACAAAGGCGACAGCCACCGCAATGATAGAGGGCAAGTGGAACGGGGCGAGAAGAGTATCCGAGCCAGCGACAAGCTCACGGATTGAGAACGCGATGATAATGAACGAGACGGCCGTCATCAAGAAGCAGAAGCAGATATTACCGGCAGTCTCGATACGCGCCTTGCCGGCGGGGAACTTGCGCGGGTCGACCCGGTTAACAGCCTTGTTACACAGGAGCAACGTCAAATTCGACATGGGGTCGAAGATAGCATCAGCCATGGTAGTGAACAGCGACAGTGAGCCGGAAGAGGCCGCACCGTATACCTGTACAACACACAAGACGATGTTCGCCGCGAAACTCGCGTACACGGCGATCTTGTACTTGAGACTGTTCTCGGCATTGAGTTCCCGCGCGGCCCGGACGTGTTCCTCGACTGGCTTGAGCATGCGCTCGATGTTCTCGTTCTGCGCCTCGTAGAAGCCCTGCAGTTTGCGGGTGATGAGCGCTTGTTTGCCCTTGGCACCAGTATCCCGCACCATCTCTATCATCCGTGGGCCGGTGCCATCACGCTTGCGCCCGGTATTGGCTTTGATCTGGCGGATTTCTTCTTCAGTCTTGAGTTTCGACGCGAGGTGGAAAGGGTCGGCCTCGGGGGTGTAACGTGGTGGAGGCTTGCCCTCTTCATCAGTGCCGGTGTGACGGTGTTGCTGCTGGGACATGGCCGGGTCTTCGGTCTCAATGCCCGTGGATGTACCTTCGTCGAAGGAGCGGGGCGTCATTCTCTCGGAGCGCTGGGATGGGTGAGGGGAGCTGCTCGTCAAGTGCTGAAAGGGACTGGGGTGGTTGGAAATGCTCTGTCGGATGTGGTCCTCCATGGCTGCGGTATGTGCCCGGAATGGAACACGAGGCAAGGGGGTCGGTGGGAAAGAAAAAAGAAAAGTGAGAGAGAAAAGAATCAAACCTCGAGGATATGCTCAAAAAATCGCTGGGGGCTGTGCTTATCACGTCTTATCAACACGCACTCTTGGCGCCAACCACGCAGTCAATACTTGGGAAAAGCTTGAAACGAAAGCTTGGTAGATATTTAGTCACAAAGTGCTTATAGGTATGTCTTTTCCCGGTATTTTCAAGCAAAATGAACGCTTGAAAAGAGAATAAAATTGAAAAGACATCGCGAAGACACTCCACGGGGCGTGGGCATAAACTGCCGGTGCCAGTTTCGATAAAAGTGGGTCTTGTGAGGATCAGATATGAGGAGAAGCAAATCCACGCCCAATCCATTTTGCCTAAAAGGAAATACAACCTCCAGAGTCACTTCAAGAACTACACTTTCTCTCCATCAAGAACACGCCAAAAGAGGATGAACAAACGTCTACATGAACATCCTGACGACTCTATAAAGCAAATAGAAAATCAAAAAATGGAGTCGCCATTTCAAGTCTGGATCTATAAGGGCACTATCCCCTGAGAAAGTGGGCCTCCATACTTGGCACGCTATACAAGTTCACAACACCGCACTCGCCCGAGCTTAGTTACTGCCGACCAAGTACTTGAACACAGACCGGACAAAGTCCAGCGTATCCTGGGCGCTGTCGGTAGGGATGGCCAGGGTGCTAGCAACGCTGCTAGGGGTGGTAATTACGTTGCTGGGCTGCGAAGATTGACGGGTCTGGGTGGCGAAGGTAGTCACAGGCTGGACGACGTCGGAAGTGGTGACCTCAGCGGCAGTAGTAGTAGTCTGAGCAGCGGAGGTGGTCTCGACAGCGACAGGAGTGGAAGTTTCAACAGCAGCCGGGGTAGAAGTCTCGAGAGCAGCAGAGGACGAGGTAGTAGCGGCAACCGAGGAGCTAGCGACCACGCTGGAACTGGAGCTGGAGCTGGAGCTAGAGCCAGAACCAGAACCACCGACAGTAAAGTCGATGCAAGACTCATAGGTCTGGTCAATAGACTCAGCATACCAGTACCACTGCAGCACACAGTCACCAGCAGTAGCACACTGCGAGCCCAAGTTATCAGGCATCGTAACGCTAAAGCTAGTCTCATTCGCCGTGACACCGGTAGCGACCGACGCATACACAGACCAGTAAATCAGAGGATCCCCAATGACCGTGTTGCTCGCCGTATCCACGACGGAGACATTGGCAATACCGGTGTGAGGCGCGCGGATGTCAACCTTGAAGTCGATCGTCTGACCCGCCGTGTAAGAGTAGATGTTGTCCTGGTTGTCGGCGAATTTGTAGCCCTTGCACAGCCAGATGTCGCACTCGGCGGCGTTGTAGTCGCTCTGGCTAGCGGCGACTTGCAGCTCGCCCTGGATGTTGCCGTAGTTGTCGGATTGCTGGTTGATCTCGACCTGGTTGCCGCAGGCGGCTTTCATGGCAGCGCCGGGCATACGCGGGTTGGGGCTGGTCACGAAGCCGTGGCCGTGGACGAGGGGGAGCAGGGCTGCGAGGGCTGCGGTGGTAGTGGTGAACGACTTCATTTTGAGTGTGGTGGTGGCGTTTGATAGTATGTATGGATGTAAAGGCCGCGAAAGAATGGAATAGATCGGTAAACCGGTACCGATGCTTGTATATAGCGAGTGGAAAGAATAGAAGCTGCACGGTCCCAGACCGGAGAGAATGAATGAATAGAAAAAAGAAACAGAAGAACGAGTCAAGAAGAATAGACGAGCTTGATGCTTCCAAGAAAACCGGGTGACGCCTGGGCCGAGTACTGGGTTTATATAGACTGGCAATTCAAGCCAGATAATGATCTAGTTCCTGCCAGTATCCATTAATCAACTACAAACACTGCCCAAAATCCCATTATACCCCCTATTACGCCGCCATAAACGAGAAGGAGGAGACATCGTTCGGGAATGACCATTGTAGGCAATTCTCCCAACTGTCAGGTACAAGCCAAACGCACCTAACAAGCACTCTGAAACACCATTTCCCCTCCGTGATATACACCAGGGACCATCCCCCCTCCACAAGGCCCAGTGCATGGTGAGACTATGGATTCCCAGAGTCTCGGAGCTCTTACATAGCTACCGCCCACCGGTCATCTTGGGAACAATGCAGGGATTGAATTAACCGGTCTGCATCCGGGACAAGGCCGACGTTCTTCCTAGGGCCATGCCAAGGCCGGCTCCACGCGCCGAACAGGGATACGCAGAGTTTCAGGTTGACAGCGAGGCCGGAGGGAGAAACACTAGGTGGGAATTGTGATTGCTGGATAATTTGCTAGTGCGGCTGTAGCAGATCTGCGGGTGACATGGCCGCGGTTGATTATGCGGTGGTTGTTGAAAGGGAAGAATTGACAATCCTGTGCGATGGAAGGATGGATCCAAAGCAATGAGAAGTTAGAATTGGCCTAGGCCTTTTTACTGTATCAAGAAACTGATAGGCTCGGGCACTTCACCCTTTTCAGCCTCGGAGAATCCAGTCCCTCAATCTACTTTGATTAAGGTTGATTTAAAGCGGTGCTGGTTGGTGGAACCTCTGAAACTTCCAACCTCCTCGCGGCTGCAAGAAAGGCACTGCGAAACGTTTTCGACATCATTGCTATGTCAAGCCGAGCCGCTGCCTACAGTAATCAACGTTAATGTGATAGATAGAGGTCATGGAGGAATTCCGGTGAAGCTCATCGCTGTAGCAGGAAATTGTTTGAGGTTACTCATTGTAATCAAGTTTATACCAAAGAGGAAAAAGTTTAAGATCGACCGGGCCGAGCAGGGACACTGCCGATCGGTCTATCCTATCACATCACTCAGGCCCAGTCAGTCAAGACTAGGCCATTTGCGAAAAGTCTTCCAAAGGAATTCGATAAAAATCGAAGACCTCCCAAGGAGATCCTAAGGATGAAAAAACAGCACCCATCTTCGACAGTCCAAATGGCTGTCTCAAAGTATCACGAGTAACAAGCACAAAGAAAATGACAAGCGCTCGCTCAGAGGAAAGCCGAAATAGTCACGGCGCGACACAACCAAAAAGGGAATATAGCAAAATCAGGTTAAGGGGGGTATCAATCGCTTCGCTACAGTAGCTAGTATACTGGCCACCTCACATGGCCCACGTCAACGTTCCTGCTCGGTAGGCTGGAAACGCACACGTCCATCGGTGGAGGTAGCCGTCGTCGTTGCATGTTGCTGTTGCTCTTGCTGATGCCGCTCTGCATCCGAGTCACTCGCCACATTTTCGTCGGCGAACGGGTTCTGGACCTCGAAATCGGACGATTTGTATTCGTACTGCTCGGGATTGCTGCGGAGGGTGGTCGACCGGTCGACGGTGAACGTGGAGGGAAGCTCTATCACTGGTGCAGATTGCTCCTGGGGACTTCTTGATTCACGCTTTGCTGACTCGGTGGCAAGAATAGCCGCTGCCGCTGTTGGAGCAGGAGGAGCAGGGCTTGCTCCTACGCCGCCTGATGCGACGGACTCACTGACTGGTGAAGCGGGGCTGCCCAGATTGGAGGTCGGGGTGGCCGATCCACGAGCCTTGCGCGCCTTGAGCATAGCGCGTTGCTGGTGGGATAATGCAACGGAGATCTCGTCGTTGGTCTCGATCAGTGTAAGGAGGGTCTCCTCGTCTGGAGCCGGGTTGGTCGAATGAATATAACCTTGCAGGTATCGCGAGGAGGTCCGACAACGGTCGATGAATTCCTTAATTAAGTCGTTTTCCTCCAGTTCGGCCTGTGGTGTTGTTTGAACAAACTGCATCAACAGTTTAGCCGAATTCTTCGCCTCCTCGATGCGCGCAGCCAGCTCGCCCGGTTCTGGCAAGGTCCTGTTCGGTGCTGGTGCGCGCATGGGTTGCGGGACTGGAGATTGCGCCGTTAGGTTATTTGCGTTTGTCGCGGAGGCTGTGGGATACCGATCCATCTGCGATCAATGCGATTAGTTCCGCCGATCTTCCCTTCCGGACGCAAGCCGCATAGACATTCGGCACTTACAAAAGACCGGCCTCCCTTTGCCTTCTCTTTTGCCCACACCTGCAGCAACAGCTGTAGATCATCATCCCAGTGTCGGGTCGCCTCCAGCTGAGCTAGATACTGGCGCAGGTAGTGCTGCACATGCCAGTCCCGCCCATTGCGCAGCAACTCCTTGATCGTGGTACAGAATTTGGAGTCAAAATTCCGCGTGAAGCTATGGCCCGGGTTATCGGCCAGGATGCGCATAAGCATGATCGCATTGTATTGGACGTGGTTCGGGGTGCTGCCCGGGCTGGAGAGGTATTTGCGGATGCGATGCGCGGCTTCTTTGGCGGCCGCGGGGCTTGATTCGGCGGACTCGACGATGCGCGGGAGATGAACGAACTCGTTTCCTTGCTGGAAAGAAGAAAGAACGACCGTTAGCAGCCTGCACTACGTAGAGATATCGAAGTAGCAACATACCTGACTATCGGGCCCGCTGCTGGCTTCGCAAAAAGTTTTCTAGGTAGCGCCTTAGTCAGAAGTCGGACGATCGGAGAGAGGTAGGAGCATACCATTTCACGCAGCAGAATGGCCTCCGGCGAGTCATCCGGATAGTCCTGTTCGCTATCATCACCGGGACCTGGAGGGTGGATTAGCGTTTGGCCGCAGGGAATTGCGCGGGGGAAGGATGATGGAAGCATACTGGAGCGGCGGCTGCTGCTGAGCGAGCGCAGGAAGCCCTTCATGACGGGTGTTTATTTAAGAGGAGATCGTGTCGAGACAAAGGACAGAAGGGAAGGAAGGGAAATAGAAAATATCCAAGGAAGGAAAAGGAGCACAAAGTGATGGGGGCCAGAAAAGACACCCCAAATGATGGTTAGCGTACACAAGCCTCTCGCCTAAGCGCAGGGTCCAGGTCCCGGTCCAGGTCCAGGTCCCCGTCGCCAGTTAAACTAAGGAACTAGTCCGCGGAGGAGAAATCAGCCGATTGAACCCGTCTTAACTACTTTTTTCTGCACGTCTATAAGACTCTTCTTATGGATTGATGCTTCGAAAGTGGCAAAGGATGATGACCTTCTTGGCAATGCCTACGTAGACACCCAGTTGGTCCGTACGTACTCCGTAATGCGATGTGTTGTCTCTTTGCTAAATCCGTCAATCAACTCCGAGCAAGGCCTAGCGGGACAACGGCTCGCTTTGTGGAAATGAATTTTAGGTTGCATCGTGAGTCTTTCTCCGACTCGATAGAAAGACAGTGTGATTCGTAGTCTGGCCAGCTCGCAAATTATGAGGCTCTAATCCCCCACCGCATCTATACTTAGCCGGCAGAGCCGCGTAGAAGAACCGTCCTGTTCCTTAGTAAAAGAGAATGAATCCACGGTCGCTGTCAAGTTTTTCATACAATTTTGGAATTGTAAAAACGTGTATATCTACCCCGTACAGTATATCCGAGGTCCTCATTCAAGCCAGAGATGCAAAAGGCAAATGCAGAAAAGGTTGACGATTGCAGTGTGGCTGAGGCAGCCATTAACCGCACGCCAAGCCTGGCCCCTCCCCACCCTCCGTCAGCATCTCCTGCCACACCACCAAACTCTCTCCATTCCTCCTCTCTTCCTCTTCAGCCAAGCAAACTCTTGACTGGCCAACACGTCATACAGGGACATCACCCCGCTACATTCCCAACAGGCAACAGCCATAAAAGTGCTAACCCAGCTTCCTACTCCCCCCGACCCAAGGCATCTGCCATCTCCTCCAGGGTATCAAATCGCCAATCACAAATCGGCTGCTCTTCCGTATTTCCCATCGTGGCACCAGACCTTTCAATCCACACCGACCGAATCCCCGCCTCCCTCGCCGGCCGATGATCATGAAACTGCGACTGCGCCGTCTGAAGAATCTCCCCCGCCCGCACACCAAACTCCTCCTGCACGGTCGTCTTCATGTATGCGAAATTGCGCACGTCGGGCTTATACGAGCCCACATCCTGCGCGGTGATGATGCGGTCGAAGGGGAATCCTTGTAGACTGCCGGCGTTGGAGCGGGCGAAGGAGGCCCGGTCCACGTTTGAGAGGACTACCAGCTTGTACTGACGCGAGAGACGGTGCAGGGCTTCGACTGTGTCTGGGAAGGCGGGCCAGGTACCTACCGAGGCACCGAAGCGTTCGTTGTCCGCGTCGCTGGGGGTGGGTAGGCCCAGGCGTGCGGCTAGGCGGGGGTGTATCGTGGCTAGGAGTTGGGAGTACGGCATGTCTGGGGTTATGCGCTGCTGTTCGCTTTCCAGCTCTTGGTAGAGGGTCAGCAGGTGCTCACGGGAGAATTCGGTGGTGCTGGTTGTGAGGAGTGGTTGTAGTGCGCCGAGAATGCCGTTCTCCCAGTCGATCAGGGTGCCGTAGACGTCGAAACATAGTAATCGGTAGTCGGAGAGTCGAGACATGATGAGTATGGGTATAGCAGTTCTTAATGTAGAGGGAAAGTGCGAGGTTTGAAGCAGTTGACGAGCCCGATGGGCTTCCAAGGTATGGTTCAATGGGCAGAGCGACATCCCCGCATCAGCCTTCCAACGACATACTACTGTGACCCCACCCTCCATATTAGGTCCCCGATGCTTGGCAGCCTAGAATTCACAACATACTATATAATCTTTTTGATCCAAATATGATCTCGAAGGATATCTCACTCCCCTACTTAACCATGATAGCTTCCTTATCTGATCATTGGCAGCAGTAGACCCTCAATCTTAAAAGCATGAAGAGTACCAGACAATCAAATTTGAGCTTTTAAGCCCTATTCTGGATACAATCGCACTCACAGCGAGTCCTTGGAAGTTAGTCCGCCACGAGTGAAGCCAAAATTCTTACTACAATGAAAGGTGAGGTTTCGAAACATATATTCATCACTGTTGTTACGAACAACCTTAGGTAGAAGTAGAGGTGGGATGAAAGTGGCTCGGTTGTATAGACGCTCTAATAGTGATCTGCCTCTTTCAGGCAGTCTTCCACAAGTTTTTTTTTTTTTTTTCTTGTTTGACTTGAATGTTCTAGGTACGACTCAGTGGACAACTTTAATACGAGTGTCTAGAGGTATGTGCATGGAGTGGTCGAGACGATTCTTCGGATGGAAGGCTCTGAAGACTCGTTTCCGTAGGCATGGGTCTCTGGATATTTATATATCGAGCTTTTAACTTTGGAAATATGCCATTGACAATTCGAAAAACGAGAAATAAGTAAAGCCCGACTATGCCTGACTACCCTGGACGGGACCGGGTCCTGTAGTCTACAATGTATTTTTGAGCTGTTAGGCCCAGGAGAATATATCTTGAGTCGTGAAACGTGATATTATTTTGAAGAATGAGCGGACCATCAATCTAGAGCCCTCACAGAGCATCCGATCTGATCAACAGACTGGGCCTGATCAAACAGGATAACTCTAGGAAAGGGGGAAAAAACTACCCTACGAGGAACACAAAAGTCCCCGCACACAGCACTGACGCAAGTCATAGAAGAACCAACATTGATAATCATGATCGGACCGGGCAGTACAGAGATTCCTATATCCATCGTTCCGGAGCGGCACTGTTTAAACTTTTTATTTGGTTCTCCTCCGAGTGTTGGTGCCATGACCTTAGAAAAATCTTGTATGATCCGGTATCATTTTCCGTTCCAACATACAGATGCGCAAGAACTCCGGTCAATCCCGTCCACCGCAAATCCTTTTTCCACAAAGTCGTCCCCATGAACCCTCCTTCCCATTTCAACATAACATCAGGCGATCCGTTTATGCCTCGGTGAGGGCACGGCGGATCTGGGAGCCGCGCTGGCGGGAGGACAGGCGGGCAGCGTTGAGGGAAGTCTCGGAGGCCTTGGCGACCTCCTCGTCAGCCTCGGTGAGGATGAGCTCGATGTGGCAGGGGTTGGTCATGTAGGGGTTGATCTGGAAGGAAAAAATCAGTTCGTGTTCTGGTGGGAAAAATTGACACAAATTTTCGGCAAGTGAAAACGTACACGACCGTGGGCACGGTAAGTGCGGCGGCGGCCCTTGGGAGCCTGGTTAACCTGGATGCGCTTGACAACCAGAGCACCGGTGTCGAGACCCTTGGTGTCAGCGTTGGCCTCGGCGTTCTTGAGGAGGTCGATCAGGAACTCGGCGGACTTGACGGGCCAGCGAGCCTTGGAGACACCGAACTGCTTGCCTGTAGACGAAAGTAATTAGTCGATTGTTCCACGGCCATCAAAATTCCCACACTGAATTTTCTCGAGCAGCAACGGTGTCGGTTCCCTCTCCAGCATCGTCCACATTTTTTGTAGAAAAAAACCACACCAGCGACTCTCGGGTTTGAATTCCTTCCCCAACAACGGTCGTGTGCTTGATCCCAATGCTCGTCCCTCTTCCAATCATCCCCCTTGACACCGTTGCCGTCCAATTCCATCCAACATGTAAAATCTCAAAAATTCGAGGGCAACTCACCCTGGGCGGTGCGGCCAGTGGAGCCAGCGTAGCGGCGCATGGGAACGGCCATGGACTTCTTGGTGACGTTCTCGAGGTAGGTGAGAGCCTTCTGCAGCTTCATGCCGTTGATGGCCTGAGCAGTCTCACGGGTGTTCTTGAAGCTGACACGCAGGTAAGAGCCCCGCGCGCGGGCGCTCTTTGCGTTCGGAATCTCCTGGGCGGCGTAACGGACCTGTACGTCGAAGAAAGAAGAAGTCGTCAGCAATCATGTTGTGTCGAAATTTGTGGGTGGTGGTGGTGATGGATCTTCAAGGCGAGGCGAAAAGTAACGGGACCGGGACGGCGATTCCAGGTCCCTTCGCTAGACTTGAAATTGGGTATGGGAATGGGATCGTAGAGGTCGTTTTGAGGTTCTCTGGCGATGGGCATGGGTAGCACTCACCATCTTGAAGGAGTTGGCGAGGGGAAGGTGATGGTCCTCGGAGTCGGATGGATGTTGTCGCTTTTCGTCGTCGACCGGCTAACGCTTGAATACCAAGTTTGGTGCGGGTTTTTTCGCTCTTGGCATTCGGGCCCTAAGCGAGCCCTAACGCTAGCCCCGTTGGGTAAGATATTATGTAATGCTGGTAGTCACATGATCTTGAGTCCGCTCATTCATATTTATGCCTCAGGCAGAAATGATATCGAAGTCTTTAGTGACCAGTCCAGGATGCTGACACAAATTATGCCAGGGTTAGATTTACATCAAGAGAAATTAATGTCGGCTAGTAAAACAAAGTACATTTGTTATTTATCGGCTACTATTTCATTGGAATGGCGAAGAGCGAGTTGACCCCAAGCGCAATTGGAGAACTTCTGCGCAAATAGAGAACTTCTGGAAGCTTTTTGGGAGTTCAAGCAAGGGGATTGAAGCTAGCTAGTGATAATAACACACGAATCGCAATTGAATCAACACGCTATAACGCAGAGCAACTGACTCAGTAATGAAGATAACCAAGCACCCATAATTGAAGGAGTTGACATTAAGACGCGTAGGCGTCGCTTAGTTAGGTCCTTCGCTGTGCTCTTCACTCGTTCATGCCTTTTCTTCAGAGCCGTATCTATTCTCGAGGTTCTCTTTTTCTATCTCTCTTGATAATTCTTCTTCACGGGGTATGTGCATTCGTGTGTCAAATACCAGAAGTCGCGTTCGACAGAATATTTCACGAGTCGATGCATGAATTTTTTGTAGCTGTTTTTCAAGACAATGGAGGTTATAGGATTGTAGCTCCTCGACATTCCGCAAAGCTTTCTTTTCGAAGGCGGCTCGAGGGCTGATTTCCATATCGCAGGCATCCAAAGGTTCTTGTTCTTGATACAGGGAATCCCAGCTGTGGACACTCCATCGACGGTCATCTGGGCTCAGACCAGGACCCAAATCAACCCATCTTGTGACGACTAGAACAAGATCAGAATCGATGATACGGAAATTGATTTGGAAGTCTGTATTGCACTTGGTACAAGTAGATCCGTAGGATGGAGCCTTCTTCTCATAGCGAGTTGAAGCGAGATAAATTCAAATCTGTAATCGAGAAATACCTCCCCAAAGGATCTCAGCCCAAGCTGAAACTTTCCATTCATGCGAGTGTAAAGAACATATTCAAGACAGAACAGTTTATAGCTCTGCGGAAATAGTGGTCCACAGAGACCAAAACATTCTGGACCATCATATTTGTGGAGATGATGGCAACAATAGCAGGGGAAATAGCTTGGTCAGTCTCGATCTAGTCGACTCAGGATTGATAGCCTGATATTCTTGTCTTCCTCAGTTGAATAGTGACTCTTATATTGGACGGGTACACGGCTGCGTTGGCTTGGGAAGAATCTGTATATTTGTCTATTACAGAGTGAAAAGCAAACCAGATCTTCGGGGGCGAGGAAACCAGCGATGCACATTATTAGCTCGGGTGGAAGCCCGGTTATTGTAATAGGCTCGATACTCATGGCGAAGATGATCGAGTCACGCAGATCAGGGATAGAAAGGTTGCAAAGAATGAATCGAAAATTGGAAAAGCAGGAGAGAAGTGAAACTAATGAAACGTCCGAGGTCTACTCTTAACACTGGCACTGGCTTCGGATACCCTTCCGACTTCCTAATTAGGAACGTCAGCGCTTCCCATTCGGGTCAAGTAGTATGAGTATGACGCAGATATATTTGAGGATACCGCTATATTGCCAAAACATGCAAAATCAGAACAATCTAAACAAAAGTGGGTCTATCATAGCAAAATCTATCGCTTCTGCTCCGGCACCTGTGTAATCAACTCTCCCTTTTCCACTCCCGACTTCAAGTTATTCAACACCAAGATCTCCATCTCCTTCTGTGTCTCATAGGTATTTGTGCCGATGTGCGGGAGCAGCATAACTCGCGGGTTACTCAACAGACCAGAGTGAACCTTGGGCTCTTCCTCATACACGTCGAGACCGGCAGAGCGGACCTATACAACACACCATTAGATTGATGTTGCTTAACTCCAGAAGACTGAACTATGCTTACCTTGCCAGAATCGAGAGCAGCGACCAGCGCATTCTCGTCGATCAATGCTCCACGAGCAGTGTTGACAATCACCACGCCATCCTTCATCTTGGCAAACTCGGTAGCGCCAATAATGTGTCGGGTGGAAGGGTTAAGAGCCAGGTTCAGACTGAAGACGTCGGAGTTGGCGAGGAGCTCGTCGAAGGAGACATAAGTGGCACCAGCCTCAAGTTCGGCGGGGAGGCGTGTGCGGTTGTGGTATTGGATTTTCATGCCAAAAGCCTTGGCCCGAGTAGCCATTTCCTGGTGAACTGATTAGTTGACGCTGTCTTAGCTTGAAATGCCGATCAATCTTACCCGTCCAATGCCACCCATGCCGAGAATACCGAGGACTTTGCCTTGGGGGTCCTGGCCGATGGTGGTCGCTCCTTGCCATGTGCCTGTCCCATCCCCCAATGTCAGAAAACAAGACATCTAAAAATTCGAAATGATGTGCTGTAATTGGTCGCGACTTACCGGCCCGAATAGCAGCAATAGGCACGTAAGCCTGTCTCAGGGCACCGATCATCAGGAAGATGCCCACATCGGCAGTAGCATTGTTCACGGCCACCGGGGTGCTGGAAACAGCAATATTCCTCTTGGTGCAACCAGGAATGTCTAGGTTGTCATAACCAGCGCCATTGTGGCAGATGTAGCGAATCGACTTTGGCAGGACCGAGAGCAATTCTTCGTTAAAGTTGCCAGTGTACTATCCAAGCTTGTTTAGCCGTGAGCCGTGTTAATAGGTCAGATTCTCCGAGCATTGCGCGTACCTTGTTGGAAGTGTTGGATCGGTAAATTGCCACCACGTCGTCGTACTGTCCTGACTTGCAGTTTTCAATGAATTCTTCACGGGTGCCGCTAGGGAATTCCTACGCGCATGTTAATCGAGGGCGCGCATTCGAGCTAAAAGGAGATCGCGCATACCTTCAATGTCAAAATGGAAGACAGCGCCTCCCACTCCTTGCGCGCGTGGGTGATGCCTCCGATGAGAAGCGCAGCCTGGGCAGACATATTGAACAATTCTGCGATCGCAATCAGCTTCACTGACGATGCAAGTGGGGGTGTGAATGCGCATGCGCTGCCTACCTTTTCTCGCGGGGAGAGTATATACTTTGTCGAGGACGGAAGGGAGGAATTAAGGGGAAAGAAAGGGTAGAGATGAATTAGAGAAGAATGTGGAAGAAGGAGAAAAGAAAAAAGCAGTTGATGATCAGCTACAGGCTAAATTTCCAGCGGACCCCCGCGATTGTTATCAGGTCTCGTGCGATTCGGTGGGACGTGGCGAAGAACTGGGCCGAGATTGAGGTTGCAGCGTGGAACTCGTCTTCCGATGCAACTATAGAAATACAATGTATTGCATATTCATTCTACTACAATCTTGAGTCCTAATAATCTATTAAACCCCCTTATACAAGAGGCACTTCCTGCCCTTTTCTCCTTGTTATCTTTCATGCAAAAAAAGTAATTCAAGAACTTGGAGGAGCTCCTCCATCGCGCGTCTCCAAACGCCCCCACGTTGCCCCGCGGGGGTCACTCCTCGGCTATTGATAGTTTCCTGTTTGGACGCGCAAAAGCCGAGCAGCCCCGCGGAGCATCTCCGGTTCGTCGGACCAACTGGAAATGACTCTCAATTTCCACCCCACGCGGATATCAACCTGGAAAAAGCAATGAGGGGAACTTGCAATTGAGGGGCCGACTCAGATGCCGCTGGAGTCTCGGACCCGGCTCATATTTCTTGTTGCTTTAACACACGATCCATTCTGTTCATTCTCTCCTCATTCACACACTCTCTATCCATCATGTCAACAGAAACATCTGCTACCGCGCTCGTCTTGCACGGCGCTAAGGATCTCCGTCTGGTAAGGCTGATGACGTCGTCAAATACATTTTACATAGACCAAAAACAAGCAAGACCACAACTAACCACCCCATTCTACAGGAGGAACGCACCGTTCCCGCTCCAACCGGCACAGACATCCAAGTCGCCGTCACAGCCACCGGCCTCTGCGGCTCCGACCTGCACTACTACTCCCACGGCCGCAATGGCGACTTCGTCGTGCGCGAGCCAATGTGTCTCGGCCACGAATCCGCCGGCACCGTCACTGCCATCGGCCCCGAAGTAACAACCTTCAAAGTAGGCGACCGTGTCGCCCTCGAAGTCGGCCTCCCCTGCCGCACCTGCGCCCTCTGCAAACAGGGCCGCTACAACATCTGCTCCAAGATGCGGTTCCGCAGCAGCGCAAAGTCCTTCCCCCATCTGGACGGCACCCTCATGGAACGCACCAACCACCCCGCCGAAATGTGTCACGCCCTCCCGGCCACCGTCTCCGACGCGGGCGGTGCCCTCGTCGAGCCCCTGGCCGTCTGTCTCCATGCCATTCGCCGCTCGCACCCGCCCACCAAGGACGAAGTAGCGCTGGCACGCAGTGTGGGCGAAGGCACCGCGGCACTGGTCTTTGGCGCCGGCGCCATCGGCCTGCTAATCGCTTCTGCGCTCGCGGTATCGGAGAACTTCGATACCATCGTCGTGGCTGACATCGACGCCTCGCGCCTCGAGATCGCAGCCTCGCTCGGACTAGGCCTAAAGACATCCCTCATTCCCCGCGGTGATCCCGCAAACCCACCCCCTCCCAAGGACGCCCCGCACGCAGACCAGACAGCCTGGGCCCTTGCGAATGCGCAGACCGTCGCGGCGTCGCTCACCCAGGATGCGCAGGCTGATGGCGTCCCGCCCGTGTCGGGCTTCAGCCGCGTCTATGACTGCACCGGTGTCCCTGCTTGCGTGCAGGCTGGTATCTACGCCTCCTCGCCCGGCGGTGTCCTCGTGCAGATTGGCATGGGTAATCCCATCCAGACTCTGCCCGTTGGTGCTGCCGCGCTGCGCGAGGTCGATATCATTGGTGTCTTCCGGTATGATGGCTACGCCTACCCGGCTGCCATTGCGCTATTGGGTAGTGGTAAGATGAAGAGTACCGAGGAGAAGGTTGTGACGCACCGATTGCCCCTTGAGGAGGGTGAGCGTGCGTTCTTCCTTGCTGGTAAGGGTGTGGATGAAAATGGGAAGCCGGTTGTCAAGGTTATTATTGAGAATAAGCCTCATGGTCTGGGCCGGTTGTAAAAGAATTCTGGGCTGATGTACGGTGTATCTGTGATGATGTTGATGACTTTTGAAAAATACCCTTTGTGACAGTAGTTGGGAATGATGGATGATGGATGCTGGACGCGGGTTGCATGCGCCGTCGGTGCGAATTATTACCTACCTCTCTGTTTCTAGCCTAGAACGCATGATTATTCGGTTTGCACACATACTGCGCATTTTTCACAACAAACCATAACTATTTTCTAGGTGATCTCTAAGAAAGCGAGTAAAGTCGAGTAATCAAGGAAGATACAGACACTAGTGAATACATTGCTTCTTATCAAACTATATACACAACTATTTCAACCCCCCAGCCAGCAGGAGACTCTGACCAGTCATATACCCCGTTTTACACAGCATAGTGACAACATTAGCCGTCTCCTCCGGTGTACCTAGCCTTTGCAACGGGATACCAGCCGCAACCTCCGGGATCGCCGCCGCATTAGGGATCATACCCGTGTCGCCGATCATAGCGGGGGCAACGTCGTTGACGCTGATATTGAACTCGGCGAGGCGAGTGGAGAGATTCTTCATCATGCCGGTGAGTCCGCCCTTGGATGCGGCGTAGTCTGTAATTGCAGAGAGATGATTAGACTTGAGATCGAACGAGGTGGGTAAAGAATGGGAGAGTGATGGGGTTGACGCACGACATCCATTAATACCACCTCCTTGCGCGGCAATCGAGGACATAAACACGATACGCCCCCAGCGCTGGGCTTTCATATGCTCCACCACACCCTTGACAAGGATGAACGAGGCGCGCAGGTTAATGTTTAATGTGTAATCGAATTCCTCAAGGGTAATTTCCCACACGTTAGGGTAGCGCTTGCCATATCCAGCGTTGGAGACGAGAATGTCCGGTCGCTGGCCATGCTCTTTGTCAATTTGCTGGAACATGGATTCAATTTGGTCGGCGGAGCCGACGTCGACTTGGTGGATGGAGATGCGGAGCTTGTGCTCTGCGTATTTGGATTGCAGGTCTTTTACGACTGCGTTCATGGCGTCGAGGTTGGTTGAGTAGGTGAGGGCGAGGTGAACGCCATGTTGTGCGAGCTGGTCTGCACAGGCTGATCCGATTCTGCAGTGCACAATAAAATGTTAGCTGGTAGCTCTTTGCTAGTGGTATTGGTGAGAACTCACCCTCCCGATGCGCCAGTGATGAGGGCCAGACGGCCGCGGATCTCGTTGAACGACATTATAAGACAGGAATGCAGCGTGGAAAGTTTTTACAGAAGAGAAAACATCCAAGGACGTTCACCAAAGGATGTCTTGGGTCTCCAAAATAACCACCACGGCCTCGGTTACCCCTCGTGAGACGTCGGCGGTATCTCCGAGCGGAGCTCCCCACAGCCCCGCATCATTTGCCGCACCAGCGGGCTTTGAACAAACCCGCCGCTAAGATTAACACCCCAAAAGCCTAAAAGAGGAGATTGCTGCTCATATCGCCCAGCCAGGCTGATGGTTGCCAAACCTGCGACCGATCCTGTCCTGCCTGGTATGGATCGGACCCGTTCTGGAATGCATCGAGACCCAGCAAACCTCCCGAGATTTGATCGCCAGACACATAGTCTCCCACAGCTTCTAGGTCCAGCCAGGAAAAATCGTTTGCAGGACTAAAGTCCATATACGTGTGGTCTGTGACTGGATTGGGCAATGCTGTTTGAATTGAGAAGTCGCTGTTCTGCTGCGATTCCGCAGAGGTGTTGGCGTTGCTCATGGAAGGCTTGGTCCGCCACAGAAGCTCTAGCAGGCGAGAGTAGCGTGCTCCGATATCATCGGGACCGGCACTCGATTGCTTGAGAACCTCAGTGGTTCGAGCTACTAGACCCTGGACTTTGGCTTCCTCAGAGGGAACCATCATACCGAAGGAGCGGGCCTGGAAGGAAAGTTAGAAAATGAGGCCTCAATCGCAAGATGGTGTTTGGGAGTGTTACCTTGTAAAGGAAGACAGCAGAGTAGATGCCATATCTGGTCTTTGTTAGAATGTCCCTTTTTTCTAGTCAGTTGACCCGACTTACAGATAAAACCGAAGGGGCATGAAATGCAAATGCCTCTCGGGATCAACCGAGTCTACCAGAATAGTCAAATAGGCTTTTGCTGCATCCACAGACTCGTAGATAAACCGCGAGTCCTGCATAGAAGCCACATTCTTGAAGGTAGATCTCAGCTGCTCCCGATGCGTGCTCCTGTCCGTCTTTGGCTTCGCTAGAGACTGCGAGATTGCAGCCTGGAAAGCGAAAGCGGTCGTGTAAAGACGTAGATACTCATATGACAATTGCAGAGTTGCGCGCATGGGTGGTGAGCCTGTCTGCGTTAGTATCGCGAAGCGCCAAACTGGTCCATTGGCAAAGCAAAGACGAGACTTACAGTCCAAAGGCCCCCAAAGCGATTTCCATCGCAAAATGGCTAGGCGAAAGTCGTCGACGTATTTGACATAATCACCCATCAGCATCATCTGATTACTTCGCATACCCGAGTACAGGACCTCATGCACGTTTCCATACAACTGAGTGAGATCCAGCATCGCTTGATAGATCTTCGAATAATCCTCATCACCCTCCTTGGCAGGCTGCAGCGACGGAAAATCCTGACTCGATAAACCCGTCATCGGGCCCGGGCCACGCGACCAAAATGCACGTCCAATGCGCACCGAGATCAATCGGTCCGACACGTAGCAGCTGGCCCAAGCCAATCGTCGACGAACCTCTGATTCTTGGTCACCGTACGGATCACCCCGGAAGGAAGTCCTATCCAGCCCGATGAAGTAGCCCGAGCGCAGCGCCAGTCCGACGTGCATCCACGCAGCACGGTCTTCCTCACCGCGACCGACGCGCTCGATGCGTGGGCGGAGACCTTGTGGTTCCCATTCTGCTAGCAATAGTAGAGCCTCGACGGCTTCGACATCGCATTCGGCACCGGCGGCAATGCCCGAGATCAGCTCGTGCATGTATTTGGAGCAGTACTCATGGATTTCGGGACGGTCGACAAGGTCTTTGGATGCGATCGTGAGAACGGCAGTGAGCAGGTGTTTTTCGTTATTGGCAAAGTCATCCAGGGCCGACCGCTCGAAATATTTTCGTGGTACGAGAGGAAGATAAGGGTGGAAGTTTTCGGCATAGCGAGTGACCAACTGCCACACGGTTCCTGGGTCCAGGGATCGAGATTGGACGAGGCGATAGGCTCTGATGCCAGTGGTCGGGACATTGTAGTCGGATACGATGCCACTGCGTAGGCCACCGTATGTTGACATGGAATCGGATCGTACATGGGCGTTGGCACGAGTGTCTGGCGCAGTCTCGGCGCTGAGAGTCGCGATTCCGGTCAGGCATTGCCAGGCGTCAGAAGGGTTTCGAGGGACAGAGTCAATTGAAGCTTCTTCCTCGTCGTCCTCGACAGCTACTGATGCAGCGGCGGCAGCAGCAGGGCCCGGAGGATTGGGCGGGAGGAAGACGACTGGCCCAGGGTAGGAAGCAGAAGGCGCCCGGCGGGCATCTGAGGTGACCGGGCTGGCAGTGTCCTCAGAGTCCTTGCTCGGCGAGGGATTCGGTGCTGGGGTAAAATTTTTAATCTTGTTCTTGCGAATACGACGTCCACCGCGATTCGAGCCACCGAGGACACACTCGCGATGCTCACGAACACACCGCTGACACGGCGGCTTGCCAGGATTGCCATTGCTATCACTATTGCGTGGGATTAGCGGGCACACAGCATAGCACACACTTGCCCATACACGGCTTGCAGATCCGGGGAAGAAAAGTGCGGAGTTCAAGGACACGCGATAAGCCGCGCAGCAGTGAGACGGGGACTTACAGATCACAGCGTGACTTGCGCTGTCTGCAGTGCAGACAAGCCCGCGAGACGCGCTTGACGGTATGGTCGAGCCGCCGGGAGGCAGCGTCCGGTGAGTCCATGTTTGGCCGGGCCGTGTTGGAATTACAGTGACATTATTGCCCGAAGCTGGGGATGGTTAGGAAACAGAGGCCGACTGTTGTTGAGACCCACCGGATATTGAATAGCGCAAAGGGCCATTACTCATCGGGAGGACGAGTTGAAGCTCCTCTCGAGTGTGGGGAAATGGGCGGAGTCTGACCACATCCCGAGGGTGATGGATTCTGGAATTAGATAATTTATTTAAGACATAAAAATTCCTTCTCTTTTGTCTTCTAGAATACATAAATTCTACAGCGCCATATTCAATCAGACCAATCTCTAGCATCCATCTGCAATCTTACGTTGCCTGGCCGTTGTAAAAAAACGTGGGCAATCCGGGGCTGTTGGGGGGAACTGGCAATAGCCGACGGCAACGGAACTCGGCAACGGACTCTTCCTCTTCCAAGAACCACCCCCGCGCGTGGGGAAACCATTCTTCCTAGTCGTCATTCAACAATATTTGGAGGGGCATTCTCCTCTACATTCTTTTCTATTCTACTTCATTTTACTTTTGTCTGACCCTGAGGTGCACACAATATACACAATGGCAGCCACAGTACAGTCTCTCTTCTCCCTGAGCGGCCGCACCGCCGTCGTCACCGGCGGCACGCGAGGCATTGGCCAGGCCATGGCTTTCGCTTTAGCCGAAGCCGGCGCCGATATCATTCTGATCCAGCGCGACCAGTCCAACACCGCCACCAAGGACGAGATCATCAACCGTCTTGGCCGCAAGGCGCACATCCACGTTGCCGAGCTATCAGACCGCAAGGCCGTCAAGGAGATCATTCCTGCCCTCGTGAGCCAAGGCTTCAAGCCCGACATCCTGCTGAACTGCGCGGGTATCCAACGGCGGCACCCGAGCGAGAAGTTCCCCGACGAGGACTGGGACGAGGTGCGTACTACAGTCTTATCTATAGAAAGACCTCAGGATGCCAAGCTTCTATATGCTTGGCCCCCCTTCATTTCACATGAAACATCGCTAATCAGCTCAACAAACAGGTCCTCGAAGTCAACCTCTCTCAAGTCTTCATCCTCTGCCGCGAGTTCGGCGCCTACCTTCTAGCCCGCGACGCCTCTGAGTTCCCCTCCGGCTGTCGGGGCTCCATCATCAACGTTGCCTCACTACTGACTTTCCAAGGTGGCATCACCGTGCCTGCCTACGCCGCGTCCAAGGGCGGCGTGGGCCAACTCACCAAGGCGCTGTCTAATGAGTGGGTGGCCAAGGGTATCAATGTCAACGCGATTGCCCCTGGGTACATTGCCACGGACATGAACACCGCATTGATCAATGATGAGAGCCGGAATGCCGGTATCATGGCGCGAATTCCGGCCGGTCGGTGGGGCCAGCCGGAGGACTTTAAGGGCGTGGTGGTCTTCTTGGCTAGTGGTGCCAGTAGTTATGTGTCTGGAGAGATTATTACGGTGGATGGTGGGTGGATGGGTCGGTAGAGAGAGGGGGAATGACGTGACAACATGCAATATTGTGCGCTTGGAAATGGTGATTGTGACACCGATATTGAAGCAGAGTGGCTTGGGATCTCATTCTGTATTTGGAAAATTTGTTAGGCATTTTTTGGCGGTTTTGTATATAGAAATGGCTGCATCGGAGGATTTTGGATATCATGCTCCGTATCTGAATTATGCTTGAATTATACTTGTCATTTGGGGTTATTGGATTTGTAAGAGATTTATGCATGAACGCACGAGTCATGGTTCATTTGCCATGGATGAGTGTTTGTCGACTGATAGCTCCACTTCTGTCATGATCGCTCGCTTGTGGTAGTTGGGAGATTGGTGGAAAATCCAGCAAGAAGGATGAAACCACTATGGACCCCTGGTTACGTGTGCGACTCCGGACTATGGAGGACTAACCTGGGCTAGTGATCCTCACTAGTCAGTGGCATGTAAGTAGTTACGGAGCAGGAGCTCTGTCAAGTTTTGTCAACAGGGCCCTGGCAGCTGGTGCGGCCCGGGCCTTCAGGCACCGAGGCACAAGGTTATGTGCCCGTAAAACCAGGCATTAATTTTCTGCCTGAGGTTTATTGTCTCTCCTCATCGGGTGCTTTGTTCTTCTTGGCCTTACTTTCTGATTACCTTCTTGACGATCTTTCTTCTCCAAAGCTCCACGGTTCTTTTCCATTGTGATCATGCCACAGGCTCATACACAAAGAAGAAACTAAACTCAGACCATTCAGTCGGACAAAGGGTCCTCTTATCAGTCCGCGTGCGCCACAGGGGGCTAAATCGTCAAAGTTCTTATTGTCCGTGGTTTCCAATTAACAGCAGCTTTGAAACCAGCCCACAATGCCACTGTTTGAGGCACGCTTGGCCCGAGCTCCACGATAGGCAGGCAGTCCTTTCCCTGATTCATCGATTCTGGTGATCTCATCCAGACCAAGTGCTCACTCTGGAGCAATCGTCTGCAGCAAATGATGGTGCGAGGGTCGGGGCGTGACGCCGGTCGCAAGATCTGCAAGGACCAGCAGCAGTTGAGATTGGGCCTCAAGCGCAGCGAATCAACATCGCGGCTTCTGCGGTGGCTGCATCGGTTGGAAACACTGGAAAGTTGAAACGCTGGACTCCGCGGGTCTTCCCCCCCTGGTCAAGCGGAGGAGTCCTCCCGATAGGCTGACAGCCTCCAGTCCCGCCTGCCAACCACCATCGAGAGATGTACTACGAGACTACGACAGTACGAAGTACTCCGTCCTGATGTTAATAGTATTAAACCTTCCCCTTTCCCCTGCCACGACAGGAGTTCCTGCTCGTCGGGAACTTTCGTTCGTCTGGGTTTGATTTTCTTTCCATATTTTCGTCGATCGCTGGCTTGCTCGATCGCCTTGCATTCTTCCTTTCCCTCTTAGAATAGACTGTTTCGGCCCTGCGTTGACCGCATAGACCTTAGACCAGGCTACTTTCGCTTTGACTTCTTTTTTCTTTTTCATCTTGTCTATAGTATTTGCCTGTTTCTTTACCCTCGTTTCCTCTTTTTTCCAACTGCCCTCCCCAGCTGCCGTGGGAAACGTGTGAAACCAGCCGACCGGATCAGCCTCCCTTGCCTCCGACATTCCTCAAGTCCTGGACGATGCCACGGCTCCTCAACGAGCAACGGGAAATCTCAGTTTTGCCGATCTGCCTATCGCATCCAGATTCAACTGACCATCTGTTGATTGCCCGTTCCTCGCTCTCACCGGGGACTGGTTTGCTGCCTACAGGCCTGCCTTCCAGCGCCATTGTCATTCACTGCCAACCTTCCTATTGACATCAGCACAAAGGCAGCCACAGCTTTGCTTTGGGGGGTGAATGCCTTTGTGCCATTCTCTCCCACGTTGGATCGCAGTTTGGCTTCCTAGCTCTGATTTCATTTCATCCTTCTTCAACGTCACCACACTCGATCATCGCATTCCCTGTTGACTCCCCGCAACCACCCTCGACTCTCTACCAGCTTCTCCGGCCTTAAAATTTGATACAAGTCTCTCCTGACATCACGTTGTCCAGGCTGCAAGATCTTCCATCGGAGTTTTGCGGGTCACTCCACAGCTCTCTACCGTCAGAACTATCCTTTATCAGCACCAGATTCCCTGACAACCACACCTCAACCAGGGATAACCCCAACCCCTAGACAGTTGTCCTGAGGGGCATTTCAATGGCGACACCTGACCCGCAACTTGCGGCACGAGGCTACGGATCTAACGAGACATACATCTACGAGTACTCGAGAGGACTGGGAGGTGTCGATGTCCCACGCGATGTGATCATCACTCGCATCATCTACTCTTCGGTGATCATTCTCGCGTTCTGTGTGTTCTGTGGCCGCATTGCCCAGATAAGCCATGCATATCTCCGCCACATCACTTCATGTGCTGCAAACAGTCGACAGCAGACGTTCTGGCATCGGGAGACGTCATCGTTGTGGACCAACATGAAGAAGCATATCCTGTATTCCCCATTGGGGAAGAAGAGGCATAATCGAGAAATTCAACTCTCCTCGGCGGTTGGCATCGGCACGTTACCCTCTCGCTTCCACACCATCTTGATCGCTTTGTACTTTGCAAGTCAAGTGGTGTACTGTCTTTACCTCGACTATGCTGTCAACAAGAAAGCTGCACTAATTTCGGAGCTGCGCGGGCGCTCGGGGACGCTGGCCGTCTTGAATATGGTGCCACTGTTTCTGCTGGCAGCGCGCAACAACCCTTTGATCTCGATTCTGCATATCAGTTTTGATACTTATAACCTTCTCCACCGGTGGCTGGGCCGCATCATTGTGCTCGAATCTGTCGTTCATACTGCCGCCTGGGCAGTCAACGCAGTTGATGAGCAGGATATTGGAGATATGTTGTCACGCCTACGAGACACACCCTTCTTCACTTGGGGATTGGTAGGTACAGTGGCCATGGTTTTCCTCGTTCTACACTCTCCCTCGCCAATCCGTCATGCATTCTACGAGACGTTCTTACACCTACATCAACTCGCTGCGCTTCTCGCCTTCCTCGGTGTATGGTTCCACCTTAAACTGGATAGCCTCCCACAGCGCACCTGGGCCAGCGGTATCGCCGTCATCTGGCTCCTCGAGCGAAGCACACGCCTTGTCCGCCTCGCATATCTCAACCTCTCCACCAAGCACGGCTCAACACGTATGACCGTCCAAGCCCTACCAGGAGAAGCATGCCGGGTAACCTTCCACCTGCCGAAAAGTGTACGCATCTCGCCCGGCTGCCACGTCTACGTCTACATCCCCTGCGTCTCATGGTGGATGTCCCACCCATTCTCCATCGCCTGGACCGATGCCAGCACTCCCAACCCGCACTCCCCGCGCTACCACGACTCCAAATCCACCGACTCAGTCCCCAGCCCATCCTCGCTAGAAAAACAATCCCAAGATCTAGACACCTATTTCGAACCCACCCACCGCCCAACAGAAGTCTCCCTCATCATCAGCGCCCGCCAAGGCATGACCCGCCGCCTCTACAACCTCGCCCGCAGCAAACCAGACAAAATTCTCCGCGCACCAGGCTTCATCGAAGGCCCCTACGGCTCCCGCCCCGCCAACGCATCCAGCTACGGCACAGCCGTGCTCTTCTCCGCCGGCGCCGGAATAACTCACCACCTCATGTACACCCGGGACCTCGTCGAACGCGCCGCCACGTCCCGCGCCGCAACCCGCCGCGTCTACCTCATCTGGTCCGTCCGCTCCACAGACCACCTCGCCTGGGTCGGCCAATGGATGGACCAGATCCTCCGATTACCTGGCCGACGCGAGATCCTCATCGTAAAGGTATTCGTCTCCAAGCCCCGGCGTGCAGCAGATATAGTTTCCCCTTCTGCGACGGTACAGATGCATTCTGGTCGGTGTCGACCGGATGTTGTTCTTGATGAACTTATGCCGACAAGTGTCGGCGCAACGCTGGTGTCTGTTTGTGGGCCTGGTGCGTTTGCGGATGAGGTTAGGGCTGCGGCGAGGGGGAGGATTGGGAAGGGGGCTGTGGTGGATTTTGTGGAGGAGGCTTTTACTTGGTAGCCAGATTTCTTTTTCTTTGCGTTCTTTTTTTGGCTTTTTTGGCGGTTGCTTATTTCAGCATGTTGTTGCGGTGTTGTGGTTGCTTTTTTTTTATGTCTATACTACTTTCAAATTATTGAGCGCAGGCCTAGTCGAGAGCTGATCCTTGCAAGGCTTTGGCCTTATGGTCTTTAAAAGGAATGTGCCCGGGTACTTTCCTCACGGACAGTCTTTGCTTTGGCCCTGGGGCTAAAGCCAAGACCTACTATTCATTTCTTCATTTAGGTACTTTATCTTCTCAATGGGGCCAAAGCAAAGACCTACTATTCATTTCTTCATTTAGGTACTTTATCTTCTCAATGGATCCCACCTTCAGGTTTCCTCGGGGTTTTTTTGTAACCCTGATAGTATTTACTTGATGGGTAACCGTTGCTAAGACGTGGGCGATGGCAGCTGAACCCGCAGCTATTCTTCTATGCCTCTCGAATTTGTCTAGCATTGAGCGTTGAAGTAAAAATCAACCCGGCAACAATGAAAAATGAATATTTGCGAATAATCCACCCTTAGTCACTGTGTGAGAGAAAGATATCCGTTCCCAACAGAAGCCCAACTCCAGTACCTCAACAAAAAGCATATCCAATTCACCCATATACCCCATACCTAATACTCTACTTAAACCATGACCGGGAAGGATTTCTCCTCACGGGTTATCTATCACCGTGAACAGAACGGAAGTGCATCACCATGTTATCTCTCCGATTGAAAGCCTTATCGCAGCTCTCATCGAAACATGGAACCGAGCGGGGTGCCACGTGCTGGCTGTCCACGTGGCGCATTAGAGTTGCTTTGCAAGTAAATGGGCCCGGTTTGTTGCATTTGGACCATTTGCAGATCCACAGAATTGGGCGGGGACTAAATTGGACAGAGAAATTTATTATTAAATGTTCGAAGTAAGGAAGATCTGGGGTATTGGGGATGTACTTGATTTGCTTCTTGGGGCGAGGAGTTGAAGGTTTGGGGCTCGCGACATTCTTGACTCTGCCCTTCTTGACGCGACCATCCTTCGGTGGGGGCGTAGAGACTTGAGATCCGCATCCATGAGACTCGAAGTCATTGATCATGAACGTAGAGTCGGTAGCGTCGTACCGAGGAGGGCCTTATCCTTTGGCGGTGTCAATTGTCAGTGACGGTACACTACGCCAATGGTATCGAAACGACCAACCATAGAGAGAACTCGAAAGCAAAGAGAGCTCATCCGCAGTCAAAGAAATCATTGGCTGATTTGCAGGTCCACCTTGGCTATAGACTGGGTTTGTCACTGATGGACTTTCAAAAGGCAGGTTGGGACTATCAGGGACTGTGGTTGTTGGATGGTATGCCAGCTTGACTTGAAAAGCTATGGGTACGAGGAAACGCGGAATGGATTCAACGAAGTTGTCGTAGAGTGAAAGCAAGAAGCTTGATATATCTTGAGATAGAGTCAGAGAACATCATTTTGTTTGAGGGAAGATGAAGGGTATTTATTTCCAAGGGATCTCTAGAAATTCTACAATCGTAGACACGAAGGCATAGTGTGCTAGAACTCTGCATCCATGGATTTACAGTGGATCCATACATGCGCATTCACTAACCTCGAAGTGGATAGGATCATCCGTGCTCTACATGGATAACCTCACACCTCAATACCTCCTGCAGAGATTTAATGGGTCCTTACAGTTGATGACCCTCTATCAGAAATCTCTCCTTATACCGAAAATATGTACCTACTTGCACCATTCGATGAGTTGGAAGAAAGGATCTGCTATATTCTGGGATAGAAAAATTAAGTGCTGGAAGACTTGATCTATTCGACACCTATTCCGTACATTTAGATCACCGTGATCGTCACTGAACAAGTGAGTTGAGTACATTCTAGGATCAATATGCTTTGTCCTTGTTTTTAACCAAGTTAGATCCACCCCATAAGGACCCTGGATTCAGTCGGCCGGGATATAGTTTAAGCATTTCATGATATAGCTCCTCTGGGGTTTTGGTTTCTTCATGCACCCGCTCAAAATCCTCCAAATAAGCCTTGGTATCAGATATAGCCTGTGGGGTGAAACCCTTGCTAGGGTCTCCATGCCCCGAGATCACCACTTTCGGCTTCAGGCTTGCAATCTTTTCAAGTGCAGCGATCCATTCCTGTCTCGATTCCTTAGTGGGTGAATCGCCCAGGAACGGGTGGGTGTTGTTGTAGACGGCGTCGCCGACAACTGCCAAGCCTATTGAAGGCACCCAGAGTGTAGTTGTATTGTCTGTATCGGTATGGCCGGTCCTGACCACCATAAGCTTTTCTCCCTCAAGCTCGAATTCGTTTCTAACAACAGTCCTGTCTGTCGTGATCTTTGTGGGGATCTGCCCCGGAAATAGGTCCTTCCACATCTTCTGTCGCTCTGCTGATGCTTCTCTAAGCATACCAGCGGCAACCTCAGACACGGCCACCACTTTTGCGTTGGGAAATTGCTCCAGTATAGCCGTATTACCGAAAAAATGATCGCCATGGGGGTGGGTAATGTAGATCCAAGTCACATTTAATCCACTCGCAACTGTCCAGGCCACTAGCTCGTTGATGGCTGGAATTGTCAACTGGGTATCAACCAAGACAGCATCCTTCTCGCCATATATCAAAGTCGAACTGGTCGGGACCCATTTCAAGTCATCTTGTCCAGCAGGTACAGTCCGATTCACTCCTTGACGCTTGCTGAAAAATACTTTGTACTTAAGCACCATTATGAGCTGTTGACTTGGAGGCTCAATGAGCTTAGAGGGCAAGTAGATCCACCGGATGTTAAAATTTCGCAATGAATGGTTTCTGCTTCAGTTTACTCTGTGCAGCTAGAGTCTTATTTATATCAATACTGTGCGAAGCTGGAGGAGAGGTCAGATTTAGTAAATAATGGCTGCCTCGGTTCGGCTGAGCGTAACTTTTTTGTCTGTCGGCCTCCCGAGGTCGCTTACTAATGAAGCAGTAAATGCTGATTTCATCGGCGGCAAATTTCCGATTACTCAAAGTGTCCTCTATTTTTCTTGTAATCAAGCAGAGAGAGCCAACCTGTATGCCTCGGGTACCTTGTATAGGATACGAATTGTACCAATATTGGATATCTTGCAAACGGGGATGTGCATACATCTCTACGGCTCCTATGCAGTAAGACTGTTGTTTTAGTGCCAGGTTTCCCTATCAAACATGCTAATTATTTACGGAATATACAATAAAATTTGGCATAAATTGTGAATATTCATGGTATTGGTGTATTCACTCTCGATTTGCTGTCCTTTACTGACAATGTGAATCGGGTGAGGATGTTTCAGGGTTGACCAAGAAGCCACATATTCCGTAACTAGTTGGAATGGTTGCAACTGGAAGAACTAACAAAAGTGTACGTCGTTCATTAATCTTATATTTTTGGCTCATCACTATACACAGTCATATAATGTCAGATTAACAAAGAGAGGAATGGATTGTACGTGCAGGTACGCCGAACGCCGAAGTTCCGTTGACTAGGGCTCAAGTAGTGGGAACATATTTTTTTAAGAATTCAAGTTGCTTCGCGATATTCTTTTCAAACCACTCTCCAGTGTAGATATCGAAATGGCCGGCTTCATCAAGATACAGCATCTCCTTGGGCTCTCGTGCTTTGCCAAATGCCGCCAACTGGGACGCAGTGGTTACAAGGATATCATTCCCAGGAATGACCATAAGCAGTGGAGTTGGCGAGATGCGGTGTATCATTGCTTGCCCTTCAAACCCGAGCATGTGAAGCTGAGTCTGAGCCGTGATATCATTACTCCATTGTCCGCCACTTGTGAATGAACCTAGCATCTGTTTATAAGCATGGACACCGGGAAACATGACGTTAACCTTCCATTCTTCGGCATCTTCAATGCTGTCAGCAATCAGAGGAATTCTTTCCGGCTCGGCGCCCGCTGCAATACGTGCACGCTCTTCCAAGAGGATAGGGATGCGATCTTTGAATGCTAATGATCGTGTCTCGCCAGAAACTGCTGGACACTGCACTATAGCAGCCCTGATACGTCTGTCTAGAGCGGCAGCGTACAGAACATTTCCCCCGAAAAGCTTGAGCCCCAGTACACGATGCGCGAGCTATCCACACACGGTAATGTTGATGCAAAATTGAACGCGTCATAATAGTCGGCTTGTTGAAGGGGTGGGTTGGATTCTTGACGCGGCAATCCATCGCTGTCCCCCCAGTTACGGTTGTCATAGAGCAGGACTGCGTAGCCAGACTTGTGAAAGCGATCTGCAAATGCTGGGAGCCAGTAGTGGCGGACACCACCCAACTAGAGACATGATTAAAGTTAACTCCACGAAATTTCAATACAACAGGAGGCATTTAGTATCACGAACCCCGTGTGTCATGATCACGCACGGCGACTTCCCAGCTTGTGGATAGAGCCAACCGCGAAGCACAGTGCCATCACAGGTTTTGAACTCGATATCTTCACGGGGGATGGCCATTTTGGTGGATATGTGCAAATTGCGTCGGATGATAGTTGAAAAGCGCAAGACAGCGGTCATTTGACCCGATCTCAATGTTGACAGTTGGAGGATGGGATCGCAACGTCTAAAGGGCGGTAATTCTTCCACCAAAGTATAAATACTGGGTGATGTGTTGTGCTAGAAAGCACACGCTATTTGATTTCCCTCGGTACAAGTGTTAATGTATCATGGACATTTCCATTTCCGTTTTTTTTTTTTGCTTATGTGCCTTTTTTATCTTTAGGTAAATATTCTCAGGTTGATTACAATCAGTAATACGACCTCGGTACGGAGTTTTCGGGTGGCGTCAGAACTTTTCGTATGATATGATTACAATTAATAATACAACATCAGTGCAATGTTCTCGGGTGGCGCTCGTCTGTCGGGTATGTATCCGACCTCTTGATTCAATTTTGCAAATGTCTCTATTATTGAAGTTATACCGCGATTGTAGCTATTAGAGTTTGGGCGTATGGAGTGG